AAGTTGGTCCAGGCCTCCGTTTCCCATGGAAATCCCAAACTCGGGAAATCATCCTCCTACTAACTGTCTTATCATGACTACTGTCTTGGTTTATTGTGTTCATTTTATTGTCTATTTGTTTGTAATCTTGTCTTTTCACTATTCACTATCATTGTTATGTTGTTTGTCATTATCTTGTTACTACTTCCTCGTCATCACCATCATCGTCAACCCCTCGTCCTCTCACCCATATGACCATGGTGGGAGTAAGGAGGGCTGGCAATCGGAGACCCGTCGGATCACGCACATTGAGCATAACGAGGAGCTGGGACATCCAGACCGATGAACACCGCCTTCAGCCCGGTGTAGTTCCCTCCGCCCAGGGAGGGGAGCGCGTAGACTCGACGCAGAGACCAGGCAGCAGAGAAGTCCTTGGCCGAGACCAGAAGAATTTATTTAGGGTTTAGCGTTTAGGGTTTAGGGTTTAGGGTTTAGGGTTTAGGGTTTAGTAGGTCCACGGCTTTTGGTCGGATCTGGCGTGGCTTCGCCACGATGTCGCCAAGTGCAAGCATGCGTCGTAGAAGAACAGCGGCTGTTCCGCGGGGACGCCTGGCCCACTGATACCAGAAGCAGGAGCTAGCATTTGCCCAAACGTCAAGCGTATCATGACCCACTCTCGAGGCAGCACAGATAAACGCGACATGCTGTTATCAATCTAAGGCCTTGGATGCGCAAGTGAAGGGCACCTGGGCTTGAAAACATCTCCGATGCCGGGATGCAAAGGCGCTGCTGTTGCCGTGCTGACTTGCGCTGGGCGGCTGCTGTTGGGAAGCAAGCACAAGGGAGGCAGCGCCACCATACCATGGTGAGCTGGAACTTTCAGCAAACCTCGATGCGTCGGGCGGCCCATTCATGGGTTTGGCAAGTTATTTGAATCAAGAAGAATCGTGCTGAGAACCGCGCGTGGTAAAGGCACTCGATGCGAGATGGCCTCATGCAAGTGGTGCACCCGAACCCCAAACCTTTCCACAGCGGCTGTTGTCGGAACCTAGACGCAGCTGAGGAGTCGACACTTCGACGCGCCTCGCCCTCGGGTCTGAGAAACGGCGATGCCGCGGGGTCGACTTGCGACAAGTACGAGAACCTGCAGCAATCGAGCAGGCCTACCTAGTGTAACAGAGTCACTTATTTCCATTAATACCTTTAAGAAAGGAGAATGTAAATGAATTGGCGCATTCTCTAGTCTTAGTGAGTATCAAAAAGGATACTCTCGGAGGTTGACAACACCTTCGTCATGGTGTGGGTTGCGAGCTTTTGCACACAGTTGCTGAGGGCTCCGGTGTTCAGGGGACATAGTGCGGCTTTGGGGACCGATGCCCACGTTGCAAGGCTTGGACGTGGACATGAATCACACCCCAAGCATCACAAGCAACGTCCCCCCCTCGCGCCTCCCCAGCACAAAAAAAATAGAAACAATAGTCGCAAGAATAATTAACCATAACAAATAGAAATAACGTAGTGGGCACATGATCGCGCATGGCATGAGACCGTGGGCTTTTGCACCCGAGAAGCAGCTCTTGAAACCGCAGCCACTTCGCGTTGGAGGCCTGGTGGCTGTTGTAGGGTTTAAGGTTTAGGGTTTAGGGTTTAGGGGTAGGGGTCGGTCCTGAGGGCTCCGTGAGCCTATGTCTCAAAGAATACCTACCTGTCTCCCGTTGTGAAAAAGAGCTCTGAAGCAACCAGGCCAGGAGCTTACACAACGGAGTAGCCGCCAAGAAGGTAAAGGGTTTAGGGTTGAGGGTTTTGGGCACAAACATCCAGCTCCACCGTCAAACGGAAGTAACTCCCAAGGGAACTTGCCCCCTTGACGCCCCCAAACCCTGTGCCTCCTGATGATGGGCGAGGCCCGACACGGCGTTGTCGAAACAGTCCATGCCTAGGCAATCGAAACGATCCGCTCTTCCGCTGCCTTGAACGAGCAGTCGATGCGGAATCGGAACGCGAGCGCCAGTCTGCTTTCGCTGCATGTGATTATGCCCGAACTAGCTGGTGGATTTTGTTTTTGCCACCCGCCCAGCACTCGCGCGCGCGCGCGCGCGCGGCGGGGGCTTCTGCGCCTTTGTTCCCTGGGGCCTGTTTCTGAGGCCCGTGCTCATCACCAACATCTGGCTCGCCGAGTGGAACAACGCCGCGGCCATTTTGGCATCTCCCTTGTGCAGCCAGTACCTCACAAACGCCACCGGATGTCATACCTGCCTCGCCTGCGGTTCGCAGAAAACCACTGTGCAGTACCATCGCATCGCATGGACAGAGTGCACTAGGCTTCGTTTTAGAGATAACACACAAAATGAGTTGAAACACCCCGATGGAGCTTGCAAACCTCAAATCCTCAGCTTAACGAATATGTAACTCCGCACGTTCCTGGGATTTTCTCAGACCTTAGCCGGGCAGCTGGCCACACACCATCGCCGTCACGATGCGCTTGGGCAAGCAGGCGGAGTCTCCAAGCAACTGATCCGTCTCGGGCAGCACCAAAAACTGCACCAGGGTGGAAGTTCCAGCTCCAGTTGCTTGGTTTAGTGGATTTGTAACCCTTGATCAAGGGGATAAGGGTACTACTCGACCATCCCACTTATTTCATTGGGTTCTGAGGGGGATTTTGGCCACTCGGCGCCTGCCAGGGCACCAGAAACCTGGGAAGCAGAAGCAAGCCGACTCAAAGCGGTTGAGGTCAGGCGGAGGCGTTTATGGGCATGTTTGGCAGTGTTGGGGGACCCACGGTCATGCACCCGACAATTCAGGCATTTTCCTTTTGTTCTGCCATAGAGGTTGCTTTGGCCAAAGGCCCTTCTGCGCTCTACTATACTCCCCTTAGGACCTTAATGAAAAGAATATTCTAATATCCTCTTGGGGGGATATAGTCTACGAAGCCCTCCTGAGCACTCCGTGCAGCCGCGTAGCGCTTTCGACTCCTTGAAGCCGGGGGTTCAGAGACTCCAACGTAGGTTTAGGGTTTAGGGTTTAGGGTTGAGGTCAGTTTCGGGGGTTTTTGCTCTCTGGGCGAAGCCAAGGTTGTTTTTTAGTTTTTTTTGCCGCCCGCCTAGCTGACACTCAGGCAACATTGCAGGGCACACGCTGGTATACTTTGGGGTGTAGGGTGTGGGCTCAGCTAGGCTTGAGTCCGTCAGCCAGAAGCCCCCGAACCCTAAAACTTCCAGCTCTCGGGGTCTATGTAGTAGAGTGGGGGGTCTTGTTTCGAACTGCCTTTTGAGGGCCTGCTGTATCTTAGTGGAGGAAGCTGGTACTGTGACATGACATATCATTTTGGCGATACTTTAAGACGCAGTTTTTGCCAACTCCCAAAGTCTTTTTGAGTTGCAGGCCGAGGTCCCGCGCTCAGAGCAGCGGGGGGGGTGGGGCTCAAACACATGGGTAGTTTAGGGTATATATAGGGTTTGGGGTTTAGGGTTTGGGGGGGGTTTAGGGGGGGGGGGGGGTTGGGGGGGGGCTCCAATCTTATCCACTTTGCCCCACTCCCCCGGCACCTGTATAAGCGAGCATGGGCTCTGCGGACTATCGATGGCATCCATGTAGTAGTCCCGTGCTGGATCGCCTTGCTCTCTTCAGGGTTTCAAGCTTCGAGGAATGTCCTATTTTTCAACTGCATCTCTTCTCCAGGCTCAGCTGGGCATTGGTTTAAGGGTTTTAGGGTTTAGGGTTTAGGGTTTAGGGTTGCCCTTTTGCATCAGGCTTGCTTCTGCATGAATGCCCAACTCTAAGCCCTGAACCCTTAGCTGCCCGTAAACAAATACACATGCAGGCCACGAGGTGGGGCCCTCACCGTGCAAAAGCCATACATACACATACCACAAGCAAAACTACATGGCCTGACGGCCCCAGCTGCGTGTGCTCCGAGGAGAAGTACATGCTCCAGAATTTGACAGACTCGCCTGCGGGTGACTCTTCGGCGTCTTGCCAAAGCTTGAGAAGAATCAGGCTTCGACAAGGTTCCAGGCTTGTGGCTTTCAGTCCGCTTGTCAGGTTCCACAATGGAAAACTACCCTCATGACCCAGCTCTAGGGATCTGAGCGCTCGAGCGCCTTCGGTAATTTCGGCTTGGCTTGTAACAGCACGTCACGAACGAAGAAGAGCTTGCAAAAAACCGAAGGCCCAGGCACGTAGCAAGGAGAAGTAGAACCTCGGCAGGGCATCATACAGTCAACTCAGGAGTCAGGAGTAAGTAGCGCCTTCATCACTAGGTTACTTACTTGCCCGAAAGTTGGCATGGTGAGTTTCGGATTTAGGGTTTTGGATATAGGGGCATGATGCAAAGCACGGGTGGAAAGGTTCGGAGAGTGAAGCACAAGTATTCGTGAGCCTCACAAGCCTTTTTGCGCCAGTCCTGCTCTGGTGGTTCAGCCTCACGGACATGAACCCATTCAGCCCAGATGCAACTGGCAGGTGCACGGCGATCCGGACGCGCCTTTGCAAATGCGGCCCGGGTGCATAACAGAGCCCCGATTGCACTACAGGTGCATGGGGGGATTGTCTACATTGCGCGCACGTTGTGAATAACCTACATACAAGGCCGATTATGATGGGCCCCATAAAAGGGGGTCCCATTTGAGTGAACCTCTCAGTATCCTTAGAGGCGCCTTTACATCTAATACGCAGTTTTCACAGAGGGCTTTTCAAAGCTCGTCGGGGTTGAGTGTATGTTGCCGCCCATCGTGCAATTGGCGCCACGGGGCTACCGAGCTTTGCACCTCAACACACCCTTCAATCAAGCTGGGGGAGGTGGAGGCCCGAACCCTAAACCCTAAACCCTAAACCCTAAACCCTGAACCTGGGGGCTCCACAACTGTTTTACCACCGGACTCGGGCCACCTCAACGGCTTTTCCGAAGCTTAGCCAGCCCAGGAACCAAGTCTACTGAAAGAACTGAAGGTTTAGGGTTGAGGGTTTAGGGTTCAGGGTGAACCAACCGTATTTCTTGAAAGAGGTTGAGGCCCATTCCGAAGTCTCTCCCCCCCCCCACCCCCACCCCCGGCGAAAACCCTGAAGGACCGGGTAATTTTTCAAGAGGAAGCTGCCTGAGTTGATGGCCACGGCTGCCCTGAGGAGAATGGCAAGCTGCTGCTCCTGCAGATACGTCGGCTGCTCCGCGTCCTCCCGGGACGGTTTTGGTAAGGAGGCTCTCTTTAGCTTGCGCTGCAGGGAAACATGGAGGTCTTCGAGGCTTTCAAGAACTCCATCAGAATAACACTAAGAAAGCAATGTTAGTAATGATGCTGGTACGGCGGACGCATATAATGACAAATCATTCCAAACAAGAAATTAGACCCTGACCAAGGTTCCAGTATGTTCCATTTCTTAATCCAGGTCTGGCAGGTTTCTTATCGTGGGTGTTGTTTCAACAATACTTCTCGGCAATGCCCCCCTACATCCCTCGACCTACACTATAGACCGTCCATTTACCCTTTTCACCCCTCATATGCACGCTTCCGGCCTCGACCCTCCAGCCTCTTGGTAGTTTAGATCAGCGCCCTGTTATATTGTGTGTGTTTGTGTGTGTGTGTGTGTGTGTGTGTGTGTGTTTTTTTTTTTAAAGTATGTTTCAATATATTTGTTGGTGATGTAAGCTTTTTGATGGTGCTTCTTATGCCAGCCCATCGAACCCTGATAGGTGAACTGGCAAGACACTCGAGGACATCTCGCATGATCTCGCTAAGGCAACTGTCATCCTAACTTCTTTGGCGTGCAAGGGCCCTGAACCCTAAGCCCTAAACCCTAAACCTAAGCGACGGTCCAGCCTTCCGTAGAAAGTAGGTGGTCAGGGCACTTGCGCTGATCCACATCGTGTCGACGTAGTTCACCGTCTGACCCCCTTGTGCCTGTAGTTTCACCGCCTGACCAGGTCGATAGCTAGGCAATAGACAGGCGTTGGCAGGCTTGGCTAGCATGGGCCCTATAATCCCCACAAACGGCCCCATTGTAAGGGGCTTTTTTTGAAGGCTATAAGGTCTGATGGCCCCATCCTGCTTATTTCGTGGCTTCAGCACAGGCGTTCGCACAGCGGTGAAGATGCGGGTGCAGGGATGCAACGGATGGCAAGCTGTTCTACGACCGCACTGTCATCTTCCCAATCCCTAAACCCCAACGGCAAAAGGCCTGTAACATCTGCTTCCACGCGCTATAGAAGGCCCGAATCTGCGAGAGCGCCTGGCGTGGAGCGATAGACAACCACCAAACTCTGGATGTAGGGTTTAGGGCCTAGGGCCATGTACCTCTCTCTCTCTCTCTCTCGCAGACTCGGCCATGTACCTAAATAGGGAATACTTGGGCCTTGAAGTACTTCCTGTGTAGGGACTTTGGGGCCCAGGTAAAAAATATTGCGGGACATGGACCCCTTCGGGTTTTGGTTTGCACCCTCATGAAGAGCGACTTGTGGATTTGCAGCCCCCAGGCACACTGGCCTCGCTCCCTTGTATTGACATATGTTTTGGGATGTTCCCCCTCATGCTACCAGTCCTTAATAGGGATCATAATCGGAAATACTATAATCCCCATTAAGGACTGTTAGTATAAGGGGGAGCATCCCAATATATGCTGGTTGTGTTTGGCACTTGGGGCCGTCATGAGTTTCGCGCGGTTTCCCTGCTAGACAAACCCTAAACCCTAAAGCTGAGCAGAAGGCCCAAACTCTCTGAATCTCACGCAAAAAAAACCCCCAAAAAAACAGCTTCCTGTGGTGAGTGAGTTTCACACCCCCCCCCCCCCCCCACCCTGCCTGCTTGCACAGCCCCTGCCACATCGGGATGCCAACATCTCCCAGCCTGGACTTGTCCATGCTCAGGCGTTTAGGGTTTACTCGGCGCTGTCTCTGAGTCTGAGCAACTGAGCTAGGGTCTAGGGCTTCGGGTATTGGGTTTAGGGCTTAGAGTTTAGGGTTTCCGGGGAAGTTTATCTAGGAGGGCCTTTTACTTTTAGACTTCCTGATAAAAATCCAAGATCTGATGCTCTTTTGAACCCAAAGGAGGGAACAATAGCAAAATATCTCTTCACTAAGGCATCATTGAACGGGCTTGAGGGGCTTAGGGCCTCCAGCAATCTTGCGGGACTTCTGGGTCGCGTCAATGGTCGGGGATTTGTAGGACAGTTTCCGACGAGTCGTGCTGTTCCACACTGCACGCCATTCACCGCCAATGCAAATAAAAAGCTCTGTCACCATCATGCCGCCATGCCCTAACTGGCTTTCTGCAGAAGCCCTATGAGCCTGCAAGTCTCGAAGCCTTAGCCCTCTAAGCCCCGCAAGCTCCCCTTTGCCCTTGCGGCAAGCAGCATGCCTTTGGACACAAAGTTCTGCAGCTCGGAACCCAGGTGTTCTGGAGAGATGCTGCCCACCAGCCAGCCGGTGCGTGCAAACCGCCTTCATGGTGCGGCGTGGTAGAGTTTAGGGTTTTAGGGGATGTTAGGGTTTTGCGGTTTCAGGTTTTTAGGGTTTAGTAAGGGTCTTAGGATGCTTCAGGGTTTCGGCTCTCGCGCTCACACGCGGCAGGCAAGGATTCGGGCAGTCTGTCTCAACTGCAAATCAGAAGGATGTCCACGTCAGCAAGTTAATCATCACAGCAGACACCCACAGCGAATATAGGAGTCGGAATAGTTACGAATAGTATTCCCCCCATCAGGCTTATGCTCGGGAGATCTTTGCCCGGTGCGTTTGGGGGACCTCCCTGGGTTTTGATAGAAGCAGTAACCGTAATCAGGAAGTGTATCCGAGTACGAGGGCTTATAAAGCAAACGTCCCAAGTCCCGGGGTTTCGTCAAGGTCCTCGGGTGTTCGGGGTGACTGTCAGAAGTCAAGACATCAGAGCTTGTTGCCTGACGCACCATGACATATGCTTCCTCAACGAACTTCTATTTGTGCAAGGTTCATATCATCAATGCAGCTCACACAGGTACACACGCACACGCCCACACACACAGACTTTATGCAAAGGTAGATGCTCATGAAGAACCCTGGCCAAGAGTCCAATGCAAGTGGCCGCTCGCGTTCTCCAATCCTGGGCCACAGCAAGGCAACGCTGCTTCAGGCTGACTCAAGCTTAGGGTAGTTACCGGGTAGTTACATGGTCCTTTAGTATGGCCCCTTAAAAGGGGACCCCTTATACGCCCCTATATACCCTATACAAGCCAAGGGAATCGACCTGGGACTAAAGTCCCAGACCAGAATAACATTAGTAACTGTGCTGTGCTTTTAGTAGGATGGGTTGGCTGCCGTAGCCAAGCTGCGGGAGGAATGGCTGCTACGCGCTCTCTCATGTGGGTCTGTTTGCTGCTAGGGTAACTCAGAATACGCTCTTATAGAACGGCTTGACTGCATAAAAGATACTGCGTCCTTGTACCTGGTCTTGGGAGGATCGGAACTTTCAAGGGGCTGGCAGAATAGACTTGGCAGGGGTTGTTGGGACTTTACAGTCTTTTAATGGAGGTAAAAGAGTACATGACTTCTATCTCCCCATTCATTCCTCTAACTCTTGGTAATCCAATATTAGGGCGCATTTATAGTTTTCGTATTTATTATTATCGCGCCCATAGAATTAAGGGGGCACATTATAATTACTATTTTTGCCCCCATTACAATATTATTACAGGATTTCTATTATTCAAGGGTCCTAAAGGCTAGGGTCTATATGATTAGGGGCTCTTCTCTCTTGATTCACGCCTTTAATCCTGAATCTGTGTCTGTTGGTACGCTCTTTCTATAGGAACTGCCAACCGCACACCTGTCCATTATTAATACTATTATTTGTCCCTGGGGCAGGCTGAGGCAGGTGGCAAGAAAAGCCTGAGCCATTTAAACCCCTAAGCTGGGATGTCTCCCAGTATAATCCCTATTCATTAAGGACTGTTCGTATAAGGGGGAACATCCCAACCCCTGACCCTTAAGCTCTAAACCCCCAAAGCAAAGTGGGAGGCAAGCTGCTTTGAAGCGCGCGAGATACCTCGCGCATCGCATCGGCCTCCTGTTTTCCCAGGCTGGAACGCCAGGGGGTCGTTCAGGGGTCTGTCATCTCGTATACAAATATACCAAGGCTCCTCCAAACAGAGACTCTCATTTGGGAACGAAGGGATGCAAGCAATGTGTCCTGCGGTGGAGCTGTGAAAGACTGAGTCATGGAGCCCCAACTCTGTACCCTAAACAGCGGCCTCCTCGAAGCCCCCATCATAGCTGCCTGGATCACCTGTTGAAACTCAGCTTTGATGTACATTGATTGTAATCTCCGGCAAATAAACCTCAAAATCTTCGCCGCGCGCTGAAACTGAGTACCCCGTACACTCAGTGAGTGGAATTTGTGACCCAAACAAACATAGCAGTTGCAGCAGTCATGCCGTATGCAATGGTGACTGGCTGTTCCTGTAGTTTCTCAAAAACATGCGCAATGTTAGTCTTGATGTTGGCATGCTGCTGATGCCAGTCGTCAAGAACCGAGACGAAGATGTCTGAAGAAACGGGCAGTTTCTCGTGAGGTTTCTGTGCTCAACAGAATCATCGGCTGAGAACGGAGCCCTCGGGTAGTTCATATTCTAGTAATTCTCAGGCGACAATATTGGTAGTTACTTCCGCCCCCACCCTAACTGATCCAGTTTTTGAGGAGGGCCTTAACCCTAAATCCTTTTTGAAGCCGGGCGATGCCCTCAACCGCCCTGAACTATTCGGATGCGATCCGAGGTTTGAAACAAGCCGCAGTGTGCCCTCGCCCAGCGAACCAGAGGAAACCTGGGGGCCGGTAGGGTTTAGGGTTTAGGGTTCAGGGTTTAGGGTTTAGGGTTTAGGATTTATAGGGCCTAAGTGTTAGGATTCAAGGCCCAGATAGATGCCGGGACATTCTCGATCGATCTCGGTTTTTCGGATCTCAACTTTCACTGAGAAAAGAGCTGTTGCATCTTTGGGAAGCTGTGGTTCACACAGGGCATTGTCCTGCATCCTCAGTCTTGCATAGTCTTGCTGGCTTTGAAATCACACAATTTCCCTTAACCCTAAGCCCATTCTGAAACTTTCGTGCAAGGCAGCACGGCGAACCCTAAACCCTAAACCCCAAGATGTTTGCAAAGGCCCCTAAACCCTAAAGCGAGCCATAAGCCTGGAGTTTGCGGTGACCTTGTTGGAAAGCCTCTTGGTGGAACATGTGCTTTTTTGAGTCTGAGGGTTTAGGGTTTAGGGTGAGTCATTCAGCATAACAGCACACTGAGAAGCATTCGCATTTGTCTGATATTTACCATCGTGGCAGTGGAAGGACTGCTCCCACTGCTACCACTCCCGCTCCCACGACGACGACTACTACAGTGCTACTACTCCTCCTCCTGTTTTTGCAGATTGCTGCCCCTACAACAACAATAACTACTCCTTGTACTGGCTTTTCAAGTGTTCCCATCGCTTTACAGGGTTTTAGCTTGAGTTGTCCACGCTTGATGTCTGCAGGTGTCGCTTTGGGAGAAAAACTCAAGACCCCACCTAACGGTTCATTAACTTAGGGGTGCCGCTTTTCAGGCGTTCCAACTTCTGGGCATTCGTGTCCACCCCTTACCTAAGCTTACTTGAATGGCTGGGGGTTTTGGCGCTTGCTCATATACACACATATTGTATATATGTAAATATATATAAGAGGGTTTTTATTAATTAGTTTATTCATTCCTTTACTGGTTTACAAAGACTGACTCACATAAAAAAGAAAAGTCTGCCTGTCTTAGGTCCCCCAGACAGGGCCCAGCAGCGCGAACTTCTGCACCGAACCCCGGGCGCCGGGGCGCGCGCCTGCGTCCAAGCAGGCAGGGGGGGGGGGGGGGGGGCAGGGGAAGGAGGGTTTAGGTTTTGGGGTTTAAGGTTGAGGGTTTTGGGGTTTTGGGTTTTTAGGTTTCTAGGGTTTCAGGGTTTTAGGGCTTTAGAGTTTAGGTCTCTATAGGTCTTTCTAAACCCTTTTTTCAAAGACCCTATCCCTAAACCCAACCCTAAACCCCAAACCCCAAACCCCAAACCCTAAACTCTACCGACCCACCCGAAGTGCCCTTGAACATGCCCTGCATAGCCCCATCAAGGTATATAGGCCCTTGCTAAGGGGTACTTTGGGGGTGCAGGTAGGCCCTGAAGCGATTCCCTGAGCCCTATAGCCCTGTTGTGGCGCAGGAGTTTGTCACAACGCAAGCTGGGTCGATCCATGTAGCGTCCAGGCGAACGCTCCCTCTTCTGGATTGGTGACCTGCGATGACTTTCCGTTGTAGTCACCCTCGCAGACCTCAAAGTGCGCGAGGGTGAAGCTGTCATCCGCCTCATCACGGGGCACGGCATCGGCAGGCTCCGTGTAGCGATGCATTCGCCCTGCAATCTCGGCCACCTGCTTCTGCTGAAGGCCTTCAGACGCCAAGGGCGAAAAGGGCAGAGCCAGGACAGTGACAAGGAGCCGATACGCCTGCAGTAGCTGTTGCCGATTTGCCTCTTCCTCCACATCTTCGTCGGGTTCCGAAGCCTGAAGGATCTCAAAGTTCGGAAACTCGAAATGCACATCGGCGATCAGGGTCACGACTTCCAGCGAGCGCCCGGGAAGACTGAAGGCCGCCAACAGCAACCGCGCGAAGCTCGGGTCCGAGAAGATGCCGCGGAAGAGCAGAACCACGAGGTAGTAGGCGAAGAGCTTCCTCGTTCATGGTTGGTATAATATTAATATTACAAACTTACATTTATATGCCCAATTTGGGTCTAAGTACCCTTAGAGATGTAAAATGGTACCCAACTTATGGCAAAGCTTCCACCTCTGCATCTGCCGCCGGTGCTGGACCACCGTGCACTCGACTCGCAGATGCGCCTGTAACATGAGCTGGAAAACCTCACCTTAGTTGTCCAGTAACCTGGGGGAACTAAAGGTTAACCTTCAGGATTATAAGGGGATTACATTACCCCAAAAAGGTTAAAGGTTACCTACTCTACTACTAAGTCACAGGAGGAAATGCACTCGGCGTCCGACAGAGACATGATGAGAATGCGGGCTCTGGCTGGGGAGAGGCTGCTCCGGGACGATCCCGGCTGGAGGGATAAGCCCTTCAGCATCGATGTTCCGCAGCGTTGTAGGAGCTTCCACACAACCTCCTCCTTGTCTGCCACCGGCCCGAAGCGCGGCATCTCTAAAGCCTCGAGCCCCTCCAGCCAGTGGTACGCAGCCCGGACCCCATCGCGCTGGATGCCATTGCCCGCCAGCATGTGAATCTGTTGGGGGGTCCAAAGGGAGAATGCAAACTCCCGTGCCTCCTCGGTCAGGGCCATGTAGCCATCGCACCGCAGGGGCACCGTGGTGATGCCATTCTTGAAGGCGGTCGTGATCTCGCCGGCGCACCACACGCGCTTCAGGATTTCAGGCGTCAGCACCACCACGATGCTCCTCGTCGCCACGCGGACGATGTCGAAGAGAATGTCCAAGTTCTCCAAATGGTCGCAGTCCAAGAACACACAGGCGGGGGAGCACCGGGCGATCAAGATCTTCACAAGTCGGCAGAGGCTGCCGGCACCTCCCTTGTGGTGGCACAGGAAGATGTCGTAGTGGCGCTGGTGGCGCTTCAGGGCGGCTCGGAGGAGCGCCACCCCCGCTACGAGCAGAATCCCAAATACAGGAAAGCAAAGGAGCCAGCCCAGCAGGGTGGAGGATCTGACGCTGAGCAATGGGGCGGCGGCCAGGAGCACCATGAGCAACAGCATCGTCAGCAGGAGCTCCACGTGGTTCGCCTGCTCCGTGCGCCATGGGTACGTCCGGGCCTGCAGCCCACCGAAGGCCAGCAAGATGAGGCCCATGGAGGGCACCTGGAGCTCCGGCATCTCCAGCGTCACGATGGGCAATGTGGCCACCAGGCCATTGCGGACCAGCAGAACCAGACCGTTGTAGTACTTGTCCGCCTTGAACCTGTGGAACATGAACCGGTAGCGGTTGACCCGCCGGAGAGCTTGGCCGCTGGCAACACGCGACGGGTACTTGAAGGTGGTATAGGCGGCCCATGCAAGTATTGGCACTGGCTGGCTCAGAACACCCGCGGTGGCCAGGCCGACGAGCACGAGATGCTCGTCGGACATGTAGCAGATGATGCCTGGATCCGTGATCAGTGACCGCGTCCCGTTAGGGTTCGGCATGCAGCGAAATGGGCTCAACATGGCCAGTGTGATCGATAGGAAGAAGGCAAAGAGGCAGAGCCCGCAGAGGTTGAGGAGACTGTCCAAGGGCTTGGGCCGGTTGAGGAGCTTGGCCAGGAACCACGAAACAACAAGGATCAGGCAAAGGGCCGGGCAGGTCAGCAGCAACGTTGCGAACTTGAGCACTCGGCTGTCGGTGCCGGAGAGGCATGTTATGCGGAGGAAATCGAGGTCCAGGGTCAGGATGTCGGTGAACTCCAAGAGGCCCTTAACAGGATGTTGCCACTCGATGGTGAGCTGCTGCATGGATCCCAGCGCCTGGAGGGCTGCAATGATCTGGCTCGCCACTGCGGCAGCTGTCAGCACGTTGAAGCTCAGCTGGCTGGGCTCCTTCATCATGATGACCACCACCAGGGCAGTCGGTAGGAGGATGAAGAAGAAGACGCCGGGAAGATAGTCGCTCTCCCCACAGGGCTGGCACGTCCCCATGTCGGGCCCATCTTCCACCGGAAAGTGGTTCCTCTGGCAATTGTTGCAGGCCAGGCCCTCCCGCCCACTGGCGCACTGCCCAATAACCCCTGCTGGGCACTCGTTCTTGTTGCGGCAGCGCAGGACTGAGGCTTCACAGGCAAAGGAAGCCTTAAAGGCGTCTGCGTCAGCCCAGTATCCTGCTTGCTGTAGTGGGGGGTTGAGGCCCTGTGGGCAGTGGAGGCCTTGTGGGCACTCGATGCAGCCGATGCTTCCGCACATGAAGGTCGCCTCCGCGCATAAGCACTCCGACTCAGACTCGGCGCCGCTCTCCGGGGTGATCTGCTGCAGCCCACAAGCCAGGCACTCAGTGCCCCGCGCCGAGGGCATGTAGCTTCCTGGCTTGCACCTGACGCACGTCTCCAGGCCCATGTCGGGCGCCGCAAAGCCCGGCAGGCACGGGCTGCACTCGAACGAGCCCACGTCTCTTGCGAAGCGGCCTTGGGGGCACAAAGTGCAGCTGGACATCCCAGTCCTGTTTGCAAAAGTCCCCCTGGGGCAAGCAGTGAAGGATCCCTGGGAGCATTGGCTTCCCTTGGGGCAGACGTGGCACTGCTGGGTCTCATCTTTGTAGAACCCTGGACCACACGCCGACAGCTGCTGTGGGGGGAAGTCATGCGTGGATCCGTCCATCCAAACCAGGCTGCTTGTGAAGCTGAATGTTCGGTTCGCGGCGCTGAAGATGGCAGCGCCTACTGCTTGGTTGGACTGGTTGGACTGGTTGGACTGGTTGGACTGGTTGGACTGCGCGCTCGGCTGCACATGCTGCACGTTCATCATCTCGATGAAGAAGCCCGCGCGGTCGCCATCCTCATTGAAACTGACTCTGCCGGAAGCTCCTTCGAAGCTTTGCTGCCTCAACTCCTCAAGGAGAAGCTGGCGCTGAATCTCGTGACCTGGGACTCCCTTGTGCAGGAGCTGGTTGATGGCCACAAGGAAGGCGTAGACGGCATCAAAAGCCAGGGCAGCCCAGGAACTGGCTTCTTGGAGTTTTGCCATGGTGTCCACAACCACTTCATCCGCGAAGGGCCTCTTCATCACATCCAAGCGATGCCTTTGCCGCGCCTCCGCGCCAATTATGTCCTCTGGCTCCAGCCGAGACCAGAAATTCTGAAAATTCGGAAAGAGAGCACCTTTTCCATAAGGAAGAAATGTCATGAACCCGACGGGTAGCAGAGGGTTGAAGGGTGGGATGCTGTCGGTGCATACGAGTTGCCAGTCTGGGCCCATGAGCCCCTCCTGCCACAGGACGGGCAGGATCTCCTCAGCCATCCCCGGCGCCAGGGCCAAAATGACGAAGCGGGGTCCAAGGAGCTTGAGCGCGTCGACAGCTTCAACTGCCTCGTCCGACATCCCTTGGGGACTGTACTGCAGCCCGTGGCGCTTCACGCGCTCCGGCTCATCATGCTCCCGTGCCAGCTCCTCTAGAACTCCAAGGAGGCCTTCGCCATAAGGCTCCTGGGAGTAGAAGCAGATGGCTGAGGCCACATTGAAGTGCAGAATCCAGCTCCAGAGAGCCAAGCCCTGCACGGTGTCTGGCGGCACCACGCGCATGAAGTAGGGATACAGGTCCTTTTTGGAGAGGGCTGGGTTCGTGGAGGCGTAGGATATCTGCGGCACTTGGCGGACAGCGGCAAGGCTCGCCACGGGCCTGCTAACACTGGAAGCGCGAGCCCCGACTAGTCCAACAGCCGGCTGCGCTCCATCCAAGCCCAGCATCATGTCCAGAGCAGTCGCCACACCCACCTCGGGCGTCAGGTGTGTGGTCCCAACGCGCAAGGTCACGAAGCTCCCGTTCGCATGCACGCCTCCAGGGATGTCGATCACGGGCGGGCCAAACCGCGCCACCAGAGAGGCATCCCAATGCTTTCGGTAGTCGATCATCGCCGCGATGCTGGCAATGAGCTCTCCTCTATCGCTAACCGTCCAACCTCCCAATGCGCCTAAGGCGATCTCGCCTGCAGCACAGTGAGCAGAGAGAGCCGCTACCAGCACATGGCAATGCATCCTCGTTTGCACGGAAAGCCCGTCCAAACCCTGAAAAGCCCTAAAACCCAAAAGCCCGTCCGACCACGGTTGCATGTCATTCTAGGCATCTTTCGAAGACCGCAATGATAGCATGTGCTACTTATTTGCTGCGCCTGGGGCCGAACCGTCCGGCATGAGGCGAGGAGGAAGCTGACAAGCACGGGTCTAGGGTTTAGGCTTGCAGGGTCTATAGGGCTTAGGGGTCATGAGTTTAGGCTTATAGGGTCTAGAGGGTTTCGACTCTCACGGTCTTAGGGGTGAGGTTTAGGCCCTAAACCCTAAACCCTAAACCCTAAACCCTAAACCCTAAACCCTAAACCCTAAACCCTAAACCCTAAACCCTAAACCCTAAACCCTGTACAGTGCAGGGTTTGGGGTTTCATGGGTTGAGACAGGATTTGGAGACCGGCCGGTGGGCAGGGCACCATGTCAAGAGGCCCCAATGCCCAACACTATCATAGCAGGAGCGACCGCCACGGTTTAGGGTTTAGGGTTTAGGGTTTAGGGTTTAGGGTTTAGGGTTTAGGGTTTAGGGTTTAGGGTTTAGGGTTTTTTTTTGGCCACCCGCCTACAGTCGCACACACTGCAGGACACATGCTGGGGAGAAATCTTCATGGTTTAGGGTTTAGGGTGTCTCCCAGAGTCGTACAGTTCGAGGGGAGTTCCCCATCTTTTCTAAAGGCCCCCGATCCAGGATATGACTGTGCAGGAGTCGGGCGATATGCCCAACCATATTGTTCAGCTCGTCTGCGACTAGTTCTGCAAACATTCACAAAGGGTGCAGGACTCGGGCTACGCAAGGTGAAAGCTGTAAGCCCATCACTTAGCATGTTGCAAAGGGTTCGGGTTCTCTACTTACTTACTACGTTTTATCTGCTGCCGTTAAGGCTCAGGTTGGTTATCTGAGAACTTTGCTGCGCAAAGAGTCCAAACCCAAGAAAGTGGAAATCCCTGCGGCGTAGACTCGCCCCAGCTGTGCAAACAGGCAACAAAACAGAGCCTGCCCTACAAAACCTGCGCGCCCACGACGCCCACGAGCACACTGGCATTGTAAGTCGGTTTAGGGTTTGCTGGGATTGGGGTTTGCTCGCCAACTCGGAAGCCAAACCCGCAAAGTCATAAGCCCCTGGAGCCGACGGCTCGAAGCCCACGTTTAAGGGGTATAAGGAGGGACCCTTCTACAGTTTATCGTCCCTATATTTCTAAGTAGCAAGGTTTTTTCTCCCACACCTCGTTTTGCCTTGCACCCCTAATGCCCTCATAAGTAGCATTGGCTTGTTTGCTCCTCCTGTGGGAGCGTCGTGTGTTTGTTCGGTTCTGGCGCCGCCCTCAGAAGTAGGTGTGATAGCTAGTTCCCAAAAGTATGGGTCCCTGGGACTATACAAGTCCTAAACCCTAAACCCTAAACCCTAAACCCTAAACCCTAAACCCTAAACCCTAAACCCAAATATCCCCTAAATAACTCCTCTGGTCCCTCGTAAGGGTCCCTCCTTTCCTTGGCACATGCAGGCGCAGAGACACACCTACACACATTCAGGGTAAGTTTGTGTGACAACGCACATGTAGCTCCGAAAAGGCCTACCTAGTTTGTAGAGCACAATAAGAAGCTCTCCTAAACCCTAAACCCTAAACTTACCCTAAACCCTAAACCCTAAACCCTAAACCCGAAACCCTAAACCCTCAACTCAACACTAAGATCCAAAGATCGCCCCCCCCCCCCCCCCCTCACTTCAGGGGCCTGAAGGTCCCAAGAAGGGAACTGCCGAAGGAGCGATGCCGGCCACCAAGCCCGGGAGAAGTCCGAGCCAGAGCATTTAGGGTGCTTAAAGGGTTTAGGGTTTAGGGTTTAGGGTTTAGGCTTATATTTAGGGCTTAGTGTCTATAGGGTTTAGAAATGCCAGTGCATTGGTGTGTTAGGGGTGGGCGAGTGCTGGGCTAGGGGCTCAGAGATTCATGCACCTATTCAGGGTTTGGAGACCTATAGGGTTGTGGAGGGAGGGAGGGAGGGCTTCGGGCTTCGGGCTTAGGGCTTAGGGCTTAGGGCTTAGGGTTTAGGGTTTAGGGTTTTTCTCTTTAGGGTTTAGGGTTTAGGGTTCAGGGTTTGGGCTGAGAGTCGAGAGGACCTTCCAAGCTCTGTGCAGGTGTTTTGGAGGGCACTTGGGGCACGAGTCTGCGAGTAGCTTCCTTGAGCGGTGACATCGAAGTTTGCAACGCGTGAGCTCGAACTGACGTGAAAGCACTTGCCACACCAACGCTCTTTCGGGGACTTCCTTTCTCCATGCTGGCGAACTGTCAGCAAGTCCGTTTGCGCCCTGAGCAGGAGAAGCGAATCTCAACCGATTGCGGCGGCGGAGCGACGCTATCTTGCTGTGGGGAGCTATCCCAGGAACAACGGATGCCTGCGTCACTCGTCATCCTGCCTTGGCTGAAAGACTGGTGATTTAGCTGTGTAGGGTTGCTGGCCCACAATGGCTTAGCATGGTTCTAAAGCACGCCCTTAAGTCGGTCTACGTACGACAGTGCCACCGAGGCGCAGCACTCTTAGTTTCATAAGGTTCTTAAGGGAGGGGCAAGGGGGGAATGTTGCCCGAGGTTCCCTAAATACTCCCCACTACTCCCTAAGGCTTCCGAGGCTTCCCGCGGTAGCCATGAACCCCCTCTCCCTTAAGAACCCTCTACTGATCGCGCACTGCAGTTGGGGAGTATGCAGGCGACCGCGTATGGTGTAGCTACCAGGCAGGCAATGCTTGGCTGAACCCTGCTAAAAACCCTTTGAAGCCCTGCAAGTCTAAACTAAACCTTTGTGGATCTCAGGAACTCTAAGGGGAACTCTAAAGAAAACACTGAGCTAAGACCTCCTAACAATAACCACAACCGCACCACAGAGGGAGGGGGATGAGGGGTGCCATACCAATGGGGGGTGGGGGGACGGGCGTCTGATCGTACCTGTATATATATATATATGTATATATTAATCTCCTCTTTCTTTCTTTCTTTCTTGCTTTCTGTATTTATTTCGTTATTTCTTTTCTTTTCTGTTCTTTTCTGCAACCAGGCCTGAAGATACTGCCGGGAAACCGCAAGCAACCGAAGGGGACACCCTAACTTAAAGAACTACCTAGAAACCCAGAAACATCCCAAACCCTAAGCCCTAAACCCTAAGCCCTTTTGCATCCAGGTCTGACGCCGGGCATCACCAATTTTACTGAAGAGGCGAAACTCGTGTTCACCCTCAAAGAATAGTCCGAATACTCTCAACTTGCTTGTCAGGTAAAATGTCAAAGAGAACCACACATTGAGTTGTGGTTCTCTTTGACATTTTACCTGACAAACCCTAAGCCCTGAACCCTGAAACCCTGCAACAAACCCTAAACCCTAAACCCTATAACCCTAAACCAAGAAACCCAAGAGCCAGGGCAACGCCCTGAAGCCCAAGGCGCGCGGCGGCCAGGGCGGTACGGACAGATCGCACTGAGGGGTTCTTGTCCCCGGCGGCTCGTAGAGCGCGGGTCACCACATCCTCCAGGGTTGGGAGGCTTTAGGTTTAGGGTTTAGGGTTTAGGGTCTATAGGGTCTAGGGTTTAGGGCTTATGGTTTGGGGTTTGGGGTGAGGGGTTTTGTTGCTGCTGCCCGCCCAGTACTCGCGTCCGCTGCAGGGAGTACTTGACTACTTTGCTTAAGAACCCCCCCCCCCCCCCCCCCCAAAAAAAAAAAAAAAAAGAGCAAAATCAGAATCTGAGTCCCTATACTGCCCTTATAAAGATGAATATGTATTCAAATCAAATTCTCTTTTTGTGCGGCATCAAAGCACAACTCCCTTCCGTAGCGGCCCGGTATGCAGCTTCTGTGCTCGGGCATTGGCTCCGTACCGCTTGGATGGCGTCAGCTTGCTCTGTTACCACTGCGCAAATCAAAGACTCGACGATGTTGTGGAGGAGCATGCTGTTCCAGTCAGACCCGAACATGCTGCCAGGTCCAGTCGCCCGGGAGTGGTGGGGTCTGCAAAGCAGAAATTGGCGTTAATGAGGAAGGGAAGCGAGCTTGCGACTGGCGCTCCAGGCACAGAGCCCACTGCTCATCTTCCGGATTGTCACGCTGGAGGAATCGCCAGGTTTCCAGAACCTCAGTGGGCTCGTGCGGCGCAAGATTTTGAACATCTGGCGGAGGGCTCCAGCGCACGGAGATGACAACGTTGAAACTGATTGAAACTGACATAAGGCCGCGTCTCCAAGTCTGTCGCTGGCTGGACACCCAGTCGGCTGAGGTGGTCGGAGATGAACGACTGCTTCTCCTTGCTCTTTCTGAGGCGACCGGGAAGCAAACACACGGCGGTATTCCAGCGCCCACGAAAGTGAACATCAAATGGGCCCAAAGAAGCTGGCACGCTGGACCGACGCTGGATTGCATGATGTGAACTTGCAGCGAGGCTTTGGCGTAGCATTGGAGCCAGCATCTGAAGCAATCCAGCAAAACGGTTGAAAAGCTGGTTGAAATGAACGAAACCTGTTGCAAGGCCTCTCCGGCTCGATGACTTCGGGCTTGGCGCAGCACCACCACAAAGACCGGAAAGCCTCCCACCACTCGAAGACCTGCTCTCGCTGATGGGCTGCCTGAGCGTGGACATGCTCGACATAGTGGAGGGTGTCCTCCCGCACGGCACGGGCCTGTTCACGGGTGCTGCCGCCCCCGTGCTCGAAAAGTGCAGTGGACGCAGCCCCTCGCTGATCCGGGATGACGCTGTCCCACACTTGCCATGCGAAGAGGATTTCCGACATATTGCCGGAGCTGCAGGGTCTTAGAAGACGACTATTTGCTACATGCTACTAGCTACTTCAAATTCTCTGGGGGTACTTATGCAAATATCGGGATGTTCTTAAAGTCCTATAATAGGGATTGTAAGACGGGGCTCTTGTGAGGTCCACAAAAAGTCAGGTATCTCTTGGATACTTTCACGGCTACTAAGGCCCTAGGTGGCTCCCAGGTGAGGGGCTTAGTGTTTGGGGTGGAAGGTTTAGGGTTTAAGTTTAGGGTTTAGGGTTTAGGGCTTTGGGGCTTTGCTAAAGTGCGCTTTTTGTCGGTCAGCTTCCTAGCGGAGTGGTAGGGTGCACCGCTCGAGGTCTTCTGTGAGGTCCGGCGTTTTTTTCTTAGGGGCTGAATACCCCAGCCCTAAAAAGGTTATATATATATATATAGATATATGTCATAGATAGATAGATATATATCGATATATATGGATATATACCTAGCCAGTAAGTTTTGTCAGGGTTTGAGATGCATTTAGGGCATCCAGGCAAGGCTGATTGGCTATTTGTTCTTCGGGCAGGACCAACAGAGCTGCTGGCAAGAGATCATGGTGACCATGCAGCAAAATCGCCGAGGACTACTGAAACCATACGATGCCGAAACATCTTTTGCAGGGTTTAGGGCTTAGGGTTTCGCTACGCCCTATAGCCCTACACTACTCGCCAGAGACGGAGCTGTAATTGCAAGGCGTGGGAAGAGTCCGCATGTAAAGTCGTGCTTGGCTTCCCCCAACCCATCACCTCGCCTATGGATCCTATAGTAGCCACAAGATAACAAGGTCCATACAATACTTTAGGTTTTTTGCCCTCTAGCCAAAGCACTCTACGCAAACCTGCCGGCTCTTCAGAGGAGCGTCCTCATCGACCGACACGCCCGCCTGGCAGAGATGGCTCCCAGATGCATTCTTGGGTTCTGCTTGGAGATTCATGGGTATTTATCGCCCCCAATTAGAAGTCTACTTATACTACAACCTACATAAGGGGGTGATGAGCACAGCTACAAATGGGGATAGAAGTAGCCTGAATCTCTAAGTACAACTTCGGCTCACACACTCGCACAAGGCAGGCAAGGATTCGGTCCCTCGGTTCAACTCGAAGCTACTTGCTCAACCAACGTCATGCGAGGATGTAGGTTCTGTAGGGTTTAAGGGGCCTTGGGTCTTTGTTCTTTACGTTTTTGCGCTGTGACTGAAAATGATGATGCACGATGTGTCTTTTGCCCAATGACAACAAGCAAATGACGAAGGTTTTTATCTGAGTCATATTGCTCTAACAGAAAACCCCTAATTTCAGATTTTCGTGGGGGGCGAAGTCAGGTGCGCTAACACACAAATTTCTTGATTTTGTGATTCGACAGGCTCAATCATGAGCAAGCTGGAGCAAAGATTCACGTTTCAATTCTGGAAGGACAGTTCTGTCAGGTCAAGGCTCCCAGCACCAGCAGTGCACTTGGACAATTCAAGGCCGAATGGCCGAATGCGGCAAGAGCAGTACTTACACACGTCGACTCGGAAACCAGACCGAAGGGGCGGTAAAGATGATGCTGTTCTTTGAACATTTTTTGTAACCATAAGCCCTCTGCCTAAACCCTTCAGAAACCCTTTCTCCCGTAAGCCCGGAACCCTGCCTCCCTAAGTCCTGAAAATCACTCTAAACCCCCTTGGCCCTGAACCATAAGGTCTCCGGTTTCTACGACAAAGCAGGCCTGACGAAGGGCAAGGCCCACCACTTCGGGGGGCGGCTGGCCCAACCCAGGCCCTGCTTGAAGAAGGGCCTGTGAAGTATGTATCTATTTACATATGGACAGAAAGAAAAACCTGTTTTCTATCTATATACGGATATGTTTAGGATTTAAGGTTTAGTGTTCAGGGCCCATGGAAATAAACAACGAATGTATGTATTTTTCTATATACATATATAAATACAATGTGAATATGAATATGAATATAGATATAAATATAAAAAATATGAATATATGGTCTCGCCGCCCCCCCCCCCCCACCCCCCCCCCCCCCCCCCCCCCCCCCCCCCCCCCCCCCCCCCCCCCCCCCTGTGGTGTGGGTGGTTGGGGGGGTTAAAGGCTTAAGGTTTAGGGCCTACCCCCACGCACCCCCCTGTGGTGTGGGTGTGGTTGGGGGGTTAAGGTTTAGGGTTCAGGGTTCGGGGTTTAGGGTCTCAGTTTTAGGCCGTGGTGTGATTGGGGGGTTGGGGTTAGGATTTGGGGTTGAAGGTTTAAGAGACCGGCCGCCTGTACTACCCCTGCGCCCCCTCCTGTGGTGTGGGTGTGGTTTTTTTTTGCCCGACTAGTGTGGGTGTGGTAGGGGGTTAGGGTTTAGGGTTTCAGCTTTAAGGTTTAGGTTTTCGGGCTTGCGTCAGTTTAGGGTTTAAAGTTTACCCCCCCCCCCTGCCTGTGCGTTTGAATGGGGGGTTGGCGTTTGGGGTTGAAGGTTTACTGTACGGTTTAGGTTAAGGGTGTGAGGTTTAAGTTTGGTTTAAGGTTAGGGAGAGGTTTGGGGTTTGGAGGGCCAGGGGGGCGGATACCCGCGGGCGGGTTCCTGGGGGGGGGCGGGGGGCCTTTCCATGATCCATATCCATGTTTTTGGGCTGGCATTTGTGCACCACTATTTATTTTCACCTAAAGTCCCAGCGCAGAGAACACCGGAATTCGCGATGCTTTCTTATCTTTCGATGAATGAAGTCATAAGTTCTTGCTTGCTGTATGTAGAATTGAAACAGCCGAGATCCATAAACAGAATCCATTGTGGATCTGGTGTTGCATGGTTGTCGACTCTGTGGTTTCATTCCACTCATACACATGAATGCACACACACGCTCCTAACGCTGCATTCTCTCAAAAATGAAAACAATGAACCCTAAGGTCATAAGGGGAAATTTGAGCCTGGGCGACCCGATCGGTCACTTCTCTCACGCCTCTCTCTCCCCCCTCGCGTCGCCGCCCTGCCATGCCCGTCTCTGCTTTGCCGAAGACGAGGTCACGAGCGGAGCCGTTACCCCGGCTCGGCTGCACAGTGGGCCTCAATGAAGTTGATTCCCACAAACTGAATATGTTCACCGTCAGGGGGGACATCGCGTCGCCTTGGCGATATCCGTTTCCAAAACCTTGGGTACGTGCTGCTACAGTGCTCCACCGCAAAACTCGCTTCTGGTAGGTTTGGTCCAGCAAAGTCGACGCCAATGCGGTGTAGGCAGTCCCCAAACGCGTCACGCCCTTCGTCATGGCTGCGTGCCGGGGTAACATGGTCGAACGCCAGCATGTAGTCTTGAGCCAATAAGCCTTGGGGGTCAGGTGTAGGGTGTTGGATAGTTTGTGTACTCGCTGACTGCAAAACTGGCTGGACTGCTGCGTCAAAACCTTGCCATTGTTGGCCTGGGTTTGTTCTGCACCACGACTTGTCAGCTTGACACAGCCTTCTACGCCTTCGGACCCGACGGCAGTCTGCTTCTGCTTCTGCGCTGTGAACGTCGACCAGAGCAACAAGGGCTCAGGGTCAGGAGGGCGAGGGGTCGGCGGGGCGGGCCGGAGGGGTCGGGGGAGTGCGACACTCGCGAATGGTTGCGGACGCTTGCATAGCTTGCCGCCAGAAGAGACTCGCCAGAACAAGAAGAGACTCGCCAGAACACGACTCTTGTGCAGCTCTCCTTAGCTTGCTGCCCTCAAAAGCTCGTGAGGACACGCCTCGCGTGGAGTTCCCCCTTAGCTTGCCGCCCTCAAAGACTCGCCAGGACACGCCTCGATCGTGTGGAGCGACCCCCGACATCCCTGTAACTGTGGGCAGACATTTCGGTACCAAAAAACGACCATTGTTCCCCAGTGTCCGGACGGAATCCGACTCTCGCGGACGCTCGCAGACGCTTGCCAACGCTTGCGGACGGATTTCGCGTCAACTCCCTGACCCCCAGACCCCCAACCTCAAAACGAGAACCCTTCTGCTAAGCATTCGGGAAAACAGCTCTGCGGGTCGCTTGGTCTGCCTGCTAAATGAGACTTAAACTCAATTTTTGCCACTGTTCATTCCTGTTATGTTGTAAGAAAAGTTAAGATGATTCCACAAATATAAATATAAATATAAGTATAAATATAAATATATAAACAAAGATATGAAATATGAATATAAATAGAAAACATAAATAGACATATAAACAGAAATATAAATAAAAAATACAAATACACATAGAGAAAATAGGTGTGTGTATATATAAATATATAGCACGAATAACGAAATTTTAACCAGTATATTAGCTGACTGTTATACTAAGTATTGCAGATCATAATATGTGACAGGCCTATACAAATAGAAGGTGCGCTATATGTGGGAGGTCCGAGTCATGATATTCATCGGGGCACCTTGATGACCTCCTCTGGCTGCGCCTGGCTTCCTTGCAGCAGCGTTCTAAGGGGCTTTAAGGGCAGAAAGCTGAAGGGTTTTAGGGATTTTGGGGGGGGCTCTTTTAGAGTTTGTAGGGTTTAAAAATGGGTTTTCAGGGTTTTTGGGGTAGTTTAGGTTTGGTCCACCTGTGGACTTTAGTCATAGAGCGAAGCTGCAGAGCTCACGTCGCGGAGATTCTGGGGTTTTTGGGCGACGTTCAGGGCCCGGCCCAGGTATGGGAGTTTCCGACAATGGGGGTACCCTTTTTTGGGGTCCCTTTAAGGGGATTCTATTCTATTAGGGGTATACAAGAGGTACCCCTATTTTGGGAAAAGCCCACATGACCCCTAGACCTTTGGAGACCGGAAGAAGGACCCCACAATACCCAGACACCACCCGGCGGGTCCTCGGCCAGGGGCCTGCCCGGTGTGGCAGCATGTTTTGGTTTAGGGTTTAGGGTTTAGGGTTTAGGGTTTAGGGTTTAGGGTTTAGGGCTTAGGGCTTAGGGCTTAGGGCTTAGGGCTTAGGGCTTAGGGCTTAGGGCTTAGGGCTTAGGGCTTAGGGCCTAGGATTTAGGGTTTAGGGTTTATAGGGTTTAGGGTTTAGGCTAGGGTTTAGGGTCTTTTTTCCCACCCGTGTCGCAGGTTTAGGGTTTAGGGTTTATAGGGTTTAGGGTTTAGGGGCTTGGGGGACTCCCACGCGACCTCAAGGACTTGGTGGCCCAGGAACCCCCTTTACAATGAGGGCGCCCTTTTTTAGGTTGGCTACTCTATCAGGGAACCAAGGACCAAACAAAGGGGTTTCGGGTTTAGGGTTTAGGGTTTGTACCACTGGGCTGCCAAGACTCAAGAGACCCGATTCGGTGAAGGACTCGGGACTGCGTGTGGCTGCATGCTTATAAGCTCTGAACCTCTCATGGGGGGGGGGGGGGGTTGTTTCAAATTCGGACCCGCGTGGGCATACGAAGCCTAAGTCCCAAAGATTCGTCTCCCCCGATGCCTTGGCAGTGCTGCTTCTGCTGCTTCCCAGGTCCTCTGTGAACATGGGGTAGCCTGCAACACTCGATCCCGAAACTGCGCGCCTGTTCTGTTGGGCTTCAGGGGAGTCTGGTTCAGGATTTCGGGCGGCGCCCGCCCTGCACAGAGGCGGTCACGTTATATGATGCGAGAAGACATTCCACAGCTCCAGAAGCCAAAGCCACACAAGCCATTTGCCCTCAGAGACTTGGCACAAGCATCTTCTATACTGCAAAGAACCCAGGATGGCCCTTAAAGTGAAACATAATACAAAACATACGGTCCTCTTAAACCCGATAAGGGAAAATACAAAATATCCCAAGGGCCTTCCCCGAAACCCTAAACCCTATTGCCTACGCCATAAACCCTAAACCTGGAAGACGCCGACTGTCTGATTATGACTATGACTCTGACAGACAAGACGAGGGCTGCCCATCTGACCTTGGGGTTTCGGGCTCGGCTTGGACACGCCTGCTTCAAGCACATGACTCAAACCCTTCCTGCAATCACAGAAGCAAACTACAAACAAAACGATAAAGTAATGATAGCACCCTTCCTGCAGTCTGAGAAGCACAAGCAAAACGATGAAAAAAAAAGATAACAGCAGGGGCACCCAGCACAACACCAAAATGACAAACTGAGTTCTTTTCCTCAACATCAGTGTGTAGCTGTAAGAATCTCAGAATTGTACCCCCTCAAATGGAGCATGTCGCCATGGCCGGTTGATTCCCCGACCGTTTCCCTAAACCCTAAACCCTAAATCCCAAACCCTAAATCCCAAACCCTAACCCTAAACCCTAAACCCTAAACCCTAAACCTGGTTGCACCTCCTGAACAAACCAACCTCCACGCAGGAGCTCCCGGAGCTCCAACAAGGGGTTTTAGGGGGTTTAGTTTAGGGTTTAGGGTTTGGGGTTTGGGGTTTAGGGTTTCGGGTTTAGGGCTTGGAGCTTAGGGCTTAGGGTTTGGCACGCGCTCTCTGCTGGCAGTTCACAGGGTTTAGGGTTTGGGTTTCGGGGTTTGGGGTTTAATTAGGGTTCAGGGCACCACGCCCGACAGGAGATGCCGCGTCGACGCCCAGACTTCCGTTGAGCCCGGACACCCTAAACTCGACCCATAAGCAACCTAGAGGAATCAAAAGGGTGCCCTGTTTGGTTGTTTTAAGCAGCTTCTAAGGGAACCCTAAGCCCTTAAAAAAGGAATAAGGTGCCATACTCTGGGTCCCTTTAGTGATCTGGCCTAGCTTGCTGAGGTCGTTGAGGTCGCTGGCAACGGCGCCGTCACCCGCGCCGGCCGTGCTGTACTCGGCGGCAGCGGCCCTTGCCGCGGCCATGTCCTGACGTGGGGTGTAGGGTTTAGGGTTTAGGGTTTAGGGTTTAGGGTTTAGGGTTTAGGGTTTAGGGTTCAGGGTCTTCAAAGGGCTTAGGGGATCTGACGGCATGACTCCACCCGCCTGAAGCAGATGAGCTACGAATTCTGCAGGTTTCGAGAGTGAGGCTCATTGTTCTGATTTGCCAGGTTGCTGGGAAAGTAGAGACTGCGAATCTTCATGTTCTTTGTCATTCGTAGCAATGATTGTGGTGCAGCTGGAGGTTGGGGTGATTGGGCTTAGGAGCCCTGAGTTGAAATCCAGCTGTAGGGGTATATCCGCGTGGAGTTCCGAGCTCAGTGCTGTCTAGAAGGGAGGCTTCCTGTAGACCCGAAACCCTATCCAAGCCCAAGATCCTCAGAGAGATTTGCACCCGGGACCCGACATTTCAAGCCGTCAGCCCTCTAAACCCTAACCCCTAACCCCTACAAACCCTCAACACGGGGTTCTGTCTCCTGGCTGCTGGGCTTAGATCCCAGTGCCTCTTTCAACGCCTCGGCCACGGCGATGAGCTCGGGACGGGGGGTTTAGGGTTTAGGGTTCAGGGTTTAGGGTTTGCAGCTATAAGAGCTGGAGTCCACTTCGTAGGGTAAGCGGAGAAGAGCATCGAGAAAAACGCCTGCAGGTTGAGGGACTGGGTGGACCGAGGTTCTTCTGCCACCTGCCCAGCCGCCTTCCTCTCTGCCACACCTACAAGTACCCAGCAGCCTCACGCTACCCATGACGCGCCTCATGCGTGGGTTGATGGCTTATAGGCTACTGCTTTACTCTGATTCTGGCCAAGTTTCTGCTGCCTCCCGATGGGGAGCATCCCGACCGGGATGGGCACAGCTGCGCCCAAGCTCTGTGCAGCCGAGATGCTTTTTCCACATTCTCGTCCGTCGCTGGAATTCCCGCAGCTTTGAGAGCTGCACCGACAACCTGCGCCAGAGCGTTGCGACGGCATTGCAAAGATTGGGCACGCCATTGTAAGGGTCCACACATCCGAGAAAACCTTGGTTCTCCCTGATCCCTGAGCCGCCCCCTGGTTCTTAGTAGGGAGTGAGGGAATCAAGGCCCTATGTATACCCTTTAAGGGATTGTAAAGGGTACCTCATTCCCCCATTCCCTAAGAGCCGGCCAGTAGTGCCAGCCCCAAGATCTCCGGAATGCCCTTCGCTGATTCTGCAGTTCTTTCCATCGCCGCGATCCGATCGCGTGCTCGTGGGGAGCACGCGTGCTTACTCTCACTCCCGTTCCTGCATGACTTGGCCATCTTGGCAGCCCGAGAAACAGGACACAATAAGGGTACCCCTATTTGGATTGGCTGCTTTTTCAGGGAACCTCCTGTAAAACCCGAAGAAGGGCAAACAAGGGCACCACTGGGCTGCCACCAGCCATACCTTTGTGAGGGAAATCTTGGGATGTTCCCCCTGAAGCACACAGCCCTCAATAGGGATCAGAGTACCTCCTTATTATGATCCGATTAAGGACCTGTTGGAATAAACCCAAAACCCAAAACCCAAAACCCAAAACCCTAAACCCTAAACCCCATCCCAAGGGAAATGTCTGCCAGAGCCTCAGGAGGTGGTGAGCCAGCATCGGGCACCACCTGCATCAGCGTCCGGACGACATCCTGGGAAAGGGGGGGTGTGTAGGAGGGTTTAAGAGGGTTAGAAGGGGGGGTTTGGGAAGGGGGTTTAAGGGGGGTGTAGGAGGGTTTAAGAGGGTTACAAGGGGGATTTAAGGGGGTTTAGGTGGCTTAAGGGGGGTTTAGGAGGGTTTAAGAGGGTTACACGCGGGATTTAAGGGGGTTTAGGGCTTCGGCTAGTAGCCCGTGCAGTACTTGCCGGCAAAAGGCAGCGCCGTGTCCTTGTCGCTTCTTGCATATTGACGATAAGTGAGATCGAGCTGTTTATGCAGGAGCCATCAACAGAACCACTTTGAACCGTCCAGGTCATAACACGAGGAATAGCCGTACTAACCCTAAACCCTAAACTCTTCACTAAAGAAGACTGTGTACATGGCATCGGCCATTTTCTAAACGAGTGAGACCGCGACCTGGCCACGTTTTTCATGCATGGTGGCGGTTGAATGACACCAGGTAGGGCCACGAAGCACAACTTTGCCTAAACCCGCCCCTAACCCTAAACCTTCAAAAAACCCTGAACCCTGACCTGGAGCCCCCCCAACCCCCCAAAGGTCCTCGGGAGTCTGCGGCGGGAGGAAGCTGGCAGGGAGTGGACATGGGTTTAGGGTTTAGGGTTTAGGGTGTAGGGTTTACAAGGTAGAGTCAGCACGGGGTATTTGTGCAGTGTAGCATGATTCAGGATCCGGCCCTCACTTCTACAAGGGGGGGGCCCCCCGCGTTATAAGTAGAGTGTTAAGGACCCTAAACTGGGTTCTGAGGATCCTAACTTTGGTTAGATGTCCCTTTTAACTGTAGTCAGAAAAAGCAAGGGGGCCCCTCCTTGTAGGCATTCTTGCAATCACCCTAAGCTATCCCATTCAACCCCTGTGGCTAGTTGCATCCCAGCTGACCAGAAGAGCCGATATTGACGTACGCACAAGGGGACCCGAATTAGGGGAACTGATCCGCAAGTGTCTTGCAGGGCCACTTTCGACCGGGAACTCTCCTCCAGGCCCTTGCTTTATTGCTTTATGCTGGTTTCTTCCATGTTGCACAGGAAACCTCTCTCTCAATAGCTTTTGGTACGGCAAGAAATGGCCGAAATCTCTTCTCAGAACCGGTTCGGTTGTGGCCTGAATTCTAAACCCTAAGCCCTTTTTTGATTTTTGAACCTGGGCTCTGAAGTACTGCCAGGAAGCAGGGGGAGCGTGCTCAACCCTAAACCCTAAACCGACAACCCTCAACCCTCAACCCTAAACCCTAAACCCTAAACCCTCAACCCAAGCACCCACCTCGCGGGGTCAAATCCGTCCATCCTCGGGAGGGTCGCCACGTCCGGCATCCCCAGGCGCATGCCCTCAAGGATCCGCATGGCCTTGCTTTGTGTCGCTTCAGGGCACAGGGTTTAGGGTTTAGGGTTTAGGGTTTCTGGAGGGCCGCTCCACCCTAAACCCTAAACCCTGAAGCCTCAACCCTGATTGTTTTGACAGGTTGTTTGTTGGGCCGGCTGAAGAAGCTCGCGCGGATTGAGGGTGGTGACTTTCCGTTCCTGTTCCGCCTTTTGTGAAGTGCAACCCAGCCTGGACAGGCTTCTTCATCTGAGCCAAGGCGTTGTTGAAGGTGATGGCGGGTGTGGACTTGGAGCACATCGGCAACATGACACACTGGCCATGTGGGGAGGGGATAAGTCGACAAGTCCCGGGTCCGTCATAAATCTCTCCTCAACCATAAGGCCCGTACTGGGGTGTTGTACTTGATCTCCTGCAGGCAAAGGGGTGCATCATCATGCTGATGGCGCTGTCTACCAGAAAGCAGCTTGGTTGCGAACTTGCTCGAGATGCCCCCCCCATCTTCTCCCGCAAGGACGCATGTACTTTTCGCCCCAGCACTGCCCCGGCCCGGGGCAATTTAGAGCTCCCCATCATGTGCAGAGCATGCGCGACGCAAGTGTCCGGCATCGGGCGGTCGATTTTCCTGATTGAGTGGCACAGTCTCTGCACAGGACGTCTATTGCCCTTGCTGCTCGCACTGACGGGTGCTGCAAACCTCAGGTGTGCACTTGTCTCCGGCCACCTGGCTGCCCGCCGCGCCGCCCAAATCCTGAACAAGCAGTCCCGCACAAAGAAGACGAAAACAGGCGTGTCGTCCCATCCTGGATAAGCTGCCTCTTTGGCTACACATGTACAGAAGAGGCAGAAGTAGAAGAAGTTTCCCAAAAACCGAGGGCCCTACCCTGGGTATGGCCTGGTACTCGTGTGCCCCTGCTCGGGCGCGGTCCAGATCCTGCAGGTTCATCACTGAAGCCTTACAGCCCTGAGAGGTCAACTGCGCGTCCCTGTGAGACGCAGATGGCACGAGCAGGAACAAACACTGAACCCTAAACCCTAAACTCTATATTAAGACCCTATATGCAGCATAAGCACAAAGAAGCACGAATCACAGGAGATTGTTGATGGCGATTGCGGCGAAGCGGAGAGCGCTGCCCTACTGAAATCTGGAGCCTTGGTCAACCCTTACAGGGTTTAGGGTTTAGGGTTTAGGGTTTCCAGCTTCAGGATCCAATAGGGTTGAATACGACCCCTGACATTGGAAGTGTCCTCCTTGCGTGGATTCCCACCGCGTGCTCCAGCCGCCTCTCCAGCCGCCCAAGGCGTTTAGGGATTCAAGGGTTTAGGGTTTAGGATTCTAGAAGAGCTCACGAAGCAGATGCCTTCTAAGCTTTTCAAGCCACGAACCGAAAAGCCTACAGCAACTGCTTAGACCCAAACACGAAGTGTGACCCACAAACGATGGACCACGTACTCCAAAAATGCCAGGCAAAGTTCGAAAGATCAGTTAACCCCCCAAAAGCTTTCTTTGGGGCCCCAAACCACTATATGCGCATATGAAGGTACAGACGGCTAGGGGCACTTGAAACCCCCTTGTAGGATCCTACAGTGACAGTACCCAAGGATCACTGCAAAACAACATAGCACATAGCTTTCGTAAGTCGGGCCTCTTGCAATTCTTTGCGGATCCTGTCTGGAGCCACAAGAAAATGCGATAGCAATCCCTATGTTGCCCTGGAAACACCGCGAAGAGCCTGAGCCCCGAGAGTCCCTGACAACGCCCTCAGCCCCTCCCCTGCTGCTCAAGATCTACCTGGTGACCTAGGGTTTAGGGTTTAGAGTTTAGGGTTTAGGGATCTAGTGAACACGTGGTGCTAAGGGTACCCTATCACTCTGCCCTTCGCCCGAAACCTGTTTACCCAGAAAGCACTGGTGAATTCCTTGTGGCCCGGGTTTCTTTCCTCCCTGTGGAGCCTCTTGAAGCGCACGGATCAAGTTCCTGGGGGCAGGTGGAAACCAACAAAAAGTCTCGACTCACAACAACGTTAGGGCACGAGCAAACCACGCACATTGCCAGCAGGGTCACAAACAATTTCGGCTCTGCACCCCAACCTTAAACCCTGAGTCCATCTCCCCACCCCCCCACCCCACCCCCTTTTTGACCTTCAGGCCGCCACGTTGAGTCCCAGATGCAACTGAGGGTTGAGGGCTGATCTTCAAAAACCCTTGCTTTTTGGGGCAGGTTCCGTCTTATGCATGATCTCAGAATTCCGCACGCGGTCTTATCACCGTCAACCCTAAACCCTTCTTGCAGCAGGCTTGCAGAAGATAAGCCCGAAACCCAAAACCCAACACCCACATAAGAGAGTGGCCCATTCCCCCTAAACCCTAAACCCTATACCCTAAACCCTAAACCCTAAAGCCTAAACCCTAAACCCCGGCAGCCAAGAGTCTCGTCACTTGTCTGAAGTCCCGCGGCCTGGCGTCCATAAACCCTACACCCGTTTTGTTTCGGTGGTTTGGGGCTCATAGGGGTTCAGGGCTCTTTTTACCCCAAAGGTTTTAGAGTTTTGGTGGTTTAGGGCTCATAGGGGTTCAGGGTTCTTTTTACCACAAAGGTTTTAGGGTTTTGGTGGTTTAGGGCTCATAAGCGTTGAGGGTTTAGGGCGTGGGGCTTCGACAAGGCTTACAGGACAAGGCTTACAGGCGGGGGGGGGGGGGATGGAAGGCACATCTCTTACTGAGGCAACTACCAAAGTTGCTGAAGAAATGATGGAGCAGTGCAAAAGAACAAAACCGTCCAGCCTATCTTTGCCAGTAGCTCTTAGGCAAGACTCACAAAATACTTGACTCACACTCGTATTGGGTGGCCCCGAACCCTAAACCCAATTCCTAAACCCGAGTCCAGCGTGTGGCTGCATGACGCGGGTTTCGGGTTATCGGGCTTAGAACACCCACCCTGGGCCAAACCTCTCAAGTATGGTAGGATTTTTTATACCCCAAAAGGTTGAAGGTTACCTGCTCAGCCACTAAGGATAGGGTATCACCCTAAACCCTAAACCCTAAACCCTAAACCCTAAACCCTAAACCCTAAACCCTAAACCCTAACCTGGAAGTGCCCACCTTCAAAGCAGCCCCCACGATCTCGGGCGGAGGGCGCCCGGCGTCTGGAGCTGCTAAGAGCAGCATCTGGACCTGGGGGGGGGGGGGTTTGCGAGTGTAAACTCAATGAACCCTACATAATTTCTATCACATATTATTACCGTGATTTTACTATCTTTTTACTCTACAGGAAATCCACACTAATAATATTATTTTGTAGGGTCTTTAATGCATTCACACGGCTGTTCAAAAAAGCCCATTTAATTTACAAGTTTTTGGTGGATCACTTCTTACGTTAATAAACTCCTTATAAAACCTATCTTTGGGGGTACTTTTAATATCTTATCTTCTGGATCTTGGGGTTCTCTTTAAGGTGGAAAAGGTGTAACAACTCTCCTAAAGGTATATTAGAATGAAGGTAGCGTTTACACCGTTCATTCATGTGTTACAGCCTTCGTTTGTTAGGTTCACAATGAGTGTTGCGTTCTCCACTTCGTTTAACCGGTCAGCGAATGCGTTAAAGGCCCCCTTAAAGGATTAACAGGCGTGTACAGGATTCATTCTATTCATTCACAGATTGGTTTAGTGAATAAGGGAGCACGCGGCCTATCAGAATAATTGCCAAGGGCCCGCAATAACCGTATTAATGTATTCCCTTGTGACTTTATTATTATAATATTATGTGCTCTTATTAAATTAATAGGAAGTGAATGGAAGCATGAAATGAGCGTACGAAACCAATAATCTTTTCACCAATTAAAATATAGTTCGTACTCTGCGTTATTCAGTCAGTAAATCTATTTTTTTGGATCATGCATAACTTTCCTATTATTCGGGGTAACTTTACTAATACAGTGAACACCTTAAAAGCCCCAACAACAGGATTCTTTCTCCACGAAGTAAACATTAGGATCAAGGGCTTATTGTTACCTTGCGAATGAACCGCTCTTTGACGCGTGGGCACAAAACCCCCTCTATTAATATATCCCGGGCCTTACAGTATAGACATGGGCCCTTTATTCTCTTCTTATTATAACAGGGCCCATGTAAATAATAAATTCATACGAAGTGAAGAGATTATTTGAAATGAAATTGGCGACTCCCAATATCGGGTTCAGGGTTTAGGGCTCAGGGTTGTCATTTCGGAAACCCCCAAACTCGGCTTGGGGTTTAAGGAATTTATAGGGTTCGGATGCTCGCGCTCGCACACGACACTCATGTATCGCGTGCATCAGCAGATGCCGGATCGCCCAAGCAGTCCCAGACGCCATAGAGTTCATATGAATCACGAACAAGTCGTCATGAATTGAAAGGGCTTACGGTTTAGGGTTCCGCGGGGCATACTGAGGAGTGAGACCAAGTCAGCAGGCCCGAATTTCGCCGATCATGAAACAACCCGGCACCCACTCGGGTTTGACTATTTCGCCACAGCACAGCGGAACAGGACTTTAGCCTATTCTGCAAAGAATCATTACTATTTCCAGAATCATCATCCGTGTTGCTTTTGCCTTTTCTTCCTATTGTCATTCTGATTCTTCTTGCCATTGCTACTACACGCAGATTCAGGGTGCTTCTCACCCCAATTCTAACTGTACTTGGAAGCCCCCCAAGTCCTTCAAGTAGGTTATAAGTAGACATACACTTGGGGGGTAGAACCTTGAAACGGCTTTGCTTGTTTGGAAAAATTATGTACTCATGAACCTTCCAAGAAAAGAGTCAGCTGAGGCTGCCCACGACATCCTCGGGGCTTTGCGTGTTGTTGTACTGACGGCGATGGCCTGTCAACAAAGGAATCTGCCTGGCTTAGGGTTGAAGGCTTCGACTCTTACTTACACTCCGAAACCCTAAACCCTAAACCGGATCCAGGTTACCTACGAGTCACAAAACACCAGGGTTTAGGGCTTAGGGCTTGGTCGAGAAGTCTCCCTCAACCCCTGCAACCCCTAAACCTCAAGGCCCAGAAGCCTTGCTCGAAACTCTGCCGACCCCTTCTGAGTAGGTGCCTCGGAGCTGCCTTGCCAACTCCTGCAGAGGGTTTAGGGGTTTTCTTTGCCACCCGTCTAGCCGAAAGGGAGGAAGGAAGGAAGGCAGGAAGGAAGGAAGGAAGGGAGGGTTTAGGGTTTAGGGTTTAGGGCGAAGCTTTTCCGTGATCTACATGTGAAGGCCCCGTCATCTCATGAAGGGCTTGGTGCTTCGGCCTTAAGATTTGGGGCCCCAACCTAGAAACTCAAGGATCTAAGGTTTACAATCAAGTTTACAACAAAACATGTGCGTACAAATGCGTATATATATATATATATGCCACCCCCCTTCCAAAACCCACCTTTAAAGATTCCAAAACCAAATCCCAACGTACCATACCGAAAGCAACTTCACATACCCAAAATACAACGCTCAAGCATGTACGATTTCAGAAAACACTCGCTTTTGAATCACTACAAAAGTTATAACCACAACGTCAGGTGATGACAAACTCTTTTTAAGGTTTCTCCCCTATCTTGCCATATCGAGTGTTGACTTGAACTGAACCTGCATGAAAAGCATGGCCCGCCAATTCGATAGCGTGGGGGGGGGGGGGGGGGGGGGGGGGCAAAGCTGCAAACTGATTATGGTACCTTTCCCCCCCCCCCCCCTTCGATGCCCCCCCCCCCCCCCCCCCAGCGGCTAGCTCGAGCAAATCATTGAGTTACAAAACAAACGGCCTCTTAGTAGCCAAGTAACCATATCATCACAGTAAGGGCACCCTATTTGGGTTGGCTACTTTACAAGGGAACCTTGAACCAACAAAAAGGGGCAAAGGGTACCACTGGGCTATCAAGGCCTCCAACGCGAAGACTACTTTCATCCATTTGATACATAGAGCGTATAGAATATAATAGTACTCCTCATGTTCTTGTAAACATAAATAGCTTAACTGATCTGTCTGACATACCTTGACTGATTACATGTACCCAGCGAACTCAGGCTCAGGCTAGTAACGTATGATACTTAGACGACTCAATGGCCGTTTGAAACATAAACTGTAAGATCTTTTGGCGCATTGTATCTCCCAATGGCTGTCCTTCGTTGTCTTCCAATATTCCCGGCAATTCAAGATTATCGCTTTAATTACGAAACCCAACTGACCTCCAAGTGCCAAACACTTGAAACCCGACGAGGAAACTTTTCGTTTCCCGGACGTCCTGCGACGACGACGTCGTCGGCATCAACTTCCTACAAATTGGCCACTAACATGTTGCAGTCGGCCCTTCACATCATGATCCCTCCTGTCGAGAGGAAAAACCACCAAGCTGCGGTTACATGCCACTTGCCTATTTTCTAGGATTTCAAACCTGTGAGAACCCTGATATAGACCCAAGAACTATAGGATTCCCTTACAATAAGGACCCCAAGAAGGTACCCCGAATTTCGGACCCTCCCCTCGTTCTCTACCACGAAAGTTTTCCGCGTCACAAAGAGGTTTCGGACGCACATGGAAAGGGGCTTAGGGATTGTTTTTGTCCACCCGTCTTGCCACGCACCACGGGTGTAGGGTTTAGAGGTCACAGAATCGAGGTCGCACGCTCTCGATCTTGCGATTGCCTTGGAGGACGTAGTAACCGAGGGCTGCAACCAGGCAGTGTGGACATTGTTGTGTTGCCACAGCGCGTCAAGCATGCATCAAGACCCCAAAGCCCGCGTCTGTAGGATACTTGTATGACTACCCTAAACCCTAAACAACGTGACTCTGCCCCCAAAAGAATAAGCAGGTTGTGGGGGGGCTTGAGGTGGGCTTCTTCTGACCAGGGCTGGGAGCTTGGCTATGAAAGGGTGTTGTGATGAATGTGATAGCACATGGGGTTGCAGTCAAAGAAGGCGTCGCAATTCAAGTTGCGTGTCCCAGCCGGTAGTCCTGAAGGCCTCTTTTTTGTTCCTTCCTTTATGAACAGTGGAAGCTGTTGCGCAGCACTTCTTTGCGAAACAGAGCGGGAACAACATGCTGAGGCTGCTCACGTTTGTGAGGAGCTGTGTCTAGGCAGAAGACGCTGGCGAAAATCGAATTTCGACGTGAAACTGGCACCGCTTTGCGTGCTCATAACTCTAGACTCTATACCCCCCCCCTAGAACCAAAAACGATCATGATACTGACTAATATTCTCTCTTGTGTTTTAATTGACGTAAGCAACAAGATCATCTCTACAGGCACCAGAATGACAGCAAACCTGGGATGTTCCCCCTTATACTAACAGTCCTTTAGAGGGATGAAAATAGGGGGTGCTATAATCCCTATGAAGGACTCTGAGTATGAAGGGGGAACATCCCAAAAAATGACGTAGCTAATCGCAAGCACGTCATGACAAGACCATTTGGAAGGCCGCCAAGGCCCCGAGGTCACGGCGCAAGGTGGTCCTCTCAGGGTGTAGGGTTTAGGGTGCAGGGTAGTTAGTATACATATATACATACATATGTATGTATGTACGTATACACACACACACACACACCCCAGCTCATACTCAGGAGGCCTTGTATGTACTTCAAGGGATATATAGACACACACACCCCAGCTCATACTCAGAAAACTAAACCCTAAACCTTGAACCCTAAACCCTAAACCCCAAGTCAGGGGCATTTTGTCCTCGGACCCGCGCCGCGGCTGCACTCCGGCCCCGTGTGCAAAGGCCAGCTGCGCTATCCCCGAGGTGGCGTCCTTTTTCGACCTTGAAGGGGCTAAAGGAGGGACCCTCATAAGGGACCTTAGGGTTTTTTTAGGGGGTATTGAGGGGCGACCTAGGTATATAGGGACTATACAAGGTATACATATATATATATATATTTATATGTATTTATATAGTATGGGCTACAAAGAAGGGTTCTATTGGGGAGTCAGACGAAGAGTCCCTTCTAGGGGGTCCCTCCTTTTACCCTTTCAGGCCTGCGGCGGATTTTTCCATCGCCATAAACCGCCTTGAAGAGGTCCGCGTGTCTGAAGGCTTTCATGTCCTGTGAACCTTCGTAGCCCAGCAAACCATACTCTGATAAAGGGCACCCTTTTGGGGGGCTGGCTCCTTTATCCAAAAAACCCAGAACCCAAAGGCACAAAAAGGGCAAAGGGGATGGGCACAAAGGGCACCAGCTGGGCTACCAAGGAACTGGTTGGGGGGTTGCTCGGCTTTCGGGAGGGATCCCTGAAGGCTGGCATCGCTCCCAGGGCCCCATCTGGAAGACCAGCGAAGGCTCGCTTCAGCCGACTCTCCATCTCGATCATCCCTATCTCGACCTTCATGACCGCAGCATCAAGCAATGGCCTGAGGTCCATTCCATTCCATATCGGCCTGAATTCATCACCCTGCGAACTCAGAGTCTGCGAACTCAGGGCAGACAAGCACTCGGCAAGGCGAAGAGTCTCTGGCTTGCTTGAGCTGTGAGGCTGCTCGATCTGGTCCTCTGAGACCTCTGCGGTTTCCACCACCGGTCGGAGTCTGGCGAGTGTCTGCGAGATCTGAGGGGATTGGGATGACACCCCCGAGTCATGGCGGGCAGTGAGGAGGCTCACGCTGGTTGCTAAGGAATCGATCCGCTCGGAGAGGTAGCCGAAGTAGTGCTTGGAGAGGCTATACATGTCCTCTTGGAGTTGCATGGTCTGCAGCATGTTGTACTTGATGAACCTGGGGGGTTTAGGGTTTAGGGTTTGGGGTTTAGGGTTTAGGGCCAAATGGAATCCCAAGTGAGGGTGGGTCCTAGCTTGGATCATGACCCACCTGGGCGCCGTCTTCGAGTCGTGCACCCACCGACTAAGTGGGCCAATGAACTCAGCCACTTCAATGTTGCCGCTGTTGTCCACATCGATCATACCTTAGCCCCAAACCCTTTCTGTTCTAAACTGGGTGGTGCTTTGGGGCCCTTTGAGGGTGTCTATGAATAGGTTCCCTTAAAAGGGAAAGAAGGAAAATTTGAAACTATCCCAAAGCACTACCCAGTAAACCACCCTAAACCACTACGTAGTTCGCCAGTTCGTGTTGTGGCACTGCGGGCCCAATAAACAGCCTAGTTCTGGGAATAGGGCGGCTTGGAGCTGCTAGCAAGGTAAGACAATGAAGCTGTAGAGTCCGGGAGGGCCACCCCCAAGAAATGAACCAACTGTGAAGCCACCTTCAAATGCGCAGGGCTGTGCTACACTCTCGGCTACGCCGCAGTGTACCTAACCACGCGTCTGGGCTCTTTCGCCCCTTGCTCGGCGGTTCCCGCTAAGGCATTGCAGCTTGCACCGTTTGAGAATGTATCTGGGTGCATCTACTGGTATGTGTGGCTTCTCGCTGTAAGCAGCTCAAGCCCAGGCACTGAAAAGCTGCTGCAGGTCATTCTCGTCAATGTCCATGACCCGTAGTCGGCTCTGAAAGACTGGGTCCCGACGGGCACCCTGAATGAGCTCCTGAGTTTAGAAGTTGTATTCGAGTGCCCCAAAGACACAGGTTTTCGACTCTCACACTAGCACAAGCAGGCAAGGGTTTAGGGTTTAGCGTTTCGGGTTTAGGGTTCAGGGTCTATCTACACACCGGGTCAGACAGAAGTGGCCTGTGCTGGCGGCTTGCACACTAACCTACCCTTGCTGCGTGGAGTATGGAGGGAATGTGAGGGGCTGCTCTGCGGAAGGCCCCTGTGCGAGCCTCAGTTAAGGGTACTTCCCGTTGTAAGACAGGGCTCGTCCCCAAAAGGACCTGAGTTTCGAATACCCCCAAACCCTAAACCCTAAACCCTAAACCCTAAACCCTAAACCCTAAACCCTAAACCCTAAACCCTAAACCGCCATGGGGTTGTTCAACCCAGCTCCTCGAAGGTCAGCTGGCCACTGCCATCCTTATCAATCCTTTCGAAGAGCTTCGCCAGGGCTTCCTTGTCCTTTTCCTTGCTTCTCCAAGAACCAGGTTATTAAAAAAGGATAAACATTGATATCCCTACTCAACAAGGAAACCCAAGAGTCTAAAGTTCATGGTTGGGATAGTCTTAAAAACCTTTAAACTTCCATCCCTTATTGGGTTTAGGCACCCTTAAGAATGTAAAATGTTACCCAACGATGACGGAGTTTCGATATCCTCCTCCATCTCCTCTGCCAGGTTCAGGATGTCGTTCTGTCTGGCCTCAGCGAAGGTGTCGACAACAACCTGAGTCAGGGGTGTGTCACTTTATCCCTGCTAAACCCTAAACCCCAAACCCCAAACAAGTTTTTCTTTATAAACACCCTTCAAGGCAAAAGCTTGAAGCCACGCGGCCGCCACAATGATGTTCAGAACGCCGAACACCAGAGTTAGCAGCGAACCAACGAACAGCACTGCTGTTTCGGGATTTCGCTGTATTACTGGAACCGCAACTTCTCCCCAGCTGTCTCCTGCAATGACTGTCTTGAACAGCAGCAGGTTGGCCTCAATTACCGAGCTTGTGGAGACCTTGCAGTACTCGCAGTCGGCAATTATGCTCTGCGGGTCTTCGGCCATTTCCCGGACGATGGGGTTCACTACCTCAACCATCAGCATGGCCCATATCGTCATGACGACAAAGCACAGGAGGAAGGACCAGGCTAGGGTTCTCAGGCACGTTGCCATCATCGTTACCAGTTTCTGGAGCTCGCGTAGGGCTCTGATTCGACGGAAGAGTCGCAGCAACCGGAAGATACGTGCTAACCGTAGAGCCCGCATGACGCTCAGATTAGCCACTAAGTCCGACGCAAAGGCGTTCATCAGTATCTCCAAGTAGCCACATCCCACGATGGTGATGTCGAGAAGTGCCATCCAATCATGTAAAACACCGCATGCCCCCTTGCTGATGAGGAGCAGAAACACCTCGACTGTGTAGAGGCCCAAGCTAAAGTCGGAGAAGAAGACGAAGAAGGGCTCTGGGGTTGTAGCCGCTGCGCGGGCGTCAATGTCCACCCACGTACAAACGGCATCGACTAAGACGACGAAGGCCATGAAGTTGCCAACCTTAAGGTAGCCGAGTAGCCATCTTACAGTAAGGGTACCCCTAAACCCCAAACCCTAAGCCCTAAACCTATAAACCCTAAACCCTAAACCCTCATTTCGGGGTTGCTCATTTTTATAAGGGAACCCAGAACCCAAAAAGGGCAAAAGGGTACCACTCAGCTGCCAAGCAACATAGTAATTGCCCACGCACCACGTGGCCCACAACTCTACCTTCTGTTTCACTGTCATTCGCGCTGGACTCTCTTCCTTCTCCGAGTCCATATGGTCCTGCAAGCTTTCCAGGCAGGTACTTGGGAACATCTCTGATGAGTTCCAACTGCCACTAGGATGCAGTTGGAATCGCTTGGAATCTGCAAGCACTAGGGCTCAACTTCGGCGACTTGTATTCGAGGATATTGTACTGTTATTTGCTTAAGAACCACCAAAAAAGGAAAAACAACAAAAACCACATAATCCCCATATTGTCCTTGTAAGGAAGAACATATTTTTTAAATTTCTTGGGGGTTCTTAAGCAATTGGTACAGGGATACCATAGGCATAGGCTTGCGGCAAGGATCGGCTTTGATGAAGTCCGCCGCAACGACGGATCCTCGCGGTGGTCGCTTCCTTACAGATTGCAAAACAGGTAGCTGCATTTTACTTTCGTTTCAATGGCTCTTGCTCTTGTCCTGTTTGCAGTTACCCTTGCTTCCGTACACTAGGGGCAGTCTCCATACACAGAGCTGCTTTGAAGAAAGAAGCCACTTTCAGTCATCTCAGGAGTAGCAAGTGGCCGCAAGAAAATGCTAAGAAGATCCCAACCCATGCAGCTCCCAATCTCAGGGCTGCATGTTGCATGCCCCGACTGTTCCTGGGTAGTCCCTTTTTTGAACCCAGAGCTGGGAGTACAAAGCCAGTCCCTGAACCCTATAAACGCCCTAAACCCTAAACCCTAAACCTTAAACCCTACAAACCCTAAATAGAAGCAGAGCTGGGTCCGGTGGAGTGAAGCCTTCGGCTCTACAGGGCAATTCCTGCGTGGGCTGGCGGAATCTCATCCGACACTCGTTTGACAAAAGAGGGCTTTTTCTTGCCAACTGCCTAGAGAGGGCCACTCCTCAAAAGAGGGTTTAGGGTTTAGGGTTTGGGGTTTAGGGGTTTAGGGGTTTAGGGGTTTAGGGGTTTAGGGGTTTAGGGTTTAGGGTTTAGGGTTTAGGGTTTAGGGTTTAGGGTTTAGGGCACATCTGACAAACAGGGGACGGCGACCTGCTTTACAACGTTTCAAAGAGTGCAAAAGGGACCCAAGGTTGGCCCTGAAACCCGTTGAAAAAGAGTCATAATAGGGCCCCTTAGAAACCCCCCCCCCCCCTTAGAAACTCCAAATAAGGAATATATACATAAATAAATAAATAAATATATATATATATATATATTTTTTTTTTCATTTATATGCATATATATATATATGGAAATACATATATATATATATATATGCAACCCCCCCCCCATGTACCTACCGATTTTTGGGCTGAATTCATAGAATATTCTGTATTTCTCCCTATCTCTCCTCTCCCCCCAAGATCCCGCAACGCGCGGTCGTTTTTAAGGGGGGGTGGGGGGGGCTCCCATAACAATTCCAGCAGAAGTGACCTGAACAATTTGCTCGTGGACTGCATGCTGTGAATTTAAATAGGAATCCTATTCATTCGAATAGGGTTCCGATCAAATCTAATTGATTGGGTTCATAGGATTCATGTTATTTTCCTAGTATTCTTATTGAAATGAATAGGAAACCCTTTAAAATGAATGAGAACCCTTACTACTAATAAATTCAACAGGAACCCTATTCAAAAGAAAATGAACCCTACTAAAATTGATAGGAATCTTATTAAATTTGTAGGAGCCTTATTAAAACAAATGGGACAACTTTATGGAATCCTAGAAACAACAATTGGAATCCTCTACTTAAATCCATAGGACCTCATAAAATGAATTGGAGGCCCATCACAAAATAATGAGAATCCTCGTAGAGTTTAATAGGAGTCCTAAACTGAAGAGGGCCCTACTAAATTATTAGGAACCGATCGAACTCCTATAAAAAAAGTGATCCTGTAGAAAAATAATAGGAATCCGACTAAAATTAACATGAGCCTAAACCAATAGGAATCCCTTGAAAGTGAATGAGACCCCTGTTAATGTTAACACGAAACCCATTAACATGAATAAGAATCTGATTAAAACTGATAGGACTCTTATTACAAAAAATAGGAGCCTTATCAATAATTAGGAACCCTATGAAGCTTTTCTGGAATCCTATGAAAACAAATAGGAATCCTCTTGTGAATTATCGGAAGCGGACAACAGTTAATAGGAAGGAAGCCTATTGAAATGAATAGGGACCCTTAACAAATTAAAATGAGCCCGGGTTACAATTCACAGGAATCCGATTAAAACGAGAAGGAAGCTTCCTAAAATCAATAGGAGCCAATAAGCCTTTAAAACAATAGAACCCGTTAACAAGAACTAATAGGAATCCTACTAAACTAATATGAGCCTAATCCAATAGGAATCCTTGAAAATTAATGACAACCCTATGCGAATCCCAGTAACATGAATAAGAATCCTGTTTAAATTGATAGGAACTTGTTAAATTGGTAGGAGTCTTAGGGCGTGATGTCTTAAGATATTAAGGTACAATGTTTAGTATAGATAGTAGGTTTTGCTTATCGGGGGATGATTGTTTGAGATATCGTAGCTCAGGTCCAGTTTTTAGGATAGATGTCATGTCTTGCGTATTGGGGCGTGATTGATGACATGGAGGTTTTGGCGCTCTCTCGAGATGTTGCAGGATTCGAGTTTGTTGCTTGGTACTACGTCGAGAAATGGTGGCTGGGAGAGAGCCTCAGATCACGAAATTCATAGAACACATTGGTTTTATCAATGTTTTTGAAAGATGGAGCCGAAAAACATTGGTAAAACCAATGTTATCCATAAAACCCATGGTTTTCAATCCATGTGGCTGGGAGCACCCAATTCACGGATAACATTGGTTTTACCAATGCTTTTGAAGGATGGAGCCCGAAAACGTCGGCAAAACCAATGTTTTCCATAAAACCCATGGTTTTCAAACCATGTGGCTGGGAGCACCCAATTCACGGATAACATGAGTTTTTGCAATGTTTTTGAAGGATGGAGCCCGAAAACATCGGCAAAACCAACGTTATCCGTAAAACCCATGGTTTTAAAACAATGTGGCTTAGACCAAGAAAGCCTTGGATAACATTGGTTTTACCGATGTTTTTGGGTTTCATCCTTCAAAAACATGGGTAAAACCAATGTTATCCGTGAATTGGGTGCTCCCAGCCACATGGTTTGAAAACAATGGGTTTTATGGAAAACATTGGTTTTTCCGATGTTTTCGGGCTCCATCCTTCAAAAACATCGGTGAAACCACCAATGTTATCGTGAATTGGGTGCTCCCAGCCACATGGTTTGAAAACCATGGATTTTATGGGAAACATTGGTTTTACCGATGTTTTCGGGCTCCATCCTTCAAAAACATCGGTAAAACCAATGTTATCCGTGAATTGGGTGCTCCCAGCCACATGGTTTGAAAACCATGGATTTTATGGAAACATTGGTTTTGCCGTTGTTTTCGGGCTCCATCTTTCAAAAACATTGGTAAAACCAATGTTATCCGTGAATTGGGTGCTCCCAGCCACATGGATTGAAAACCATGGGTTTTATGGATAACACTGGTTTCACGGATGTTTTTGGGCTCCATCCTTGAAAAAACATTGGTAACACCAATGTTATCGATGAATTTCGTGCTGCCAGCCACTCTTCCCTCGTCGTTCGCGTGAGCAGAATACCGAAAATCGAAACCGTCGAGACAAAAAAAATCAACCAAGTAAGCAAAAATGGTAGGTACATGGGGGGGGGCACCATATAAATAAATATATATATATATATGTATGTATACATATATACATGTAATATCCCAAAAGGCCAACCTAGGGCCAACTGCGCCACACTCTGTGTTGTGCCAAGCCTCCCTTGATTGGAAGGCCCCCCTTGCGATGGATTTCGCCTTGGTAGCCCAGTACCCATATGATACTCGGGTTTAGGGGTTAGGGTTTAGGGTTTAGGGTTTAGGATTTAGGGTTTAAGGTTCAGGGTTTAGGGTTTAGGGTTTAGGGTTTGGGGTTTGGGGTTTAGGGTTTAGTGATACGGGCACCCTTGTTGGGTTGGCTACTTTCATAAGGGAACCCAGAACCCCAAAAAAAGGGGTAAAGGGTACCACTGGGCTACTTTATAAGGGAAAACGCAGAACCAAAAAAGGTAAGGGTACCACTGGACTGCCAAGCCGCATGAGATCGGGGGCCTCTGACGCTTCGGACGCGGCTTCGGACGCTTCTGACCTGGGTGCCAGAAACAGGTTAGGCGTGCACAGGATTTAAAAGAACTCTCTCTCTGTCTCTCTCTCTCTCTCTCTCTCGCAGACTCGGGAATCCGTCAGCTGCCGTAAAAAAGGGTATCCTTCTGGACACTCTTCCATTAAAGGCGCCAAGCCCCAAACCACAAAGGAGGCAAGAAGAGGAACTGAGAGGGGGGAGGAATCTGAGGGTGGGTGGATGGCGGGGTGGACTATGTGGTCACTTCTCTATATTCTGGTCCCCCTTTGGGGGCCACTTTGACTAGGCGGCCCCGATGATTTAGGGGTACCCGCATGGGGTTTAGGGTTTAGGGTTTAGGGTTTAGGGTTGACCATGTATGCGATCAAGCGACTTGTGCTCTGCTGTGCGGCAAAGTTTGGAGGCGTAGCCGCGCGGAACAGCTATGTCCTCATTTGTGCAGCAGAGTCTACTTCAGACTGCTACTACTCCCCACGATGCAAAACAAAAGCCTAGAACGGTGGGATGTATCAGCGTTGAAGAACTGTTGAAGACCATGTACCTTTCATGTACCAATCAAGCTTACATATACACGCCCCATATTGCCCCCTCTCCTCCAGACTGCTTGTCTGCAACTCGTCGGCGCTCTTCCCCATCGCTGCGCCCAGAAAGGTAGCTTCAACGGCCCTGCCTTTGCTACGCTACTGAGCGCGCTCGAGAAGGGATGCTGCCGCGTGCATGCGCGAACGCCTGCTCCAGCATGCAGGCCTCCTGCCTAGACACCAGAAGACACCGGAAACACACCAGAAAGACACCGAGGCGCGCAAGGCAGCATGCAGACATGTACATCACATTGCGACGTCTACGACGTGGCGACGAAAAGCTAGGTGACTTCTCAGGGCGGGATGGGTCGTCCTTACACAGCTCCAGGTCATGGCCAGGCTCCCAAGCATGTTCGCTCTTTTCGACGTGGCTGCGTGGCCTGCACGATCTCTAGCCGAAATGTGGCAAACAAGACGTTCGTGGTAACAATATGAGGCGTGCGACGCTGCACTTTGCATAAACCTGCAAGAAAGTTCTTGGTCTGTACAGCCGAGTTCCAACGTGCAAAGGATGGAAGCGTGGTTCTGCCGTCCTGTGCGGCAGAAGGTGCGGCGAGCAGGTCCTTCAGGGACCTGCAGAAACTGCGCGGAAGAATGCTTCCAGCGGGATGGAACTGACGTGAGCATCTCATCCTGGGCAACTCCGAGGCAGGTAACTTGCTCCTAGTTTGCACGACATCGTGGGCAGGCAAGATGCAACTAACCAGCAGTGACTCCTCAAAAAGCGGTACAAGGTCATGCCCAGTGCTTCGTAGGGTCAGCTGATAGCATGGAAACACATGCCGACGCACATTCCCCCAAACCTGTCTGGACCCTGAAGTTGAGTCGGTTTCGTCAGGTCTGGGAACAAAGTTCAAATGGCACCCCCAAGAGTGGGAGCCCTCGACAAGCTCTCCCAAAGCAGTGCCCTTGGCAAGGCTGCTCCACTGCGGTGACTGAACGTCTCTCTCCCACCTGTGCATGTCACGGCCACAGGTTGGTCTTCGGCTTGCTGAGGAACCTGTAGTCTCCAAAAGCTCGAGATGGATGATGCCAACACTTCTTCCATGGCAGACAGAGAGATGCAGGACTTGCACTCGCAACGGCAAGCGGCGCCTGATCAGGCAGTCGAGCACAAGGTGTAGGCAAGCAGAAGTGAGGAGGGATCTAGCGAACAGAGGCACTCCTCCAACACCACCAGCTTGGTCGAGAGGACCTTTGTGCAGAAGCCTTGTTGCCTTGAGCTTAGCCTTCAACTTAGCTTGGGCAGGCACACGGGGCCTCCGCATGATCTGCAAGTGCAGAATGGAGAAACGCCTGCTCCGGTTGCCAAACACTGCGGCTATCCAGCGGCTTGCTAGAGGTGGCGGCACTTTTGCATCAGAAACCCTTCCAACAACACCTCTGCCTCTGACTGCACATCCCTGGTCACCTTTCTTGAAACATTTATTTCGCAGAAGCTTTGCTATGCTGCCATGGCCAGGCACAAGGGGCCTCCGCATGATCTGCAAGTGCAGAATGGAGAAAACCTTGCTCAACGGCAGCTGCAAGCTGCGCCGCCCGAGCCGGCGGCCAAACACTGTGCCCCTCGCTAAAACATCCTCCAGCCCACTAGCCATCCAGCTCAGCCAGTTCCAGCCCTGCCGCGTGGGCCCCCAAAACGGAAGATTGCAGACCGTGGGATCGGATGTCGATCGGGCATGTAATGGCGGTGAGTTTTTTGCACGGCGGCCATCGTTGAAGAGGGCTTCAGCGTCCGCGAGACGCTGCGCCCTTCCAAGACCACCTCTGACAGCACAGAGCTGTCCCAGCCATCCTACACGGCAAGCAGAAGTGAGGAGGGATCTAGTGAACAGAGGCACCCTTGCAACACCAGTTTGGTCGAGAGTACCTTTGTGCAGAAGCCTTGTTGCCTTGAGCTTAGCCTTCAACTTAGCTTGGGCAGGCACAGGGGGCCTCCGCATGATCTGCAAGTGCAGAATGGAGAAACGCCTGCTCCGGTTGCCAAACACTGCGGCTATCCAGTGGCTTGCTAGAGGTGGCGGCACTTTTGCATCAGAAACCCTTCCAACAACACCTCTGCCTCTGACTGCACATCCTTGTGCATTCCTCGCTTGGTCACCTTTCTTGAAACATTTATTTCGCGGAAGCTTTGCTATGCTGCCATGGCCAGGCACAAGGGGCCTCCGCATGATCTGCAAGTGCAGAATGGAGAAAACCTTGCTCCACGGCAGCTGCAAGCTGCGCCGCCCGAGCCGGCGGCCAAACACTGTGCCCCTCGCTAAAACATCCTCCAGCCCACTAGCCATCCAGCTCAGCCAGTTCCAGCCCTGCCGCGTGGGCCCACAAAACGGAAGATTGCAGACCGTGGGATCGGATGTCGATCGGGCATGTAATGGCGGTGAGTTTCTTGCACGGCGGGCATCGTTGAAGAGGGCTCCAGCATCCGCGAGACGCTGCGCCCTTCCAAGACCACCTCTGACAGCACAGAGCTGTCCCAGCCGTCCTACACGGCAAGCAGAAGTGAGCAGGGATCTAGCGAACAGAGGCACCCTTGCAACACCAGTTTGGTCGAGAGTACCTTTGTGCAGAAGCCTTGTTGCCTTGAGCTTAGTTCAACTTAGCTTGGGCAGGCACAGGGAACCTCCGCATGATCTGCAAGTGCAGAATGGAGAAACGCCTGCTCCGGTTGCCAAACACTGCGGCTATCCAGCGGCTTGCTAAAGGTGGCGGCGCTTTTGCATCAGAAACCCTTCCAACAACACCTCTGCCTATGACTGCACATCCTTGTGCATTCCTCGCTTGGTCACCTTTCTTGAAACACTTATTTCGCAGAAGCTTTGCTATGCTGCCATGGCCAGGCACAAGGGGCCTCCGCATGATCTGCAAGTGCAGAATGGAGAAAACCTTGCTCAACGGCAGCTGCAAGCTGCGCCGCCCGAGCCGGCGGCCAAACACTGTGCCCCTCGCTAAAACATCCTCCAGCCCACTAGCCATCCAGCTCAGCCAGTTCCAGCCCTGCCGCGTGGGCCCCCAAAACGGAAGATCGCAGACCGTGGGATCGGATGTCGATCGGGCATGTAATGGCGGTGAGTTTCTTGCACGGCGGGCATCGTTGAAGAGGGCTTCAGCATCCGCGAGACGCTGCTCCTTTCCAAGACCACCTCTGACAGCGCAAAGCTGTCCCAGCCCTGCAAAAAAGACTTGGCCTGCCCTTTGCAGACTTCCGTGACTGCTTCCGACTCTGAGAATCTGGGCAACAAGCTTTGCAAGTTCGAGGGGCCACGTGTGTGCAGGTGGATGCAAAGTGGTCCTTGAGGTCATCTGCCCGAACTTTCGGTCCTTGAACAGCCACGGCAACCGGCCTGTAGCTGTAACGAAAACAGCATGATCGTGGCGAGCCAAGTTCCTGCGCGCTCCAGCCTCGTGCAGCTCCGGCGGGCATTCATCAGATCTAGCTGGAGCTACTTGCAGGCAGCTGCCTACCCTTGAAGATCTCTGCATGATGGCTCGGTTGAAACTTCTAGACGAGGCAAAGCTGCAAGTGGCTGGAATGTGGCAGCACGTGCCTGGGAGCCCATTGGCAGCTTCTGCCTGCATGGCCCTACCGGACTGGTCGCCAGGGTATAAATGGGCTGCAAAGTCCAAAAGGCCCAGCCTTGTCCGCGCAGTGGCTGCATGATAATTCGGGTCCACTCTTCTGGCTCGTATCCGGGGAGCCACAGTACGGCCTCGAGCGTCGAAGGGCATGCCGACATTCGGGAGCTTCCGCTCCAGCAGCTCTTGCACCTGGACCATGCTGCGCGCGAGTGGCGACAAGCCTCGGGTCTGAATGTCAAGGACCCACGTTCCTCATCCCACTGCAATCTCAAAGTCTGCTCTGAACAGCACAACTGCTCCAAGTTGCAAACTGAGCCATCTATCACTGCGTGGTGCTCTCTTGGATCTCCGCTGCGGCCGCTGGCTTCCGGGTCGACCATGGCTCTGTGTCCCCTGGAAACTTACGGTCATGGCTAGAGCCTGGCGTTGTGAAATGAGTGTTTGCTTAGAATGAATGAGGCATCATGCTGGTAATAAAGGGTGATGCTTATCAGCGCAATCACGACTTCAGTGGAACGGGTGCTGGAGGAACGCATTTCGCTCGATAGCGTTCTGCTCTGGCCCTCTAGTCGGGATGAGGAAACGCTCACCCACTAACTCCGCGACTGTCCTTGAACAGGCATACGCGAGCAACCATGTGTCGACTCTTCAATGCAGGAAAACACAGTAAATCACCGCAGAGGACTGCTGAGCCGATCCTCCGCCGCTCTTGTGCGAACATTGGTGGTGTGCGTGGATCCCAACATCCAGCCCTGCCTGCAAGAGCACTTGTACATCGTCTTGTTGCGCGCGGGAAGCGTGACAGTCTGCGCGCATCGGCCAGCTGATTCATGCGGTTCCTGCTTTCCTCCGTTCAAAATGACTAGGACCGATGGATGCCGAGCTGACATGCAAAGCAATGGGCTGTTGATCGATCCTCGCGGGTACTTCGAAAAAGGCTTGAGTCGCCCTGCTCTGCGCCAGTGAGTTCTCCCGCGCTTGCCATGATAGCTGAGTGGCCTGCGCTACATGTTAAGGTTCTGCCTCGATCCAGTGTGTTCTCTCGCGTTTCTCATGAATCTCATGTTAACTGTACCATATTTGCTCAGTGTGCCCCCCCATTGAACGCCGAACGGCAGCGCCTTCCAGGTTTTTTTCTCCCCCACTGATTTGCATCAAAAACAATGCCCGGTTTAGACTTCCACTGTTCACATTGGGGGGTACTATAATCCCTATTAAGGACTACAAAGGGGAACATGCCAAGGGGGGCAGGGGGAGGCTAATGTTCGGGGAGGGGATTGGCAGCTGCCATGGGTGTCGATTCGTGAGCGCATGCCCTAAACACAAAACCCTTAACCCCTTTTGCTGCGGGGCTTGAGGACTAGCCAGATCCGCTCGACCTCTATCGTCACGACTGGGGCCATCCCTAAACCCTATAAACTGCAAACCCCAAACGGCTCCCCTGTGGGCGCTCATGAGCTGGAAAATGTGAGATTTGCACAGGGGAATCCGATAATCCGAGAACCTCACAAGATGTACGCCCCTCGAGTAGAATGTCCTCCCTAACCCGCTCTACTCTCCCCTCAGCACCGGCTTATCTTGCTGCTCATCTAAAGAAACCAAGGCAAAGGTGTTTTGTGACTCCACATGGCTTTGCCAGCCAAGGCGCTGGATTTTCTTGGACTTGAGGGGCACTTGACGCGGTTTTGGGTTCAGGGCTAGGCGGTCCGAGCAGGAGATGCTCGACTACTTGCGGTGTCAAAGGGCGGAAACGTAAACCAGAAACGCCTCAACCGCCCTGTCTCTTGCAATCTTAACTGCCGGTACCTTCTGCACGCTCAAGCCACACTTCTCCTCGTTCTCCTGGTCGAACGCTTCACAAGATCAACGTCTTGGCCCATAATAGTAAATATGCGGCCTCCCCGCCTCTAACACCCGGAAGCTCTCAACATCAACATTCTGTGCCACCCCACCAGGCCCATTTCTACTTCCCAACGCAGATTCTCTGTCCAGGTGAAGCGGTCGACGTGCGTCGTTTGCATTTCCAGGTGGTCCGCAGGCCGTAACTAAAATCATGCCCATTGCAGAATGCCGCTCAGTTTACCTGCCCTTCTACTGGTGTCGAAACTGCATGCTACCGTCAACCTGATCATTGATTCCAGGCGAACGTTCGCAGATACGTTCACAGGCTCCTCCTCATTACGATCGCAGCTTGCGTTCTGGAAGCTATTCTCTGTGAACGTGGCATTGTGCACCTCAGCAACCACATGTGGCGAGCTGCTAGACGCTGTGCTGGAAGCCCTCAGCTCGAAACCCTCAACTGTCAACACGGCTAACCTGGTCCAAGAATCGTTCCGTGCGTTGACCGAAGCAAAAGCGGTCGACCGCAGGCCCACGCCCCCCTTGCGCACAGACGCTTCGAGACATTTTAATGGCCAATGATATGATGGCAAGATGCAATAGACTGCAACATGGCAAGACTTCAGGTGTCGTCCCTACACCCTATAACCCTAGACCACAGACCTGCTCGCGTCATGGGTCATCTGGTCATCTGGCTCTAGCGCTCCACCATATCGCTGGCAGGTGTGCAAGTTCAGCTCACTACGTCAACACTCTGTCTGTCTTTGACAAGGTAGATGTGGCAGGTCATTCGTCCTCCTACGTGCTTGTCTCAGGATGGTATGGAGAATTATGGAGAGATCCCTAAACCCTAAACCCTACACCCTAAACCCTGAGCACTTCAAGGAGCTGCGGAAACAGCCTGTCGACATCGGCTGCCAAGCATCCCTCAACCGGAGGCGATGGTCCCACTAGCCTACACCACCCCTTCTTCGCCAGCTGCAAGTCTCGCAATGTCAGGTCATGGCCAGGCGCTCAAGCATGTTCACTCTTTTCGACGTGGCTGCATGGATGCCTGGACGATCTCTAGCCGAAATGTGGAAAACAAGACGTTCGTGGTAACAATATGAGGCGTGCAACGGTGCGCTTTGCAGAAACCTGCAAAGAAGCTCTTGGTCTGTACAGCCGAGTGGCAGCTACAACGTGCGGAGGGTGGAAGCGTGGTTCTGCCGTCCTGTGCGGCAGAAGGTGCGGCGAGCAGGTCCTTCATGTAGTCAAAGGTTGGTCTTCGGCTTGCTGAAGAACCTCTGGTCTCCAAAGGGTCGAGATGGATGATGCCAACACTTCTTGTCCTATGGCAGACAGAGAGACGCAGGACTTGCGCTCGCAACGGCAAGCGGCGCCTGATCAGGCGATCGAGCACAATGTGAACTACTCGGCTGATTCGGCGGCTGGCTAGTGCCGGTAGCGTGTTTACACGGCCGGCAACGTTGAAGGGAGCTTCCAAGAACAGCCGCACCCTTCCAACAACACCTCTGACTGCACAAGTCTGTGCGCTTCCTTTGTGGGCCCCTGTGCGCGGAAGAATGCTTCCAGCGGGATGGAACTGACGTGAGCATCTCATCTCGGGCAACCCCGAGGCAGGCAACTTGCTCCTTGTGTGCACGACATGGTGGGCAGGCAAGATGCAACGAACCAGCAGTGTCTCCTCTAGGGTCAGCTGATAACATGGAAACACATGTCGATGCACATGCCCCCAACCCTGTCTCGACCCTGAAATTGAGTCGGTTTCGTCAGGTCTGGGAACAAAGTTCAAGTGCCACCTGCAAGAGTCACAGCCCCTGACAAACTCTCCCAAAGCTCTTCCCTTTGCAAGGCTGCTCCACTGCGGTGACTGAACGCCTCTCTCCCACCTGTGCAGGTCACGGTCAAAGGTTGGTCTTCGGCTTGCTGAGGAACCTCTGGTCTCCAAAGGGTCTAGATGGATGATGCCAGCACTTCTTGTCCTATGACAGACAGAGAGACGCAGGACTTGCGCTCGCAACGGCAAGCGGCGCCTGATCAGGCGACCGAGCACAAGGTGAACTACTCGGTTGATTCGGCGGCTGGCTAATGCCGGTGGCACTTGTAAACAGCCGGCAAGGCTGAAGAGACCTTCAGAGAACAGCCGCACCCTTCCAACAACACCTCTGAATGCACAGGTCTGTGCGATCCTTGTCTGGGTCCCTGCCTGGTCACCCTGCTGGACATTCGGGTGCGTACCTGCTCGGTGAAGCTTTGAAAACTTTACTTGGGTGGGCATGGGGAGCCTCCCCAAGTGCAACGCGGAGAAAGGCAGTGTGCACCCCCGGTGCGGCAACCTGCGCTTGAGCAGACGGCAAAGCACAGCGTGGATCACTCGGCGGCTGACTTGGCGGCTGGCCAACGCCGGTGGTACGTTTACATGGCAAGCAGAAGTGAGGGGGGATCTAGCGAACAGAGGCACCCCTCCAACACCACCTGCTTGGTCGAGAGGACCTTTGCGCAGAAGCCGTGTTGCCTTGCGCTTAAGCTTAGCCTTCAACTTAGCTTGGGCAGGCACAAGGGGCCTCCGCATGATCTGCAAGTGCAGAATGGAGAAAGGCACCTTGCGCACTGGCAGTGGTGGGTTGCGCCTGCGCCGGTGGCCAAACACTGCGGCTATCCAGCGGCTTGCTAAAGGTGGCGGCACTTTTGCATCATCACCTCTGCCTCTGACTGCACATCCCTGTGCAATCCTCGCTTGGTCACCTTTCTGGAAACATTTATTTCGCAGAAGCTTTGCTATGCTGCCATGGCCAGGCAGAGGGGGCCTCCGCATGATCTGCAAGTGCAGAATGGAGAAAGGTACCTTGCGCAAGCTGCGCCGCCCGAGCCGGCGGCCAAACTCTGTGCCCCCCGTTAAAGCATCCTCCAGCCCTCTAGCCCTCCAGCTCAGCCAGCTCCAGCCCTGCCGCGTGGTCCCCAAAAACGGAAGGTCGCAGACCGCGGTGGGATCGGATGTCGATCGGGCACGTAATGGCGGTGAGCTTTTTGCACGGCGGGCATCGTTGAAGTGGGCTTCCTCGAACAGCTGCGCCCTTCGAAGATCACCTGTGACAGCACAAAGCTGTGCCAGCCCTGCAAAAACAACTTGGCCTGCCCTTTGCAGACTTCCGTGACTGCTTCCGTGGGCAACATGTTGTGCAAGTTTGAGGGGCCGCGCGCGTGCAGGTGGATGTGGCGTGGCTCTTGAGGTCATCTTCCCGAGCTTTCGGTCCTTGAACAGCCACGGCAACCGGCCTGTAAGGAAGGCCGCATGATCGCAGCGAGCAAAGTCCCTGCGCGCTCCAGCCTCGTGCAGCTCCGGCGGGCATTCGTTAGATCTGGCTGGAGATCTCTGTATGATGGCTCGGTTAAAACTCCGAGACGAGGCAAAGCTGCAAGTGGCTGGAATGTGGCAGCACGTGCCTGGGGGCCCATTGGCAGCTTTTGCCTGCATGGCCAGACCAGACTGGTCGCCAGGGTATAAATGGGCTGCAAAGTCCAAAAGGTCAAACCTTGTCCGCGCAGTGGCCGATGCATAATTCGGGTCCACTCTTCTGGGCGCTCGTATCCCGGGAGCCAAAGTATGCAAGGGCATGCTGACATTTGGGAGTTGCCGCTCCAGTAGTTCTTGCACCTGGACCATGTTGCACGCGAATGGCCGCAAGCCTCGGGTCTGAATGTCAAGGACCCACCTTTTGTTCCCATCTTAATCTCAATTCTGCTCTGAACATACAGCACAACTGCTCCAAGTTGCAAGTTGAGCCATCTATCACTGCGCGGTGCACTCCTGGATCTCCGCTGCTGCCGATGGCTTCCAAGTTGACCATGGCGGTGTCCCCTGCTTGCATGGTGCTGGAAACTTACGGTCGTCGCTGGAGGCGTTGTGACTGAAATGAGTGATCTTTCATTTTATGCTGCTTATAGAATGCACGACGCATCCATTGATTAGACGTCTGGCGCATCCATCTTGCACTAGCGGGTGATGCTTATCAACGCAATCACGACTTCAATGAAGCGGTTGCTGAAAGAACGCATTTCGATTGCGTTCTGCCATGGCCCTCTAGTCGGTATTAGGCAAACACACTGGCTCTGCGACTGTCTTTGAACAGGCATACGCCGGCAACCATGTGTCGACTCCTCAATGCAGGAAATCTCACCACACTGGACTGCCACAGGAATTAAATCGCACTGCTGAGCTGATCCTGCGACGCTCTTATTCGAACATTGGTGGTGTACGTGGATCTCAAACATCCAGCACAGCCCACAAGCACTTGCACATAGTTTTTTTGGCGCGGGAAGCGTGCCAGTCTGTACACATCGGCCAGCTGATTCATGCGGTTCCTGCTTTCTTCAGTTCAAATTGACTGGGACCGATGAATGCCGAGCTGACATGCAAAGCAATGAGCTGTTGATCGATCCTGACGACCCTGCATCATGAAACTATGTGGCCCTACATGGCCTAACAGCAGCCCCTCAGGACCCTAAACCCTAAACCCTAAACCCTAAATCCTTGAGGAATCTGGGCCTGGGATCTTTGGCGTGTGCAAAACAGCGGGAAAAGAAGCTGTGACCCTGTGGGCATGGGCAAGCTCGCCCCCAAACCCTGAACCCCAAACCCTTTTGCAACAAGCTCCTGTGTATACCCCGAACCCCAAACCGTCACTTAGGAAATACAGGCGTGCTCTGTCCTCCATGCCCTTCAGGAAACAGGCTTCAGGCTCACTCGTCGTCCTCTTCCTCACCTTCCTTCTCTTCGTCGGTTTTCTTCTTTTTCCATCCTTCGTCTTTTCCTGGCGGCAGGGTGTCTGCACCAGTCGGGACTTTCAATACTCTCAAGAACTGCACAGACCACTGCCATTCTGGCTACCCGGGCCCCGGCCTCCCAACGCCACCCACTGATCCCTAGCAGCCGCCCGCACGACGTGGACCGGATCGTAGCAGAGCGCATTGATCCCAGCGGGTGGCGCGCCGCTCTTCTGATTGTGCTGTTCACGCAGGATGTGAATGGCTGCCAAGCGCGCCTTCCAGTGCGAGTGCTTGGCAGGGCATGCACCACGTTGCAAATATAGAAGATGGCGCAGAGCATATACCAAGAGCACGATATGAAGACAGGTTTCAATTGGCAGAAGCACAAACATCATAGCACACCCTGCAGCACATGCAACACATCATCTTTGAACCATGAAAGCATAATGCTTACTTCCACCAATTTTGCTGTAACAGGCTTGAGCCCTTCAAGGGATTCATCCTCGGACCCCGTAAGGATGTGCCCCTAAGATGTTCCCTGAATATACTCCTAATACGGCCCTTCTCTTCCCTTAGTGTAGAGCCTTAGCGGTCCGGGGTAGAAGCCCAGCAGCCTAAACCCTAAACCCTAAACCCTAAACCCTAAACCCTAAACCCTAAACCCTAAACCCTAAACCCATGAGCCCTGGCCTCAGGAAGTTGGGACTTGCTGAGAGCCTCGGTGGCTGGCTCGCGCATGGCCTTGCAAATCACCTGGGCGGATGCATCCCTTGTCTTACCCCAAGCCCGTTTTGCTGCCTTTAGGGTTTAGGGTTTAGGGTTTAAGGTTTAGGGTTTAGGGTTAAAACAACCTGCCTGAATCCTGAACCCTGATGCAGCTGACCTAGGTACACCCATGTCTGTCCTCAATCCGACAGTTCATGGCTGTCGGCGAAAGGATGAGGGGGGGAGCTGCCCTTTTGAATAAACCCTCAACCCTAAACCCCAAACCCGCATTTGCAAACACGATGCTCGCATGATGGGTTTCAGACAACATGTTCTTTCAAAGCTTGTGCGTCTAAAAAGAGCGGGGGGGTTGGGGGAGTCGCAGCCCCCCCGCCCCCCATTTGCAAACACAATGCTCGCATCATGTGTTTGAAACAGACTGTACGGCTTAAAATGGGTGGCAGCCTTTTGAAGAAAGCTTCGCACGAAAGAGCGGGTTCAACACGGAGCAAAGTCGAGCCAAGCCAATCCGAGGCGAGCCAAGCAGGCCGAGGCCGTGCCAAGCAAGCCAACTTCAGCCGAGCGAGGCAAGCCGAGGCGAGCCAAGCCAAGCCGAGCCAAGCCGAGCCGAGAAAAGCCAAGCCGAGCCAAGCCGAGCCCAGCCAAGACGAGCCAGGCCAAGCACAGCCAAGCCAAGCCAAGCCACACCTTTGCAAGGGGACAGGCCCGAGCCACACCTTTGCAAAAAAAAAAACCTGGGCCCCCCCAAACCCTAAACCCTAAACCCCAATCCCCAAACCCTCAACCTGAAATGGACATCAAGCCTGGCCTGCGAGAACTTTGGCAGCTCCAGGCCGTTCGTCTCGCCTGCAGCTATAGGCTCAGGGTTAACTCGGAAGTTTCTATGCGGTTGTTGAGCGAGATACAGGGATATGAATACATAAGAAAATATTGTTGTAAGGACATATGTATGTATATATATATATATATAAACAAGGATATATATATATATATATAGAGGGATATTGTAGGGATAACATAGGGATAACATATATAGGGATATAACTAGAGGGATGTATGGGGATTCAGCATGCTCTAGCTCAAGGAGGCGACTTCAGGTCCTCTGCAGTTCAGTCCAGGCCGCACAGCTTCAGCAAAGCAGTGACGTCGTCCGTGTTGACCTGGGTGGTGCTTTGGGGCCCATTTGAAAGTCATTGATGAATTCCCTTAAAAGGGAAAGAAGGTAAACCTAAAATTATCCCAAAGCACTACCCAGTGACCCACGTCTGGCCGTCGTTGTGCAGAAGCTTTGGCCACAACCGCACAGCATCGGCTGCAGAGATCCTGTCAGCAGCTACTGTACCGCTGTGTGCCAAGTGGGGTCTTACGATATTTAGGGGTACCTTATCTCGGGGTCCTTATTCTAAGGGGATCCTACTACTTGGGGGTCTATATCAGGGGTCCTCCAATTTTTGTAGACCCAAGTTGGTTGGACTCACACTCGCTCTACGTGCCAGGTGCTGCCGGGCAAGGAAGATCCGCCAATGGAAAAGCAGGACGGAACCCTAAACCCCAAACCCCTTTAGGGTTTAGGGTTTAGGGTGAGACACATGCAGGACATGGAGGGCCGACCTCACCTCAACCTAGAAGCAGTCGCGCTCTGGCCCTATAGCGCTGACAAACTGCAAGACCCATGGTTGGCAGGGCTATGCCAGCTCCGTTGCAAGACTTACTGCAGTAGGGAATGAGGGAATGAGGGAATGAGGCACCCTATATCCCCCTATATATACCCTCAAGGGATTATATAGGGGACCTCAATCATGCCTCAATCCCTCATTTTCCTACTAGCCAACAGCAAGAAGAGGGGAGCAGGGAGGTGGTACTTTGTGGACGACTGAATGATTGAGATGATGACGTACAGGATCTCACCCCCGACAAAACCCAGTTTCGAGTAGTCCTTGAGGACTAACTGATCCCATCCACTGAATTATTGTAGTCGAGCGTTAGTTGCCTTCCTATTGCTAGGGTAAGCGCAGTCCTGCTGAGCCAGTTGAGAGCAACCCGCATGAGGTCGGTCGTCGGCTTCTGCTCGATTACGCGGTTCACAAGATCGACGCTCCTTAGGCAGCGTGCATCAGCCCGTGAAGTAAATCTGAGGCTTATATTGGCATGCCCTTAGGGGCCCTTTATGAACATACCAGGATAACCCCAAAACTAATTACTCTACTCAGGCCCCTATATTAGTCGACCGAACTCCGAATCCTGACTCCTCTTGCCTCTTCCACCAGTCGTCCTTGAGATATTGATGGCAACTCTGAGCAACGGTTTGGGGAGCGTACGGGTTCCGGGAAGATATACTCTCAGCAGGCACTGGAAATGCCCAGCAGCTGCTTGGCAGTGGGAGCTTCTACCAGCAGCTGGAGGCTTGCCTCCCACTTGTCAGCCGAATCCTTGGCTCGCAACGTGGGCTTCGGAAGTCGCATAGAGCATATGATGACTTCCCAAAATTATGGTCCCCTATGGGCCGCCTTCTGATCAGGACCCAAAAAGAGAGCATACATTTGGAGAAGTGACCATGTGATAGAAAAATCTGCATATAGCAGGTGCCGTCACTGCAAGCTGTTGTTGCAGGCCTTTTGCAGCAGTTGGACAGCTAACCTCTTGTCCCTGGGATCTTGCGATGACTTAATACCCCTGCAATCCCTACAGGTTTTAGCCCAGGCGGCAGCAGTGACAATCTTCGCCCACAGTTTCCTCGGTCTGCGTCGCATCTGACAGCAAATGACCGTTCTGCTTTCCATCTGAGCATCAGCCAAAAGTCGACAGAGGACGACTGCAGTAACTACCTTTGGCCGAGTTTCTGGATGGTGGTGCAGAAAGTGCTTCGGAGCTCTGGCGACGAGGCAATCCATTTGAGCGCACGCTCTGCTACCTGCCAACGTAAGGTTGCACCTGGTGTTGTGATGCCTTGTTGCTCGTTGCTCCCCTAAACCCTAAACCATTCTCTCAGACTCAAGCTTCGATCGCCATCTCTACAGCAAGCAACCCTCAGCAGTGGGGATCCAGATGGTCTGATCAGTAGATGCGGTGCTTCATTTGCAGGGGGAGGGGATGGCGACACCTTCACTTAAAGAACCCCGCAGCCTAAATACCCTAAACCCTATACCCTATACCCTATACCCTAAACCCTAAACCCTAAACCCTAAACCCTACACTCCACCCACGCAGAGCCCAAAGGTTTGAAGGCCTGCTTCGAAGCCGCCAGCCCAATCGACTGGCCCTTGGATCCCACCACCAGGAGATCCACGAACTTCCGCTCCTTTGATGAGTAAAGCTAGGGTTTAGGGTTTAGGGTTTAGGGTTTGTTTTTGCCACCCCCGACTAGGGTTTAGGGTTTGGCACGCGCCCTCTGCTAGCAGTTTAGGGTCTTCAAAGGGACCTCTTTCAATAGTGCTCGAGCTTGGGGGACCTCACACGGGGAACCATGAACATACCCAATAGGGTCCTTGTTTTCCCCTTCTATTCCTACTACATTGTTGGAATTCCCTGTTCGGGGTACCCACTGGGACCCTTTTGATGAAATGGAAACTGGAACACCCCTTTTCACGAACCCAAGCCCTAAACCTAGTTGAACCCAAACCCTAGACCCCCCCAAAACCCTACTTTCGGTACCTGGGACGCCCGACACAGAAGAAAACATCTCCTACACCCCAGCCTGCGAAACCGACCTGATTCATTGTCCGAGGCTCCTAAACCCTAAACCCTAAACCCGAAACCCAAAACCTTAAAACCCTAAAACCCTAAAACCCTAAACCCTAAACCCTAAACCCTAAACCCTAAACCCTAAACCCCCAGACTGAGGCTCCACTTTGACTTTGTGCACCACCATGCGCTCGACGCGGTCGCCGACGCGGTACTTCTTCCAGTCGGCTTGGGGGACACTGAGCCTCCCATCTTTCTCCTTGGGTTTAGGGTTTAGGGTTTAGGGTTTAGGGTTTAGGGTTTAGGGTTTAGGGTTTAGGGTGACTTCTGAGCCCCCTGCTAAGAGTTTGGGTAGTTTGAACCAAAAACCCAAAAGGTGAAAGTCCCAAGGGCCAGCCAGAAAGACAGCCAAGTCTCACAGCCGAAGTTGACGTAGACGCCGAACTCCTTGGAGGAGTTGGTCACGTTGCCACTGACGATGGACCCGACCTGGGAGATCTTTGAGACGGGGCCCTTGAAATCCAAAAGGACTCTCATGGGCTAGTTTGAGAATATGTTATTGTATGCTGCAGTATTTTGAAGCTGCATTACTTTGAAGTATTTCAGATAAACTAACACTTGCTTTAAAAGAAACTTGTAGTGCAGCAAGAAGTTTCTGATCCCCACTTAGGGCGTAGGTTCGTCACCACAGAAACTGGGTTGGAGCTGGGGCGCTGTGACTGAAGAGATGGGTTTCCCACCGGTATGCTTCCAGCCTCCATCCGGACGCTCCTGCTGGAATGCTGCAGCCTCTCAAGGAAATTGCTGTGCCTCCAAGAAACCTACAAACAACAAACCTAAACCCTAAACCCTAAACCCTAAACCCAACAAACCCCGACCCTGCCTTGCTTTCGCGCGTGGCATCTTCAGTATGCCGCTTGTGCCAGGCTTCAACCAAATTGCTCGCCACACTCATCTTGAGACTCTCCTCAGGCTATTTGTGCCCTAAACCCTAAACCCTAAACCCTAAACCCTAAACCCTAAACCCTAAACCCTAAACCCTAAACCCTAAAGAGCATCTTGAGACTCTCCTCATGCTATTTGTGCTTCTTTCTTCGCTCCGGCATAGCTTCTCTGGCTGTTGCAAGGATGCATAACCCTAAACCCTAGACCCGAAACCCTAAACCCGGAAACCTAAACCCTAAACCCTAAACCCTAAACCCTAAACCCTGAACCCTAAACCCTAAACCCTAAACCCTAAACCCCAAAGAGAGAAGTGCGGAGGAACTCAAGGGTCGCCAAGGCGCCGGGCAACGCTTGAAGAGCTCGTTGGACCTTGGCTGGTGCTTCGACTGAGCAGCATGCTATTTATATGATTAATATTATTATTATATTCATAATATGAATGACATTTTTTAAACTATTTTAATATTATGCATATTACTACGTAATGGAGCTGAAACTCGTTGCACCCTCATACTTGACTTTGGCTTCTTCGCCGACGGGAAGCTGGGGACGAAAGAGAGGACAATGCCTCTAATCACGGCAAAGACAGCCCATTCACTTGCTGAGCACCAGGCTCATCTTCAGTACATCCGTGTGACAGCAATCCCGTCCAGTGGGTCTCGATCAGGTCATTCCGCACTTTGTCGCGCGCTTCATTATCCTGGCAGGTCCGGGCTAGATGGCGCAACCCTAACGAAACCCTGTTTGCTGAACGCTGCTTTCAGCGAGGCCGGGCTCCTTCTTGAAGGTGTCGTCTGTGGGTATCTTCTTCTCAGCCGCCTCTCTGTTCACCCGCAGGGGGCCCTCGAGTACTCTGACGAAGAATGACCGAAGAACTTGCAGCATCTGATCCCATTCCTGGCAGTTGCCGGAAGATCTCACCAAGCTACAGCATGCTCGCTTCTCATGTGCCGCATGCCAGCGTGTCCACCTAGGCTGAAGAAGGCAATCATTGAAGACAGGCGTCATCAGGAGACAAGCCAATGTCGGGGGCATGGCCCGCCACGGCCTACCAGGCAGCTTGCTGGACAAATTGCTTATAGCAGCTTTCAGAGCTTCGTGTGGACCCCGTATGACCCCGTGTGGACCCCTATAATCCTCTCCTAGGTCCATAATCCCATTCTGATCAGCCTGAATCTGAACCCCAGGAATTCCAGCTTTCACAACATTCTGTGTACTGATAGCCCGGCTCCGGCACCCTAGTTCGCACTGAAGCCCGGGAAGCTGAACTCTGGGTGTGCTGTGAATTTTGGGAGTCTCCCTCCTGGGCGAGCTGGCGCCAGCTGTCCACGTTGCCCTTCTCCGCGGTACGCTTCTCCACATCTGCCAGCTCCGTCACCTCGGGCCGATGTTACCAAAGACTCGGACCCGAACCTGCGGCATGTTGGAGTTCTAAGGCCACTATAAGGCGGCAACGGCACATGGCCCCCCTGCCCTGGTCTCTGTGAGAATACGTCGGCCCCGTTGGAGGCCTTTAGGAACGGATAAAGGTGGCAAGAGCCGAAACGCCATCGGCTGCAGAAGGACCTGATACTATGTTTTGTATGTTGTTGTATATTTATTTATGAATGTACACGTACATATATGTATATATATATGTATAAGATATATATACTCGGATCGTTGGGCAGTCGCAGCACGGTTTTTTTGTGCACGAACAGGGGGAAGTGCAAAGCCGCCAGCACGCTGAACAATGCGCAGCATTTAAGGGTTTTAGGGTATGGGCCCTTCGGAGGCTGCTGGGTGTACAATTGGTCAGTATTATTACTATTATTACTACTTATTACTATTACTATTACTATTACTATTATTATGATTCTTATTTTTCTTGTTTGTATTCGTATTACAATTGTTACTATTCTTAGTACTACTACTATTGCGGACTGGAGATGGAACTCACTGGCCCCGACAAGTCTTCAGCACTTTTGTCTCGTGACTATCGTAGGTTCGGAGAATGAAGCACAATGCTTTTGCAAGCGCTGTGCATTTCCAAACTTGTATCTCTGGTACCTAGTCTCCGGTATCCTTCCCAGCTGTCATCAGCAGGATCTCTCCGCATCCTAAACCCTAAACCCCAAACCCCAAACCCTAAACCCTAAACACTCATGCAGCTGTGTTGCCCAGGTATTGTACTCTCCTGACCGCAGCAGCTTGACCCAGGCAGACAGAGCGCAGCTGAAGTATCCGTTTGCGTTGCTGTCTTTGCCAGCCACGGCCTCCTCCCACCTGTGGAAGACCTGCGGCGCATGTTACTATTCTGTTATGATAAAGTGTAAAATTTGAAGGAAAAATATAAGAATGATGTAGTAATCTAATAGAAGTAGTACAACAATCGATAGAATTCCTTGAGATTGGGGTTACGAAAGCTAGACAAACGCCGGACAGCGAAGCAATGCATTTTCGAGGGATGAATGAGAAGTGCGGATGCGGTCAGCGCAGTGGATAGGGAGCTTGGATTTTCAGGCCCAATGAACGATGGCATCTGACATTGCGAAATAACGGCAAGGGGGGGGGGGGGGGGGGGGGCCTCAAGGGAGGGGGGGCCTGAAGGGAGGGGGGGGAGGCATTGATTTTCATACCAGTTAATTCACTTGTTGACCCACCTGAACACTAGAGAGAAAAACGACAACTCTCGCAAGCTCCAAGGAGCTAGCTTTCGTGATTGTCCAAAAAAACACATTGATGTAGTAGTAGAAGCCTCACTAGCCTACACACACCATCCGTCGGGGAAGCATGGTGCCGACGGATGTGTCTAGATGCTGCACGGCAAAGCACTGCGACCGGCCTCCTTCAAGAATGTCTTCAACGTTGCGGAATCGCAGTCCTCCAATGACATTCGCGCGACGGCGTTCACCAGCTCGGTGAATTGGCCAAAGGAGATCATGGAGATCAGGTCGGCCAGCACGCGCCCGTCCGTTCCTTCTTTGTTGTGCTTCGGGTCCGTTCGGGACGCCAGCCGAGAAGCTTGTACAACGTGCGTCAGCGCCTCTACGACGTCTGTGACCTTGGATCGTGCCCATCGTAGGAAGAGCGAGACGTCTTGGGGGAAAAAGGATGAAAAAGGGAGAACCAAAACATTGAGAATGTGTAGAAACATTGCATACTATATCATAACATCTCATAAACTACATCATCTTCGAATATACCATATTAAACCGATAAATAAATAAATAAATAAATAAATAAATAAATAAATAAATACACACACACATATATATATATATATATTATTATACATAATATCCCAATCCAGAAGAACAAACAAAACTATAACATTTTAAGAATTTAACATGACAGCCATGGAGCATTGGAGGTGCAGGACTTCAAGGCCTGAACCGACTTGTTGGTGGCCCCGGGCACCATGGCCAACTTGGAAACCACCTTGGGGAAGGTAGGGTGTGGGGTTTAGGTTTAGGGTTTAATTTAGGGTTTAGGGTTTAGGGTTTAGGGTTTCGGGTTTCGGGTTTCGGGTTTCGGGCTACTACTACCCCCCCCCCCCCCTCCCCCCTTCACAAAAAAGGCTACTTCGGGAAAATTGCCTAATTCAGGTGATTGAAAAGGGGAACGTAGGGCGGGGGTAGTACAGAGGAGGAGTAGCAGGGAAACCCATGACCTTGGGAAGGTAGGGCAGCACCCACTCGGGCTGCTCGATAAGCTGGTCGAGCATGATCTGGGCCACATAGGCCTGGTCATCCTGGTTGTCGGTGCGGTCGAAGTAGTCGAAGTAGAAGCCTACATAACGTCCCACGTCTCTCTCTTTTTTTTTTTTGGGGGGGGGGGGGGGGTTTAGACACGGCTGAGGCAAGAAAACACCATGGGCCAAGAAACGTACATCTTCCGGGCGGAACCTGGGCAGCACGACTGCAGCACGTTTGGCGCCGTGGAGATTTGACTGATATGCTTACATCTGGGGGTGAGTGGCTGCAGCTGCCCCGCATCATGAAGCTCTGTGCCGGCCGCCCCTCTTAGGGCGCAGCTCCCCGGATGTTGCCACCTTCGACAGGATGTTGCCTGCCCGTTGGCGTGCGGTAATGGTGAGATGACAAATTTGGGGGGGGTTTCTGACAATACGGGACCCCTCAAACAAACCCCCAAACAGTAAGATTCCCTTGTAAGAATAGATCCCAAATAATCAGATTTCCTTATAAAATAGACCCCACACAGTAAGATTTCCTTATACTAAGGATGCCAAGAAGGCACCCCTTATTTCGGAAACACCCCAATATGGCATCAGAAGATGGCCTGCCACATCTCGCTGGCACTCCCCTTTCCTCCAGACGAACGTGTACAGCTCCAACCTGAGATTTCGAGCTGCGTTTTAGGGTTTAGGGTTTAGTTTAGGGTTTAGGATGCCAAGCAGATTGGGCTCGGAGCTCAAGTGTTCAGGCAATCAGAGGCGCGGACGGGTCAGGAATTCGCAAATCCACGATCTTCTTCAGACCTGGCAAGAGAGTTGACGAAGTGCCTGTCTTATGTACTCTTGTGCTTTAAGTCTTAAAGCCAATGTCGGCAACAACATGTTGACAACGTCGACGTCAAGCTGTAACATCTCAGATGCCCCTAACTTCTGGCGCAGGGCGGCCTGCCACTTGCAGCCCGACGCCTGCTTTCTTTGGCAGCATCACTTGGCGGATCAGCACCTCGTGGCTGCGCAGCTACTCACTCCCACAACATGCTGAGGGGCCCGTGGGCCCCTTACTGGCCCCTTATCAGCCCATCTTCATGGGTTTCCCAAAGCAAGAGGAAAGATGCTTGTTCATGGTCAGGTGGCTCGTGCTTGCGGTGGGCTCAGCTGCGCGATCATCTTCGTCACCTTGGGCTGAAGGGCTCATGGCTTTGTTTTGGGGTTGAGTCGTGGCCGGAGGGGGGGGTTGGGGTTGGAGGATTGCAGGTAGGTTGCGGGCGAAAAGTCCCTGTCTCTCTTCAAACCGTAACCCCCCCCCAACACAAACAAAAAAAAACTCAGGACTTTCGGGCCAAGTCACAGCCTCCTTTGCCTGCTTCACCTTGCCTGCATGGGGCCCCAGAACTTGCATGGCAGCAGCTGCGTTGTCAGATCGGCCCAAGGCGGTGAGGAGTGTCTCCACCTGCCCAGCACCCTTTCTGCATCTCCGGAGTCTCATGCTGGGCAGCCTAAGCCCTAAACCCTAAACCCCAAACCCTCAACCCAGCACGGCTTTCTGACTCTACACAGCTGGGCTTAGAGGAAGCAGCCTCGGGCTGAAAAAAATCGTACGGATTCGGCTCGCTCACAACAGGCACACAAACGATTCCAAAACTGCAGATGGGCTCATGAATCACTTCGACGTACGCAGAAAATTTTTCTGGGGCCCTAACCCCAAACCCTACAGGTCCGACCTTAGGGTTTAGGGTTGAGGGTTTAGGCTGTAGGGTCACGGGGGCGCCTCTGGGTCGTCCACTTTGTCACAGAAGCTGGGGTCCGGCCTCGAGATCGGCCGCGATGCTTCTGGGGGTTCTTCCAGGTCAGGGTTTCGCACCCTCCTGGTTTCGGGTTTTGGCGGGTTGCCACTTCTTCTTTTTCTTGTTGTTTTTTTTTTTTTTTTTTTTGGGGGGGGGGGGGGGGGGCGGTGGAGGGAACCCCAAGCGCCTCCAATTAAAAAAGTTGAAGCGCTGCCTCAAGTCGAAGTTAGAGTTAGAGGTCCGCAAACACACCACTTTTCCCAAACCCGTGAAACCCTTGAAAGACCACCCTCTATGTCGCCACCCCCCTCAAAACTAGGGTCACCGGCTTTCAAAACCTCCAAGTGAGGGCGTGCACAGCCTGGTTTTGCAAAACCGGGTACAGGGAACCAGAAGACCCTGAACCCTGAACCCTAAACTGAAAACCCCTAAACCCTGGCCAAACCCAAAACCCTAGCTAAACCCTAAACCCTAAACCCTAAACCCTAAACCCTGAACCCCGTGGCTGAGTGCCATTGCAAACAGAGAGCAGCTCCGCAAATCGGCGCTCAACCTCGGTGTTGAGGTCGCTGTAGGCGCCCGCAGCCTGGATGACCTCCCAGCCCCAGGCGTCTGAGCCCGTGTCCTCACCACAAGGCTTCGGTTTCAGAGTTTTTTTTTGCCACCCACCTGGGGGCGTACTGCTGTTTCGAGGTTCGCGGGGTCAGGGTCTGGGTTCGATTGGATTTTACGCGGGCATCCTAGCAACATTTCCCAGGCAGCCGAAACGCAGGAGATGCCACTTTGCTCCACAGTGAGTTTGTGATTGTATTGGACTTGCTTTCTCTTTCCGGGGTCTCTTTCTTTCTTTCTTTCATTCATTCTTTGGGCTTGAGGGCACACTGCCCCCCCCCACACAGTTCACGTGCCCCTGTGTTTCCGGTGGTCTCTTCCTTCCTTTCTTAGCATATGCCCCCCCCCCCCCCCCCAGGAGGGGAGCCGCCCCGAGGGGCATGCGCAACCGAGTGAGAATGTGTGAAAAGATCTGCCGGTGCTCTCTCTCTACTCCGTCTCTCTCCTTCCCTCCACCCTTGAGCCCAAAGGGCTCCGGTCCTTCGTCGTCTGTTCCTTTGGATAGATGCTCAGGAGCTGGCTCACTTTGCTCACGCCGTCTGCAAACTCCAAGCGCGGGATCAAGGTAAGCTCCTCTGGCTCCGTCGACCACAGCGCTTTCTCCAGGAATTCCTCTGTTTTTTTTTTTCTGGGTTTCGGGTAGTTAGGGTTCCGGGTACTTTTGGGGGGTTAGGTCGGGTTTTGTTGCTGGGTTTAGGGTTTTTGAGTTAGGGATCAAGGTGTGTTTGGGGGTTTAAGGTCGCTTTAGGGTATTTTCCTGGGTCCAGGGTTGAAGGGCTTTGCGCAAGGCATTGGCTTTCCGAGTGTCACATGGACAACAGTTAAACTAGAGGGGCCCATGCTGTGGGTGCATGTATCACAACAAAGTCAATCCTTATTGAGTGGCAGGCAGGGCCCGTCAAAGCTCGCAAAGCAACACCATGGCTCCAAAAAAGAACAGCCAAGCAACTGTCTGCGTCTTCGGATGCCACAGGTACGTCTGCACGGCTCCCTTCTTCTGATTGGAGGCCTTGGTAGAGTTTTGCGAACATAAATCCGTGCTGAGCAGGTACGTTCGATGGACAGATGCCTCTGCTGTGAACCGTTTATGTCTTACTTAGAGAACGTTCGCGGCTTCGGACGGCTCGACGTGAAGTCGGCCCGAAACCCTCCCACTGTAAGCCTCACTCTAGCGGCCTTAGGGCATCCAAAAAATCGCAACCCCAGCAGCCACAATTTCTACCGACCAAGACCTAGTTTCCACAGACCAAGACCACCTCATTCCGCCCAGGCACAATCACATCACGCCAGCCAGGGTCTGCCTTTCCATACCTCAGGATGTTGCCAGGCTTGATGCTCTTGACTAAGAGTGGTCTGTACCTCTTGAGGTTGTGGGTGCCCTACCCCCAAAGACCCTGAGGCCAGGGAAAGCGCAAGCACGGATTCGCGACGCATTCTACCCTCACAACAAGGACGGAAATCAAGGAAAATCTCTAAGGTGACCTTTCAAGCACAAGGATCAAGAGGCATGCAATGCAACTACGTGCAACGGCTGGGCCCACTTCAGGGCCCAGAAACCCACACAACTTCCCCCGTCCCAAGAGGAGCTGCCTGGCAATTTGGCTCAGCAGGAGCCCTCGCTTTCGGAAGTGGTAGAACTCCTTGGAAGAAGCACCCTAAACCCTAAACCCTAAACCCTAAACCCTAAACCCTGAACCCTAAACCCTAAACCCCAGCCCCCTTGTGCCACGAACCCGGCAGTTACCAAGAGCACGAATCCATCTAGGCCAGAGGGTTTTAGTTTTGGGGTTTGTAGGTTTGTTGAAAATACATATTTGGGGTCCTACATAAGGGGTGCCCTTTTTGGGGTCCTTATCAAAAGGGAATCCTACTGCTTGAAGGGCTATATTCGGGGTCCCTTATTTCGTAAAGCCCCATTTGATTGCTTTCAGGCAACGACTTAATTGGGGGGCAGGCTCAAGAAGCTGTCATGGGAACGTGGTTTGTGGCGAGGGGCGGGTGGGGAAACGCAAAGATAACCGTCCTACAAGACTTCTCACGAGACCGGTGGGGCTTTCATCATACCACCTGCCACCTGCCAGTGTCCAAATAACTGCACGAATAAGTTAACCCTAAATCCCCTTTTTGAACCTGAAAGCCGCTTCATGCCAGGATGGCCCAACCCTTTTGCATCCAGGAAGAACATACATACACACTGCCAAGCTGGGCCTTCCTCCCTAAACCCCTTTAAACCCCTTTAAAGAAGCGGGAGCTTGTTCCTTCATGAGCACACATGCCATCTGGAAGCTCAACGAAAAGCCCGGCAGGCAAGAGTCACATTCTGTTCTTAGTACGATCTATACACGTACCCTTTGGTCTCGCCAATGCTGTCGCAGGCTCCGTGCTCGCACCTGGTGCCTTGAGCTTGTCAATGCACTTGTGAAGCCACTCCTGCCTGCAGTTGCCTCGAAGTGCTGAAGGCATGTAAGTGACACAGCTTTCAACAATGGGTATAGACTACTTCATGTCAGTTCCTTGGCGGCAAACGGATCTAGGACCTCCTAGAAGTCTACAGTGTGCTGGCAGACTTCGCGCACGATGCCGCCATGGAGCAGAGGTGGCGCGAGAAGCTGGTGCCAAAGAACACGAAGAGCTCGCAGTCATCTCGCTGCATGAGCTTCTCCACCAAGCCGTCGCGGGTGCTGTCATCCAGCAACAACAGTTCCATCAGGGGTGTGAGAACATCACTGCTGCCATCCAGCGTCTCATTCCTGGTAAGGCACTTGCTTGCATGCCAGGGGGTTTACAAAGCATCATGCTTTGGGATGTTCCCCCCCTTTAGACTACCAGTCCTTCATAGTGACCATAATAGGGGGTACTATAATCCCTATGAAGGTCTGTTAGTATAAAACCCTAAACCCTAAACCCTAAACCCTAAACCCTACAACCCAAACCCTAAACCCTAAACTCTTAGGCCGAGCGTCTTCGTCAAGGCAGAGTTGAAGTACGGGTAGTGTCTGCCAACCGTGCGGGCCATTCCCTCGAACCGAGCGTTCAGGGTCGCGATGCTTGCCTGCCACAGGCGGGGCCTAGGGTTTAGGGTTTAGGGTTTAGGGTTTAGGGTTTAGGGTTTAGGGTTTAGGGTTTAGGGTTTAGGGCTTCTGCTGCATGATCTGAGGGCCATGCAAGGTTTAGGGTTTAGGGTGTGCAAAACCCTGGCACATGGTTGCTATGCGCGCGGGGCAAGGGATTATGTATTTCCCTAAGGATCCATGTACCTATATAGTATATACTTAGGCCTTAAAGGGGTTCCTATATAGTAGCTTTAGGGCCCAAGTATATACTATATAGGTACATGGATCCTTTGGGTTTTACATGTTCAGAGCCTCGAGCAGCTTGGTGATCTGAGGGCCCGAGAGCATGGCACCAATGGCAACGACCATCCATAAGACCTGGCGCCTGCGCAGCTGGGAAGTGTACTCTGTTGTGTCAAACGCACACACACACACACTCACTTCTTCTTGACTGTTTCTCTCTCTCTCTCTCTCTCGCTCTCTCTCTCTTGCTTGCTTGCTTGCTGTGCGTAAGACCCCCGGAGGGGCCGCCCCAAGCGGCACGCTCAAGCGTAACCGTCAGGTGTGATACAGGTGTGTGTAAGTGGGGAGGGACACGTCAGGGAGGCAAGTGGGGTTCAAACAGCGGGGAAGTAGGGGTTGTGGTTGTGTTTCGTTGTGACGCTCCCTTCCGAGTACATTGCCTCGACACACCACTGAGCTACTTTCAGGCATCAAACCGTGGGCTTTGGGCATCCACTTTCTCTTTCTTTCTTTCTTTGGGGCTTGGGGCATAACCCGCGCCAATGTCTGCGTGTCTGCGGAACTGCACCCTGGGCCGCTTTCCTGAGCCCGTCTACTTGGCCCTCCTCGCCCTCAACCCCAAAGTCCCCAATCCTGGACCCACCCCTCGGCTACAGCAGCCCTCCCAAGCGCGTGGAAGTCAACCTTTTCTCTCTCTCTCTCTCTCTCTCTCTGCACGTTTGGCCCCCTCCCGAAGGAGAAGGCCGCCCCCAGGGGCGCGCGACGTCCGAGGGTCAGTTGGAACGGGGATTGCTACGGTGTTCGTAGACCCCTTTCATAATTGCAAACGCCATATGGCGAAAATGAAGCGGTCGCAGGGGAAAAACATGCACCCAGAGGACTCTGTTGGGGCCCCCTCCAGGTTGCCTATCTCAGTGGTGGAATGAAAGAGTACCGCCCCGAATTAAACCCCTGGCCATGTTAAAATTCAGGTGGTCGGTTTTCCACGGAGCCTAGCAGCAAAGAGCCCCCTGCAAAGCGGCAGTGGGGTGGTGTGTTACAGGTTTTGGGTTCCGGATTCGCGAGGACTGGACTGAGCGCAAAAGAGGCTTCGCTCTCTCGAATTGACTATGACTACGGAACAGAGTCGCTCTTTAAATCTGCCCTTCTCTCTCTCGCTCTTTCTTTCTGCTCTCTCGCTCTCTCGCTCTCTCGCTCTCTCGCTCTCTCGCTTTCTCTCTCTCTCTCTCTCTCTCTCTCTCTCTCTCTCTCTTTATCTGCACCCCTATACCCATCCCATCACATTCCTGCACATGATCCCTGGAACTTGCACTCCGAATTGGATGGCCGGCTCTCTTTGACGTCTTTGACGACTCTCTCATGGCCCTTATGGCTTATGGCGTCCCTGCACCTAAAGCAAGGTGACCCTAAACCCTAAACCCTAAACCCTAAACCCTAAACCGCAAGGTGTATGGTACCTCCACAAGTCGACCCTTCTGGGCCTGTTCGGGGCATCCAAGAGCTTCGACAAAGCCGCAAGCCTCAGTCTGCTCAGGCTCCCAGTTCTCTCAAACATGAGCTTATATGAAGTAGGGTATATATTTCTTGTACCCCCAAAAGGACACCAAGTATATACGCTCACCAATATTAAAAAAAGGAACCTTATATACACTCACCAAAAACAGTAATATAAACCCTGCTTCATATCGGCTTAACGAACCCGTTTCAACCCTACAAGGGGGTATGGAGGCTAGCTTATAGTGGCTTCATTCACCCTTTTCAACCTTATAAGGGGGTAGAGAGGCTGCCTAAAGGAGAGTTCTCCATTTAGCGCGTTTTCGAAATTTACAGTTCCGGCCCACCCACCCATCCACCCCCCCCCTCCCCCCCCCCCCCCACCCCCCTTCCCCCCCCCCCCCACCCCCCCCCCCCCCCCCCCCCCACCCCCCCCTCCCCCCCCCCCCCCCCCCCCCCCCCCCCCCCCCCACCCCCCACCCCCCCACCACCCCCCACCCCTCTCCGCACTCTTCATGCGCCACCCACCCACCCCACCCCCACCCCCACCCACCCCACACACCCACCCCCCCCCACCCCACCCCCCCCCCCCCCCCCCCCCCCCCCCTACGCACATCCCCGCAATTTCATTTCAACATAATTCGAATTCACTAAAAGGACTTGAAATTCAATGAAAATAGGCCCAACTAGTTCAAGATCATTACAAGCAATTAAAATATCAATTACAACGATAAAAGATACAAAAAAATAGAATTTTCGTTGCTTTGCAATTGATTTTTCACCATTTTCAATTAAAAATATTGACAAAGTGACTAAATAGTGAAATCACTTGAAAAAATGCAATCGGGGGGGGGGGGGGGGTGGGTGGTACCCACCCCCCCCCCGCCCCAAAAATGAAAAACCGCACTTCGTGGAGAACTATCGCCTAAAGCGCCTAAGGGTTTAAATAGTTGAGTCCGACTCAGTGTCCGAGACGCACGCAAACGCTCAACCGAATCAAGGGTGCGAGATGGGGCTATGGCATTGTGGCTTATTGTATTTTCAACGGATGAATTTTAAACCCTAAACCCGAACCCTAAACCTGAAACCATGTGCCCAGGAGCTCCGCTGCTGCAATCGTGTCCTTGCATCTGTAGGTCTGCCAGGGCAGCGGCTTGTACACTTTGTTCTTCTGGATGTCCCAGGATGCCTAGTTAGGGCACAGCGCCCAGTCGTGGTGAATTGCGGTTCTTCATCCTAAACCCTAAACCCTAAACCCCTAACCCCTAAACCCTAAGATTCTGATAGTTCTTGCTTTTTTGTTGTTTTATTGCTGCTCCGTACAAAAATATTAAACGCGAAACGGTAACTGCTTACATGAAATCTTGCTAGTTGTTCCCCAGAGGGTCCATTTGTACTACTATTAAGGTCAAATTAAGGTATTAGGTACCAAAAACCATACTAAGTAGGATTTTGGGGTAGCTAAAGCCATAATGGTATTACAAATGGACCCTCTGGGTGCTACTGGAATCCAGAAGCGACAAAAGGGCTCACCCAATGCTACCATTTGCTTAAGATCCCTATATTCCCCTTGTAAGGCAGAATGTTTTCTGTTTTTTAATAATCCCTATATTACCCTTATAAGGAAGAACATTTTCTATTTTTTGGGGGAAAGAACGGTTCTTAAGCAACTGGTAGAATGCAAGCAGGCGGCGCTCGAGACCCATTCGCTTCCTGGAAGCCGGCGGAAGCTAAGCTCGCCGAGGGGCCTTCCCACGCTCTTCAGCCTCAGGGTTTGGGGTTTAGGGTTTGGGGTTTGGGGTTTAGGGTTTAGGGTTTGGGGTTCAGGGTTTAGGGTTTAGGCCTCTCGGTCTTGTCTTCCCAGCGCTCGCGGCGGGCCGTGCCCAGAACCTTCCATTCCTTGTCGGTCATGACGGAGATGTCCTTCAGTGCCGCGATTCGCCTGCCAGAAGATCAGTTTCGGCCAGCGATGTTTCTAGGTAGGGGCTGGGGGAGGTGTGTTTGCGGAAGCCTGGAAGCAACCAAGTCTGGCCTGCAAATCATCTCCGACCCCTCCTTGGCAGGGATGATCCCTGACTCGATGCTCTTCAGGATGTTGCTGACAGCATCCTGAAGAGCAAGCAAAGGCTTCTTCGAGCCCATCTGTCCCTTCCCCTCCGACCCGCTTCAGACTCACGCGCCCTGCTACGCCATGTCGACACGCGAGAAACAGAGGCTGGTGCCTTGTACTCGCTGCAGTCGAGGGGTGCCCACCAGCGCTTTGAAAGCTTCCGGTCCCCGGTGATGAAACGACTCGGGTCGGCAAAAGAGAAGTGTCCTACGTCGGGCCGAAGCCCTACGCACAGGGGGATGCCACCAAATGCAATCTGGTCACTGCTGGCGCTCAGCAAGGAGGTTCAGAATGCCAACAAACACAAAATCGATGCCCTTCTGCTTCACGCCTTGAGCAAGGAGCCTCGGTCAGTTTTGAATTGCTTACACGGCTATGTCGAATATGCCAACAGGCCAAAGGCGGTCCAGAAACCACTGCCCATCGAACATCAAGTGTAGTCGACGCCATTGAGATTTCTAGTCATGGGGGGGGGCGGGGGTGGGGGGGGGGGGGGCTGGACCCTAAACCCCAAAGCCTAAACCCGTCATGTGGCTACAATGGACCACCTTTCAGTTGGCAAAGGAGCTTCTTCCACCACTCGCCGATGAAGGGGTACCTTGGCGTTGGCACGATTGCTTTGGCGCGGCCATATGGTACTGCCCTTGCAGCGGTGCTCGCATGCCCAGGCCTACTTCATAATCAAAGAACTAAGAACAAAGACTAATACTACTATTTCGAATAATAATCATCATCATCATAATCTTACTAGTAAAAGTAATAGTGATGATACTTAATATTAAGATGCCGAAACAGATTTCAGAATTCCGCCATGGCACGTTTCCCAGAGGCCCTTCTCCCCAGTGTTGCCCGAGTCTTGCTGCATGACCGGCAGGCCTGTCTTCTCCTTAGTTGCCGCAAGGGTTTAGGGTTTAGGGTCCCTTCCACACCACCTTGCAACGCCTCAAGCCTTCCGACCTGAACAGCCTGTCACTAGTTCTACGTCTTCACGCAAGTCCCTGGCACTTCTGGCTTAAATTGATTCCTCGGCTTAGCTGGCTTCTACAGCGATGCACGCAGTGTTGACCTGGCAGCCCTTCCTCGCTTGGCTTGGAAGTCTGCGGAACAGAAAAGGCCAGTCTCCAAAGCTCTCCAACTGCTTTCAGGCCAGCGCCCATATCACTCAACTTCGAGGGTCGATTTCGGGTGGGCATGGATAACATGCCTATACATGACTTGCTCCTACTTGTTGCAAGTACAGATCGTCGCTCTCTTGTTGAAAGCAGCCCTGGAACATATGTCCCCTCAGGTGACTGCCTGGCACTGCCGTCGAGCTTGTTATCTATTGCTCCGAGAAAGGCTTTAGTCTATTTTGGTAAACCTTAAACCCGAAAACATGTATAGCATGACCCCGAAAGCCAAGCCCTAAACCCTTTTGCAACCAGGTCTCACACCCTATAAACCCTAAACCCTAAACCCTCAAAGCCTAGAATCCTAAACCGTAAACCCTACAGCCTAAAACCCTAAACCCTAAACACCCAAAATAAGCCCTACACCCTAATGCCTAAAGCCTGAAACCCTAAAACTACAGACCTAAACACACCAGGCTGCGGAGATGATCAGCATAAAGCCCTGGCTGTCCACCAGCTCCAGCCAATTGCCGCGCTGGATCCCGCGCACCACCGTGCCTGGATGAAGTTCGGATGAAGTTGGGTTTAGGGTTTAGGGTTTAGGGTTTAGGGTTTAGGGTTTAGGGTTTAGGGTAGGGTTTAGGGTTTAGGGTTTAGGGTTTAGATTGAACTACATTTACAGAAACATATTCAGGATTTAGGGTTTATAGGGTTTAGGGTCGAAGGTTTGTTGGGAAATTATTCAAGGTTCCCATGGTTGTACAGTAAACTCCAGAAAGCTGAACATGGTTTAAGGATGATTAGAGCTGGGATTCCCCTTAGTATACCTTTTGGGGCATGAGGATAAGGATGTTCCAATCTTCTGGAGATTACTGTATAAGGAAATTACAAGTGGTGAGGCTGGAAAGGATACCGATGGACATGGTGCGAAAATGGCAATTGCAGAGAAAAAAGACTGGAACGATCGTGCCCCACGTTGTGTCACTGCTTTGGCCAGGCCATTGTGCCGGACGAACCGCGACAATTCGACTCGACTGCGCCCTGTCAGTATCCTCTAATTTTGGTCATGCATGGCTCTTTTGTTGCTTTACTGGGAAAGGGGGGACAGGTGCCCAATTTCCACAAAACTCGACATATGAATGTATGGTTCTAGGTAGGTTGCCTCCAGCGTGGAGTTTCAAATCGTCCTGGGAGATTTACGCCTCTGTCCGCTGCCAAGTTCATGGAAAACATGGGTTCTCCCAGGGTTTTCCGAAATCTCCATGCTTTCCGGAACTATGTGCCCGAGGGGCTGGATTCAAGGCAAAGATGGGTTGTTACCAATGTTTTTTTCCAGGGTTTTTGTTACCGCCTTTTCGGCTTCAGAGCTATTTCAGTGCCGAGTTCCAGCAAACATGGATTTTTTGGAAACACATGGGTTTGCCAATGCAGGGGCATGTTTTTGCATGTATTCACCCTCCAAATTCATGGAAGACTTGGGAGTGACTTTTACAGAGCAGAATTTGTGCGCACGAATTGCAATTGACTTCCAATAAGCCCAACTCAGGTGTTATTCGAGCTTGAGGAACTGGGATCTAATTCGTAAGAGTATAATCCTTCGGGTTCTGGTCACAAACTACGTGAGATCATTGCTTAAATAGCAAGTCATTTGCTGTCTTATTGCAATGAGTCTGGCTAGCCCCAAATTACATGGCGAAGCTCCACATTACACAATTAAATAAACCAGCCCCTGAACAGATCGATTCTCTGGCGCATCGGTTGTCCCAATCTACCCCTAAACCCTAAACCCTAAACCCGAAACCCTAAACAGCTGTCCTTCGTTCTCTCTCCAAATTCCCCCGGGCCACGGAAGCAGAAACTCCAAGGATGGCCCTTAAAAACCCTAAACCCTAAACCCTAAACCCTAACATTTCTTAATGATCCCTTTGAACCTCAATAAGGGCAAAAAGAAGATCTCCCAAGGGCCTACCTGGAGTGTGACTTTTAACTTGGTAAGCTGAGGGCGTTATAGGGTTTTTCTATGTAGTTCCCATGCAGCCTTTTTTGTGCTTAACACCTTCGGTTTGTTTGATAAACTAAGTACAATCCCTATTCAGGACTGTCAGTATAAAGGGGGAACATCCCAAATTTCAATGGTCTTGGAGTACTCCTAAACCCTAAACCCTAAACCTTAAACCCTAAACCCTAGTTTCTTGGAGTACTTGCCAGCCCCGCCGGCCTGCTTCCTTGGTGCCGAGCTCGGCCGAGCTGCTTGACTTCTCCTTGTGCACCTCCGAGGAAAAAAGAGGAAGAAAGGGGGTTTAGGGTTTAGGGTTTAGGGTTGAGGGTTGAGGGTGAATGCTCTGGAACGACCCAAGAGACGTGCAGCAGGCAGAGGGCATCTTCCCCCCCGCCTTCAGGTGGTTCTTGTTTGGGGAGACATTCCAAGATGTGATGGCATCGGGATCTTCTCCGCAGAACCTGGGCGCGTGTGTTTAGGGTTTAGGGTTTAGGGTTGGCGCTCAGAAAATTGCCCCGGCTTGCAACAAGGTGGCTTGATGGTGCTCATGGTTTTCAAAGCCTCCCAGAAGTCCTGCAGTGTTTCGGGTTCAGGGAGTTCGAGGGTTCAGGGAGTTCAGTGAGTTTAGGGCTTACGGTAAGCGTTTCATCAGGAGCATAGGTCATAGGTACTGCAAGGGCATCCATCTGGCGCCCTGCTACTCTCCAACACCCGCACCATTCCTTATGGCTCCTTCTTGCATCATGGAACTCGAGGAGGCGCCAGCACATCTGAAGAGACTCTTGCAAGGACTGCACCGCCCCTAAACCGACAAAGGTTGTAACATTAATGCGTGACAATACCAACACATACATTGTAACAATAATGGCACATAAAGCAAAGAGCACCACATAATGAACAATCAGAATTATAGTGCCTAAACTAAACCCTAAACCAACAAACCCTAACCCCTAAACCCCTGTTCTAGGGGGGGGGGGGGGGGGGCGCGTCCTGCAGAGGGGAGGTGGATTCCCCCTGAAGCGGCACCGCCGTTTCCAAGACCCAGCGTGTGGCAGCTTCCAGGTCCTCAGCTTAAGAAGGCAGGTTCGGGTTTAGGGTTTAGGGTTTAGGGTTCAGGGCTCAGGGTGTGTGGCGGTTTAGGGTTTAGGGGTTGAAGTTCTGTAGGTTTATTTTTGTGCCGCCCGCCCAGCAGACCAGCCACACTGCAAGGTAACAATACGGGGATCAAATACAGAAGTCTGTAGGTCTTTTTTTTTTTTTTGGGGGGGGGGGGGGTGTGTCTCTGGGGCTTGAAGGGAGGGGCTGGGTCTAGGACCTTAGGCTGCGGGTTTTAGTTGGCGTGCCTCGCACAAGTTGTCATACCCTCCGCCTCACACACTTCTACCCTTGAGAGACCCTTTTGACTCCTGAAGGCAGTACCCTAAACCCTAAACCCTCAACCCTAAACCCAAACCCGATCATACCCCATGCCAACATCCCTGCAAGAGCCCAGCCCCAGGCCTTCAGCGTCTCGATCTTGGAATGAGACTTCCTGGGCTTGGGAGGGGGTTTAGGGCTTTTTTTCCCCTCCTGCACAGGGTTTAGGGTTTAGGGTTTAGGGTTTCGGACTCTCACACTAGTGCACAGGGTTTAGGGTTTAGGGTTTGAAGGCTGATTGTTTAGGGACAGAGTAGCAGATCTTGCTGGAGGACCTCTGCCTGCATATCCGGAACTCTTCCGGATATCTTGAGCCTACAGAGATCCGCTCCTACGTCCTCCTCTCGTCCGGCCAGAAGTAACGCAAAAGTTGCCCACAACAGGACATATACCCTAAACCCTACATACCCTAAACCCTAAACCCTGCATACCCTAAGCCCCAAACCTTGTCTGGGGATGTTTGGGGGCAGTTTCGGAGAACTCTAGTGAGGAGCCTCTCAAAAACCTAAACCCTGAACCCCGGGGCCCGAAATCCCCCCTAAGCCCAGCTGAAGCATGCCGATGGTCACCAGGAGCTCTGGGAGGTTGATGTCCTGAGGTTCAGGGTTTAGGGTTTAGGGGTAGTGGCTCAGTTTTCCCAGAGGAAGACAGGATAGGCTTCGAGCTATGAAGGGATACATAAGGTCACGGCCCGCAAGCCCAAGGCACACAATGTCCAATGTCTTCAGCAGTCAATATCAAACTTACACCAGGATTGAAAGGACCCGTGCAGCAGGCACTGGGGTCCCGATTCAGACCAAACCCAATCCTCTGCTTTGTGAAGCCAGGTCACAGCAGTCACCTCCAAGCCGAAAAGGCAGGCTTCAGTCGGATACTCTGGTGCAGCTTCACCCTCCTTGACCTGAGAAGGATTGCAGATGGCTCGGGGATAGGGCAGGGTGACCCTTCTTGACCTGAAAAAGGGTTGAGAATCATTCAAGGGAACCAGCTGTTATCTGAAAAGGGTTCCAGGAAGCATGTTCATGCATGGCCCCGCAAGCTGCGAAATTATGTTCGGACCGCCTTCGTGGAGCGCCGGGGGGGGGGGGGGGGGGGGGGGCGGGAGCGCATAGATTCGGCTGCCTGGTTTCGCATGTCGACTTGTGAAGTTGAAGTGTTGAGGGGGTCAACCGACCGGAACATGTTCCTGGGCTATCGAATCTTTAAACACATAGTTGTTCCCTTGAAAAGTTAACCATCTGGGACTCCCCCTGCTGCAATTCAGAATGAACCTACTACCCTTAAGGATCCAAGCGTCCCTGCAGTGAACCCCACATCTGTAGTGAGGCCACTACCCACCCACCTGGTCTAATGCGCTCCAGGGGGCTGGCTTGCCCCAATTCTCCAATGCTTTCTGAACAAGGTGCCGCCCGCACTTGTTCCTGGGCTTCGCAAGGAAAGAGCTTCGTGCCTTCTTCGGCATCTGAGTTCTCAGGATTTTTCCGTGGCTAGAGGTACTGTGGCCCCCCTCTGAAACTTCAGGTCTATGGAGCCTAAAATGTGCTGTTTGAAATTGTTCATGTACTCCCTTATCAGACTTCCGACTATTTGCTTAAGAACCCCCAAAAGAATAAGTTCCTTATAAGGGCAACATAGGGATTGTTCATTTTCCGGGAGGTTCTTAAGCAAATAGAAGCCTTAGGGCCTTCGGGGATGCTGGCCTAAACCCTAAACCCTAAACCCTAAACCCTAAACCCGAAACCCGAAACCCTAAACCCTAAACCCTAAACCCTAAACCCGAAACCCTAAACCCTAAACCCTATAGATCCAGGCTTCCAGCTGCACTGGTAGCTCGCATTCTCGCGTGCTTTGCTGCTGACCTTCCAGAAGCTCCGCAAGTGTTCGAGTCTCTCCTGGCCCAATGGAGTTTGCATAGGGTTTAGGGTTTAGGGTTTAGGGTTTAGGGTTTAGTGTTTAGGGTTTTTTTTCGCTCCCGCATAGCTGGCCGAACCGCAGGCAGGGTTGAAGGTTGGTGCGACTCTGTAAAATCTGATCTGAGGGTTTAGGGTTTAGGGCTTCATTCGACACCCCTTAAAAACCCTTCAAAAAACCCTTGAAAACAAAACCCTTTCAAGCCCTTTAAGCCCTTAAAACCCTAAAACCTGGAATCCTGACCGAGTCGGAAGTTCGGGAAGGCACGGGATCATTCTTGACATGAGGTCTCAGGAGGGTCCTCCCACAAGTCATCCGGAAACTTCTTGTTGACCAGCACCTCGTTGAGAATGTGAGATCTGCCCTGCTCTTGCTCGGCATTGAACCGGGAGAGCAGGAAGGGCAGCAAGTCATCGAAGGCTTTGCCGGCGTCGCGCTCCTGTTGCGTGTAAACCCGCTGGGCATGGCGCTGAATGCTTGGGGGGGGATGTGTCTGCTTTTGTTGTCCCAGAGTATGGCTCACCAGCCTTGCCAGCCAAGGTGAGCAAGTCGGAGTAACCTGCACCAAGGAGCACATGGGCGGGAATTCGTCTGGGCATCAGGGGAAACCCTAAACCCTAAACCCTAAACCCTAAGCCCCATGAAGGGCAGGATTCCTCGACCCTTCCTCTGGGATCTCCCAGTTTCCGGCCCGTTCCAGCCACAAATGTTGGCGCCCCGTCGACGCGTACCCTCACAATACTGCCTGCGAACGCGGAATTTGTGGAGCTCTGCAGACATTTGAAGGTTTGCGAAAAAAAGGGGACCCTGAATACAGACCTTGACATGGAAAAAATCCTGTATCATAAGGACCCCAAACCCTAAACCCTAAGCCCTAAGCCCTAAACCCTAAGTACCCCGAACCAGCTTCCGAGTGGGCCAGCGGCCAAGGCGAAAGCCGTCAGCAGCCGTCAGAACAAAGAAGTCATTGGGTCACATCTCTCAATTCTGACCTCTTTTGGGTTCCTCATCACAAGGGCGGCCCCTATAATTTGGGGCACCCCAAAGAAGGGACCCCATAATTGAGAGAACTGACCAAAAAGCGCACAAAAACCCCAAAACTCCACTGAAAAAAGCATGTAACGCCCGCTCCCACCTGCCAGTCGCGCACCTGGGCTTACGAGACCAAGGCATGGCCCCAAGATGTAGCCCTAAACCCTAGCCCTAAACCCTAGCCCTAAACCCTAGCCCTAAACCCTAAACCCTCGACCCCTAAACCCCTTTTTTTCCAAGAGGCTTCGCACCCCTAAGCCCCGAAACCTGTGGCCTACTCCTGCAACATTCAAGAAGCCGAGGCGCTCGGGTCTTTGACGTTGGCCTTCTTCTTCATGTCCGCGACGCTGGCGAAATATTTGCAGGCACCCTCCTCGCCTTTGGTGGTTGCACCACCGGCCCAGGTCCACTTGTCGCCCTCTGTCTCCTTGGCAACCCTCTAATGATGAGGGCACCCTTTTTTTGGGTTGGTTTTTCTTTTATAAGGGAGACCAGAACCAAAAAAAATGGTAAAGGGTACCACTGGGCTACCAAGCCAAGTCTCCTTCTTGGCAATACGGCCGCTGTCCAGCTTCCACCTGACGTATGTGAAGAATGTTGGGGGGGTTGGGGGAAGGAACAGGGAGCAATCCAACATGTCATCTGGCTGAGGCGACCACACGCGGCCGTCGTCTGCCACAACTGTGCCCCACTTGCTGCCTCTGATGAAGTAACTGGATCAGATTCAGAGAATGCACAACCCAGAATTAGTGAGCATAGTGCAAGTAACGGGAGAAAATGCACACCCCAATTAGTAAGCATATAGTGCTAGCCTACCCACTCGGGACATGGGGCCGTCTGTTCCGAAGATCACGCTCCCGACTCCAGTTGATCCCTTGGAAGACTTGCGACCAGACTTGCCGGGAAGTTTCTTCTCTGCGTCCTGTCAGCTCAAGACTTACTTACTGTTGGTTAGCAGGGAATGGGGCCCTATGTACTATATATATATATATACACAATATACATACCATTTAAGGGATTATATAGGGTACCTCATTCCCCCATTCCCTACTAACCAACGGCAGGATGTGCTCGCTGAAGTGTAAAGTAGGCTAAGGCTGGATGAGAAGCAAACCACTCTCCTCGATGACCTGGACATTCACATCCTTGAGCACCAAGAGATCTGGCTTGGGAGTGGCCTGAAACAGCACTTAGTTGTCCAGTCCCTGGGGGTTTTAAAGGTTAACCTTTTTGGGACTATGAGGGGAATCTATTAACCCAGAAAGGTTAAGGGATACCTTCTCTACTACTAGGACATGCATGAGCTGCAACTCGTGGGAGTGTCACTAGGGTGTCACTCCTGGCGCCTTCTCGATGAGCTTCCCCTGCGCAGCAGAGAGGATGTGATCCAAACTGTCCCAGAAGAAGATCTTGCCATACTTGACCGTCATAGACCCCAGCAAATCTGCTTCGCCGATGCCGGTGTGCAAAACCTCGGTTGCGGGCAAGGTCCCAGACACACCAAGGCTTAAAAGCCCGAAGCGAATCCCCAGAGTCACCGATTTACCAAGCCCTATTCGCAACGACAATTCGAAAGTCTGCGTCTCATGGTAAACCCTAAACCCTGGTAAGGTTTGCCAGTCCTCTGACATCTTTCAACCGCTGAGGGCATGGCCAGCAGCAGGAACTTCGTGTGCGGCAGCGCCGTCTCCTTCAGCTCCACCAGCTTCAGCCACTCCGTGGGGACGGGCAGAGTCGCCTTCACAGTTTGGGTTTAGGGTTTAGGGTTTAGGGTTTAGGGTTTAGGGTTTAGGGTTTAGGGTTTAGGGTTTAGGGTTTAGGGTTTAGGGTTTAGGGTTTAGGGTTTAGGGTTTAGGGTTTAGGGTTTAGGGTTTAGGGTTTAGGGTTTAGGGCTTATCTAAGGATCGAGGGGTTGAAGACTTGGGGGCTGCTCGGATTGTGTAGCGGTGTAGCTTCAATAGCAGGTTGGGGAAGATGCAAGGAGCTTGGAGTTGCACAATTGCACAACGCTGACGCAGACAAAACGACTTCGAGGCAGATTGGCACATACAGATCACACAAGAACTCGGGCTGAAGGGATTGAAAAGCGCCCCTGAAAATGCTCGATCGTCCGGCCTCGGGGGTGATCTCTCGGGTTCCTTTCGTGCGAGCTTGCCGCTCCAAGCCGCCTTGGATGCCACAAAAGGGGGGAACAGTTTCGGGCTTAAAGTTTGATGATTTTGGGCCGCCCGCCTAGCCACGCCCTCCAGCACTGCCTGCGTACACCACCCTATTCCCTTACCATAGCAAACCCTAAACCCTAAACCCTAAACCCTAAACCCTAAACCCTAAACCCTAAACCCTAACATGCTCAGCCTTCTCCAGCCGCAGCTGAGTCTCCCATCCGCTGGACCACGGACTGCAGAAGACCCAGCTCGGAGTGGTCTCGGGGGCTTCGGTCTTTTCTTGTTACTATGGTCGTGATTGATTCCTTTTCGTACGATTGGTATGTTTATTCTGCTGCTGCTACTATTCGATTGAGTAATTACTCATATTACTACGATTTTCAACGACTAGAACAACAGCAACAGCAACACTACGATCTCAACGATTCGAACAACAGCGACAGCAAACGGCAACAGCAACAGCAAGCTCTGGATCTCTGAGACATCGATCTGTACGACACGTCCGTTGCACTTAGTGACTTGAAGCTTCCACGGCTACCTCCCTTGGGTGGGGGTGCCTTCCAGGTGCTCCAGGAGAATGTCGTAGGAGGTTTGGATGATATCGCGGGACCGGGCGTCCTTAAGCAAGACCTGGAACATCTCGGCAGCCTTCACTGGGCCCTGTCAGGGATGGAACAGCTGCGTTTGAAAAAAGCGTGCGCGCCCTGCTCACGCCGTCTGCCTCGTCCTCCTTCAGCAAGTACTTCTTGAACACGCTCTGCATGAGGTCATCCTGCACTGCGTGGTCATGAAAGTCTCGGGCTGCAGCATGCCCAACTTGGATTCTGAGACAGGCTTCTGTTGCCGAGCAGCATGCCGACCATTGCTGGACTTGCAAATGTCGCTTTGCACGAACTTGTAGGCAGGGGTGCCGGCCTGTAAGGGGCTGCACCGGGGTCATGTGCATGTGCATGGAAAAGATCCAAACAAGAACAGCCGCAGAAGCCTCAAACTCGTCCAGGATTTTGAAGAGCTGCTCCACTGCCAGAGGTGACGGCAAACGCCTGCTCAAGGGCATGCCAGCGCCGTGATACCCGGAGTGCTAACATGCGCAATTTGCGCATCAGCTCCATCTAAGAGAGATGGGGAAGACCCTATACCTCGGAAACCCCTAGACCCCGAAACCCCTGTCTATCCCCTAAACCCCTAAACCCGTACACCCGTAAACCCTAGACCCTAAACCCTGCCTCATAAAGAGCTTGAAGAAGTCGGTGCAGCCCGTGGGCCTGGAGTTTGTGGCTTAGAGTCCCGCATCTGGGGCCGAGATCCTTCTTCTACAACAGGGCTTCCGAAACGAACTCTGTCACCGAAACATGTAGGGGCCTGAATCGTTAGAAGAGGGTTTTGGTGATTCTAGTAGAATTATGAAGGGACCCTGAGAGAATACTAGTGGTAATGATTCCGACCCTGATATATTACTGTGCAAAAAGAGACAGAGAAAAGACCGAGCATGCTTTCAGCATGAGACGCCGTCCAGTGTGACGGTTTGGGACGTTCCCCCTTATACCCACAGTCCTTAGTAGGGATTCTCGTACCCCCTACTATAATCCCTATGAAAGACTGTATAGTCTAAGGGGGAACATCCCAAGTGACGGGGGTTTGCAGCCCGTTTGCCTCTTCTCCCCCTGTGGCCCCGAAGCCACCAGGGGGCCCACCAGCAGGTGTTGTCGGTCGGATCGACCTCGGAAGGATGCAATATGCATAACAATGGATCCATAGTGATAAAACAAGAACATGATTAAAACAAAAGAGGTATGATCGCAAATGTATGAGTTATATAATAATGTAGTGTAGATGGCCAGCTCTCCTGATTCCATTCGCCCCTTTCTGCGCAAGAAGACGGCCGTATCCCAAAAAGGGGCCACGCTAGGGCTGACCAAACACACACACACACACAGGAACCCTTTTTTGACCCCACCCTAAACCCTAAACCCCAGAACCCCATAAACCCCCTAAACCTTCTGAGGTCGGGGGGCCCACGTCCTGCAGCATCTTCCAGAAGGCTGCGATGAGGTTGGCGATCTCACTCTTGCGGTGCTCATCGGTGCTGAAGCTGGGCAGAAGGTCTCCGAACCTGCAAGGCCAATGAAAGCCCCTCACCGCTCCCCTCCCCCCCTCCCCAACAAAAAAAACAATCTCCCCAAACAAAAACTCGAAACCCCCAACCCCAACACCTTCTAGGGTTTATTCTCAAGAGTTCTATGAGGGTCTGTTTTGAAGGGGTGAGGAGGTGCTCATGTTAGGGGAGTGGTCCTTTAAAATGGCCCCAAAAATTCAAGCAGATGGATCTCTCTCTGAACCGAGGCGCATGTGCGCAACTTTGGCCACCTTATGAGTTGCGGGGAGGGTGTCCCAGATCCTTGGCTCAGCAGCTCGTAGTGGGCATGGCGTTAGCAACACACTGGCTCGTCATCTGACACTATAGAGCTTTTTTTGCAGAAGCAAAAAATCGCTCAGGAAGCAGCTTCATGAGCATCGCGATCTTCTTGTTCTTGGTGAGGGCGTTGCGTGTGGAGGTCACGTTCATGAGCTCGGTGGCCAGCCGCTGCACTTGCTCATAACCAGGGAGGCCAAGATCCGACTGAGACGTGCGGCCTGCAGGGGCAGCTGATATAGGGGCCTTAAGAATTAGAATAGGGTTTGGGGGTTATTATCGTCTACTTACAAAGGGACCATAAGGGAATACGAACTTTGTCCGACCCCGAGATTGGTGCCGGAATCCGGGCGGCTTCGTGTTTACCGTTGCGCCCCGCTTCACTTCGGGGCCCCCCAGCATTCATTTGGTTAGTTTCCTTGAACTTGGTTTTCCCAAAAGCTCTACTGCCTCTGTATTTAACTGCTTGTTCCTAGGAACACTTCGATTGCCTCTGTTTAGTAGGATTTGTATGAATTTGCCTGGGACTCACGTTAGTCTGGTTAATTTCTTTGGTTTCCCTGGAAAACATCTATGCCTTTGTATCTGAATAAGTTTCTTCCTAGAAAAACTCTACTGCATCTGTTCTTTTTATGAAGACCCCTACTAATTTGCATGGTCGATGTTCTTGCTTGGTTTTGTCTAGGGAAAATGTTGTTGCCTCTGCTTTTTTAAGATCCCTACTAGTTTGCGTGGGGCTCGCGTTATTTTTAATACGAGCCCTAGAGCCTCGAATCGAAATGCATGCTTTTTTGGGGGGTCTCTTCGCTTGGTTTTCCCAGGAAAGCCCCGGCTCCCTCCATCTTTAATAGGACCCCCTATGAATGTTCATAGGGCTTGAAGTTAAAAAGGGGGGGGGGGGGGCTCCTGCTGAAATCTCACGCAAGTCCTCTCCCCCAGTTGCAAACACAATGCTCGCCTGACGGGTTTGGGAAGGATTCCGATGTCTCTAAGGCAAGTTAAGTTCCCTTCGGGGGGGAGCCCCGCCCCCCCCAAGTTGCCAACACAATGCTTCTTTCTTTTCTCCTGCTTCCTGCTTTTGTTTTTTTGTTGCTTCTTATTTTCTTTCTTCCTTTCTCTTGCTTTCCCTCTCTTTCTCTCAGCATTCCTTTCTTCCTGCCTTCCTTCCAGCGCAAAGGCGAACAAAGTCTAACCATGGACATCTCCCACCTTTCGATAAGGCTGCGGTAAAAAACATGTCTCCCCACGGGACTCTTTTGGTTTTCCCCGATGGGTCTACAGATATGGTGTGTTTTGAGGCCGCCTGAATTATGACCGCAGCTTATCTGACATCGCTACGCGACGGGTTCGGATGGAAAAGCTATTCCTTTCTCTTTCTCTCTCTTCCTTTCTTTCTTTTTTTCGTCTCTGTTTTGTCCTTCCTTTCTTTCTTTCCGTCCTCTTCGTGCTCAATCCTCCCCAGCCAAACCCTGCCAACCTCTCAATCCTTGATCCCGAAGTCGGTCGGAGCAGCCCCCAGGCCCCAAATCGCAGACTTCCCAAGACCCGCCCCTCATGGCCTTGCATGAAAACCATGCCCTTGCCACGGCCCTTGCTCCGGAAAGTGCCAGTTGGCGCCCTCAGTGACGAACACATGGACTAAGGGTTCTTTTCACGTCGGTCTTCAAGCGTGGCACGGAGGTCTAATAGGGGTTGAGGATTGTGAGGTTTAGCCCTAAACCCTAAACCCAAAACCCAAAACCCTAAACCCTAAAGGTTGTGTCTTCGATCTTCTTTCGTCATGAAGCTGGCGCATCTGCATCCGCCTTTCGTGTATCATAACCCTGGGTCTCCCAGAGAGTCATTAGGGATTTACTGTAGGGTTCAGGGTGTAAGATGGGACCAGCATTTAGAAGCCCTAAACCCTAAACCCTAAACCCCAAACCCGAACCTGATCCCCCTCTGTGGCTTTCCTGGCTTACGAACTCCTTCCGCCGCGGCTCCTGCTGCCACCTGGCGCGGTCAACTCCGCCACGATTTTCAACATCATGTCGGGCTGCCTGGAGGTTTAGGGTTAGGGTTTAGGGTTTAGGGTTCAGGGTTCAGGGTTCAGGGTTCAGGGTTTGGAGCTACAGGGCTAGCAATCGAACCATTCAGACCAGACGGGTGGCCCATTGTCCGAAACACTCATACTGAAAAGCAGGTAACGGCCCAAACATGGAAGATTCGCAAAAAAAATGTCAATCAGCAGAGCCGGCCAGTCCAAGCACAATCATGTCCAGGGCTCTACGGTTTAGGGTTTAGGGCCGTTTATATTGGGTTTAGGGTTTAGGGTTTAGGGCTTAGGGTTTAGGGTTCAGGGTTGACGTTTAGGGAGCCCTTGACTCAGGTTCTTTAAGGTTCAGGGTCTTTAAAACAAACAGGGAAGCTCAACAGTCTTCGGCTTTGACAGGTTTTTGGAGCCCAACTCGGACAAAACCTCAACCAAACATGTGAGCCATTCACGTCGGGCTGCCGTCGCCAGCCCCAGTGGGCCAGGGTGGAGTAGAAGCCCTGGTAAAGAAGGGCTGTTCAAGTAAGGGTTCTGGAAGGTTTTGGGGGGGGGGTTTCGGCTTGCCTGCGATTTGTTTTCGTGTTGAGCGCCTTAGGCTTTCAGCACGAGCCGTGGCTTGCATCGATGAGTTTGGAAGACGCAATATGTGTGTGTGACAACAAAGCTAGAGCATAGCCTCTGAGCTGCGCAGCTCTGTGAAAGAATGCGTGGGCCAGAGGGAATCAAGCGTAGGCCCGTGTTTGGTTCAAGCGCGCTGCTACATCCCCATCGCTGGGGGCCCCACGCACGATAGCAGGTGCAACAGTACCGGGCTCCCCTAACAAATCTCGAGTCCAAGAAGGGACGCTAAACCCTAAACCCTAAACCCCAAACCCCAACCCGGCGGTCCTGGTTCTTGGACTTCGGGGCATAGCCGGTCTTTGGCCCCGAACCCTGCTCATGGCCGTCGACGATCACGGCGCGCAGCACCATCATGGGATCCTGGCGTCGCTGCACGGATTCTATATTCCTTTTCTATTGAATATTTCTGTAGAAAAAAGTATATAACTGTATATTGTTCAGGATAATTGTGTATTACTGGATATTTTAGTAGAAATTGTACAGAATGCACGATTTCGGATGTTCCTCCCTTATACTAATAGTCCTTAATAGGTTAGTACAAGGGGGAACATCCCAATGGTTTATTCTGTGCAACAAGGTTTGGCGGCCAAAGCCTTGCTCACAGAGCTTGTGTGCTACGTTGCTACGTGTTGATGCAAATGTAAACAAATAATGGGAAAACTGTTCCTGAGGCTGCCGCCTTCTCCAAAATCTCCTTGACCCAGTACCTCAGCTGTTTGCCACTCTTCAAACGGCCTGAATGTCCCACGGTCCCCACTACGCGCCACATCTTTTGAAAAAACACAAGTGCTGATGTCCCAGGTGCCATCGCCACTTCAGCACCCCGCTGGTCACCATCTTCACCATGAATGCGGGGAAGCGCTGGGCGAGCTGTGGCAGCCCTGGCACCTGTTGCAAGGCGTCCCTCCCCCCTTTATGGAACTTTCTCTCGGAATTTTTCTCGAGCACATCTCGAGGAACCTCCCTTCGTCCGTCTCGCCCATCTTGCCATTCTTGTTGTTTTTTTTGGGGGGGTGAGGGGTGGGGGGGGGGTGGCAGAGGAATCCAGGTACAAATTCGTACCTAGCACTGCCATGCTCCAGTGGTTCAGCCCTGTGATTTACTCTGCGGTGTTCCCGCCCTCTGCCCGGCACGCCCCGCAAATCGCGGAGTCGATTCATTGATCCTGTCCGCTTCTTTTGAATTTCCCTTACTCTCTGTCAGGATCCTTCCCTTTCTCCCTTCGCGGCCTTGTCCTGAGTCTTCCCGCTGAGCCAGTCGTGCATGGGCTTGTCGTCCTCCAGGTATTCCATGAGCAGATCCTGCCGCAGACACTCTTGAGACGAAGACTCCATTTTTTGCGGCCTCTTGACGAAGTGTCAGCCATTCTACAGGGGTTTGCGATGTTAGGGGGGCCTACTATTTGGGGGGTCTATTTTAGGGGTCCCTAAACCCTAAACCCTACTTAAACCCTAAACCCTGTTTTCGTAAACCCCCATGTGGTTTCAGTGGGCTGACGATTGAAGCTCTCCTCGCTTTCCGCTCGAGCGAGGAGTGGCCAAAACATCTCCTTGTCCTTGGCGCCTCAGGGTTTACTCGGTGCTGTCTCTCTGTCTGAGCAACTGAGCGCGACTGCACTGCAGGGTTTAGGGTAGTGTAGGGTGTAGGGTGTAGGGTTTAGGGTTCAGGGTTCGGGGTTTGGGGCTTGGGGTTTCGGGTTTAGGGCAGTAACTTCTCAGACTGCCTGGCTGCCCCACGTGTTTGCAGCCCTGTGCCCCTGGTATCCTTTCGACCAAGCCCGGCTTTTGAACGAAGAAACCAAGGTAGCCATGCTCTCTGCTACCAAGAATTGTTGTAATTCCTGCTATTCGCCTCCCACTTCGAGTGCTAGAAGTAATAGGTATTGTCAAGTTTCCAGTTGCAGCCAATGACCTGTGGTTGGGCCTCATAAGATTTCAATGCGTTCGGGCTTTGGCCCATAAGCGCCCCTGTGCCAAAAGCGAGGAAGGGAAAAACCTCCCCTGCTCACTGAATGAGTATTGAGCCAAGAACTATGGGGAAGAGCAGGGCGCGGCAGCTGTCTGCTTCTATCTATCCGGGGCCCCCGGCCGAAGAGCTCAAAGGCATGCTCCAGCACCTCCTTGTCGGATTTCAGGGCATCGCACTTCAGCAGGAACTTCTTCATCTTGCGACTGGTGTCACCTCGGAGAGACATCGGAGAGAAAAAGCTTCGATCTGCACATCAGATCAAAATCTACCGAAAGGCGCTAGCTCGCAATGGCCCTAGACAACCCCGGAAACCCTAACTTCTAAGTCGCCACAGAAGAGCTGGCAAACGAACCCTAAACCCTTAAACCCTACACCCCCTTCTTGCTTAAACCCTCAGCCCTTGAAACCCTAAACCCAAGCAACCAGAATCTGAAGAACTCCATCCCAAAGCCTACCGCCTGAGCCCCTGATTCCTTACTTCCTCTGCTTGGGGTTTAGGGTTTAGGGTTTAGGGTTTAGGGTTTGGAGGCTTAAATTCTCACTGTACTCAGAAGCCCCCTAAGTCCTACAAGTAGGTTCTAGTGAAGGGGGCCAGAACTCACAGCTTACCTCGTAGTCTTCTGGAGATGCTGCAAGTAGGGTTCTTCTTATGGATCGTCTAGGGCTCCGGGAAGTTTAGGGTCTTTTTTTTCTCAGGATCTTAGAGGATCAAGTAGGGTTCAGGGCTTATAGGGCTTAGGAGGATCAGGGCTTTTTCGGGGTCTTAGGGGATCATATAGGGTTCAACCCTAAACCCGAAACCCTAAACCCTAAACCCTAAACCCTACACCTCGCCAGGGCGCTAGACAGGAAGGCGGCCCTGGCATCCTCGAGATTCAGGAGGCCCTCGGTCGCGGCGGAGAAGCCGACGGTCTTGGAGGGCGAGTCCAGCAACTTCTTGGCATAGCCTTGCGTAAAAAGGGTTTAGGGTTGAGGGTTTAATGGGTTTAGGGCTTAGGAGTTGGGGTTTCAGGCACAAAGGAGTGTGGGCCGTTTTCAAGCTGCTGCTTTCCCTTAGAACTTGGAAGCCTCCCCTAAGGACCCCTACTTAGAGAATCCCTTCCCCCCCACCCCCCCGTGCTTCCCGCGTTTGGGGGCGCGTCCTGCGCAGCCCGCCGTCTTTGCCACGATGAGCCTCGCCTTTTCTGCGAATGCCTGCGGGACTGGTCTGGTTTAGGGTTTCGGTTTCGGCTCTAGGGCCTGACAGAACCATGCAGGAACCTGTGCACAGCCCTTTCAATACTCTTGCCATGCAAATTATCACTAAGGTTATGATGATTACTCTGACGATTTATGGTCATCGCACCCCCTTTCAATACTCTTGCCATTCAAATTGTCACTAAGGTTATGATGATTACTATGACGATTGTTATTCTGGCAATTGTTGGGCACTGTGCAAACCCTAAACCAAAAAAACACAAAACCCATCCCAAAATCAGCAAATCGCACCTCAACCGGGCCCGTTGTCTTGGACTCCGGCATGAAACTGTCGAGGATGGCCTGGCCATGGCATCGTCTCCGAAAGCTTCAAGGTGGCTTGTAGGGCCTACAGGGCCTGTGCACACATGTTTTGCGCATGGAGATTTCGACCTACCATACATAACAGTCGTGTGACTACAATTTTGTGAAATCGGTGAGGAATTATTGGGTGGCCTTGGCTGTTGCTTTTTGGGAAGGTTGCGTTTGATTTGGGATCATATGATGCAGGGTGAGAAGTGTTGGGGGCCGTGTCGTCTTTTGGATGTTTTGGAAGGGTTGTGTCACAGGCTCGTTGGGAAATGGTGTCACAGCGTGGTGGGTGGGGGGGGGTCTAGATATCAGATCTAGAGCCCGCATCGCTTGCTAAGTTGAAGTCGCACAAGTAGAAGGCTCTGCGAGCTCATTGGCGGCTATCGGTTGAGAAGTGGGGGTCAGGGTACCTTATTGGGGTCCTTCTGACAATCCCCTACTATTTGGGGATCTATATATTGGGGGTCCCCCCCCCTGTTTCGTACACCCAAAAGAAGTACTTCCGAAGATCAGCTCCGGGTGCCCCCAGTCCTGGACATTCGCCGGCTGCGCGGCCTTGATGTCCTTTGCCAACGCTTTAGGGTTTAGGGATTAGGCAAGGGCCCACTTGGAGGTTCATGGGGTTCCTCTCTCTCTCCCCCTGCCACCCCATCCCAGGGTCTTGCTACGCAAGGGTGCATGGGCGTTTATAGGGTTTAGGATGCAGGATTTGGGTGGTAACACTGTAGTAACTGTACCCATATTCAAGGCATTTGCAGCCCTGCTTCTAGCTACCCATGAACCTCCAAGCAACTACCGTGCTTCCCTAACACTCGACGGGTACCTATGCCAAGCAGAGCCTAGACCTTTTTTTCATCTGGGCTGGGTGGGGAATGCCAGAAAAACAGCTGCCGGTACAGCTTGATCAGCTCTGCTGGCTGACACGCCAGCCTAGACCCTAAACCCTAAACCCCAAACCCTAACCCTGAACCCTGAACCCTGAACCCTGAACCCTGAACCCTGAACCCAAAACCCTAAACCCCAGGTCCTTTCCGAGCTGGGCCAGCTTGTGGCAGCGCTGCCCGAAGTTGAGCTCCTCCAAGGCCTCAGAGTCGATGAGATCTACGAAAAGGGCCGGACAAGGGTTTAGGGTTATAGGGTTTAGGGTTTAGGGTTTAGGATTTAGGGTTTAGGGTTCTAGGGTTCTAGGGTTCTAGGGTTCTAGGGTTCTAGGGTTCTAGGGTTCTAGGGGTATAGGGTTACAGGGTTATAGGGTTTATAGGGTTGTAGGGTTTAGGATTTAGGGTTATAGGGTTCTGGGTTCTAGGCTTATAGGGTTTATGGGGTTTATAGGGTTTATAGGGGTTTATAGGGTTATAGGGTTATAGGGTTTATAGGGTTATAGGGTTATAGGGTTTAGGCGGTTTAGGGTTTAGGGTTTAGGGTGTCTGAGGGAAGTTACATGGTCCCTTAATTTGGTCCCTGAGCTTGTTTAATTAAGGGTTCTGAGGATACGGGCCCTTGGGCTTTACGGGGTATATACGGGTATATGAGGGTTCTTCATTTCTGCATCATTTAATTACCCTTAGATTTAATCCCATGGGTAGATGTAAGTAGGGTAAGCCATACCCATGACATGGTGATATAAGTATAGCTACCACACATACAACCCTACTTGTATCCACCCATAAGTGGACTCCAGCAAGCCCCCCCCCCCCCCCAACCCAAACAAATACAAACAAGCACCAAGAAGCTGCATCAAAGCGCGCTTTGAAAGCCTGGTCGAGGCATGCGTTTTTTGGGTTTGGGCATTCAACACTTCGCATCCTTTGCATGTTTGAGCACGCTTCAGTTGTACGCTGAGACGAATCCAGGTTGACCAGGCCCCTCCAGCATGCTTCTTCAGGAAGATGGACCTCCCTATCAGCCAAGCACAACTGGGTACCCTAGGCCCCAGAGCAAGAAGCTAGCAAAAACGCTGGACGCATGAGCCCAGCCCAACCCTCAAAACCGAAAAGGGGCCCATAAATGGCTCCGAAACCATTTTGTAAACCCAAACCCTGCATAGCGAACACGACCCTGCCTCGGCCATGTTTGGGGCGAATTTTAGGCTGTAAAAGGTGCGGAACCTCTGCAACCTATCGTGAACCTTGAACCAAATCACTGGCGGAGTAGCGGAATTTCTCAGAGTGTTCATGATCCTCGAGTGGGGGTTATTTTGGGGTCGGGATTCAAGAGTCTGTCCATTCCTTCTGCGTGTTGAGGACGCACTAGGCCCTAAACCCTAAACCCCAAACCCCAAACCCTAAACCCTAAACCCCAATAGGCCCTGGCTGTCCCCCTTTTTGCCCACAAGCGATTGCTCTGCCAGGCTCCCCAGACGCTCGTGGCACGAGAGCCTTCGGTGGGCCACTTCTTTGGGCTGCTTCTGCTTCGGCTCCCAAAGAGCCCAGTGAGCTTAGGGTTTAGAGTTTAGGGTTTTTTTTGCCACCCGGCAAGCAGACAAGCCACACTGCAGAGTTTAGGGTTAGGGTTTAGGGTTTAGGGTTCAGGGTTCAGGGTTCAGGGTTCAGGGTTCAGGGTTTAGGGTTTAGGGTTTAGGGTTTAGGGTTTAGGGTGTAATAGGGTTTAGAGGTTTTTTTTTTGCCACAGGGTTTAGGGTTTAGGGTTTAGGGTTTAGGGATGGAGGAATGTGGTAGAAGGCTCTTTGCCTTGAATGCAAATAAAAGTCCTTCACCAAAGCAATGGGCTCCTTGGGTGGTGTCGCGGGCTACTTCTGCTTCTGCTCGAAGCATCGCCTACAATCCTGCCATGCTATCCGCCGCGAGAGACCGTCCCTGTGGCGGCGTTGAACCTGGCCCGCCTCGGATACATGCAACGTGACACAGACGGTTGCGCCACGACTGCTCTGGCTCTGTGGGGCCAGGACTGATACTGAACGCCAATCCCCAGCCCCAAACTGAACCTCAGGATTCCACCGCGGTTTCCTTCGGACTGATTCCAAGGTGAACGAGTCCCCGAGGGCCCGGCTGCGGCAGCGTTTGCACGAAGCCGTCATCCGCCGCTTTCAGCAGCACTTCGTCACTCGCCCGGGCAGCCACTCTCCGAGCGTCGGCTTTCGATGCACCTGCTTCTTGAAAGTGTTCGCACGAAAAAATGTATACATATATGTATAAATGTATAAAATGTATCTATAATAAAGCGCGTATTCTTATGAAGGCTTAGCAGCCCCCCCCCCCCCCAAAAAAAAAAATAATAAAAAATCAATAAATAATAATAATAATAATAATAATAAATATAAAAAAAAAAGTCCGAAGCCCTTCTGCATCATCCACAGTCAGAACACAGGCATCCCGCCGGAGAAAGGACGTAAGGACAACTGCTCGAAGCACAAAGAACACCCTCAACAGTGCACGGATGGGGATTCCTAAGCCCCAAGCCCTATGAAAAACCTAAGCCCCCCCCCCCCCCCTTAAACCCTAAACACTTTTTGCATCCGGGCTCTGTGCACGTTGCCGGAACCACCCTAAACCCTAAACCCTAAACACCCTAAACCCTAAACCCTAAGCCCCTACACATTGTCCCTCTGCGTCGCGGGGGCCTTTCCAGATCGCCTCTGCCTCCGCCTTCTGCGCGGCAGCAGCCGCTCGCTCAGACCAGGTCATCTCCTCGAGCTCATTACGCTCCCCCGGGCCCTTCAAAGGAGAACCCAAGGGTTTAGGGTTTAGGGTTTAGGGCCCCGTTGAATGTACATTGTGCATGATTAGTTTCAAGCGATAAGCAAAGTTCGTCTGGGTTTGTGTGGGTTTTTTTGCGCCCTCAAAGACTTTGGACATTCTTGGGGCGTGCTCTTCAGGCCGCGCGTGTCCTCCCATGACTTCTCCGGTACTGGCTCTGCAGCCTTCTCAGCCTCCTCAGCGAGCTCCACTTCCCGCTTCAGCGTCTGATCCTCCAAGCGATCCTGGCGCATGATTACCCGTCTTATGACCTGAAAACCCCGATATCAGTATCAACTACCTTCAGGACCGTTTCGATTTTCGGTGTGAGGCTGCCACTGTCAAGACCAGATGGGGCCTGACAATGAGCGCTTGCTATCTCTCTGGCCGTCTTCACAAACGTCGATTCTGCCACCGAGCCCAGGTGGCTGTTCAGAAAGTGAAACCTTGCATAGGCCGTCCCAGAGGCTTCTGCTTGTCTCAAATGCACGGTGCGTTGCAGCATCTGGAGCCTCAACAAGTTCAACCAATTCAACCGGCAGCCCTAAACCCTAAACCCTAAACCCTAAACCCCAAATCTTCAAACCACACTGCTGCCTTTTACACACGTACGGGCCCCTCATTGTCAGATCAGCACCCTTTTGAAGCCGGGCTCTCTGAGGTGCAAACCCTAAACCCTAAACCCTAAACCCTAAACCCTAAACCCAGCAAAAGCCCATTATCAACCCTAAACCCAGCAACCCTCAACTTCTCAACTCGCCTGCATCTGCCGTACCTTCTCTGACTCAGAGCCGCTGGACTCCGAGGAGGAAGACTTCCTCTGGTGGTTTAGGTTGGTTGGTTTAGGGTTTAGGGTTTAGGGTTTAGGGATTAGGGATTAGGGTTTAGGGTTTAGGGTTTAGGGTTCAGGGTTTAGGTTGAGGGTTGAGGGTTCAGGGTTGAGGGTTCAGGGTTTGGGTTCGGGGTTCAGGCTGCCGACTCTCCCACACTGGCATAAGAGGGCGAGGCTCTGGGTCTGCCAGTTCCGGTGAAAAGGGACACCACAGTTTAGGGTTTAGGGTTTAGGGTTTAGGGTTTAGGGTTTAGGGTTTAGGATTCATCTTCCAGGATGACACGAACAGCATGCACCTATCATCTGTGCATGCGGCGGGCTGCGTCTAGGAGAGGGCAAAAGCTAGTTCCAGAACACCCAAAGTCACAACAACACGACGTGGGAGTAATGTGAGAATATGAGGTCCTTTGTGCCATTCTAGGGGCTACTTTTTCTGCGACCTAGGTTAGGGCTTTCCAAAGGTTCCAACCTAAGCCGCAGGAGAATTTCGGCCTCAGGGTTCTGCTGGTTTTGGGGCAGCAGAGGTGGATCAAAGTTCGCGCGATCATGTTCTGACCTTCATCGGCAACTCTTGCCGGCCCGACTGTCTGAGAAAATGCCCCTGGGTGTAGGACTTATGAGGTTTTGTGAGCAGCGGGTCGTTCTTGTGCTTCAAAACAGCGTGTGTGGATCTGCCGAGGGGCTTCTTTTTCTTCTTCTTGGGCTTTTTGTTGGTGTCGATGCCCATGAGGCGCTGCTGGGCTTCTAAACGGGCCTTCTCCTGAGCAGTCTTCGAGTAAGGGTCCTTCTTTTCCTTCTTCTTTTTCTTCTCCTTCTCCTACCGCGCTGCAAGCCCTAGAAGTATCCCTCCACTGAGATCCACTGAGGAGATTGCCATAAGCGTGCCCGCTTCCCGGGTCCTTCTTTTTCTTCTTGTCCTTCTTCTTGTCCTTCTTCTTCTTCTCTTTCTTCTTGTCCTTCTTCTTCTTTTTCTTCTTCTCTTCAGATGAGGAACTCGAATCTGAAGAGGAGGAATCCGACATGGCTATAGGCAGCTGATGCACACACAAGTGGAACTAGTTGCCAGTTGCTTTTCATTTTCACTCCACGGTACCGGAAGCCGCAACACAGCCTTGGTCGCACAAACCGCAGATGGCCCTTGTACCAAGAGTTTAGGGTTTAGGGTTTAGGGAAAGTCATGTGCTTCGCGCATGCGCAAGGCCCCATTGAAGGAAGCAGACAATAAACAGCTCTCGAAGCCCAGGGAACAAGCGACAACATCTGCTTGGTGGACTTCTGACACTGCTAACCTGAGAGCCTACAGTGAACCCCCCCACCGCCCCCCTCTCCAAAGAAATAAATGGAGTCACAACTGCCCTCACATGAACTACAAGTACCCGACCCATTGTCGAGTGCTGAAGTCACTTGCTGGCGTAGCTTTTCCGCTTTGCTGTGCCTGTGGTTTGTTTTTGACCCACTTTGGGGTCGCAGACGACCTGAAACATCGTCAGACGTCCCATGTGAACTTACAGATGCAATTCATAAAGCAGACATACGTACATCTATGTGTAAAGAGACTTGTATGCGTGTGTATAAGAATATGTGCATATACATACACACATACATATTTATATATATCTCTTCTTTACATATGAATATATATATATATATATATATCTATCTTATCGTGTCTGCTTAAGCCGGTGTGAGATGACCCCTTCTCATGTCAGGGAACTGCATTGCAGGGCGTGGTTCAGACTCTGCTGCCAGCTCTGCTGCAACCGTTACACGGTCGGCCTGCGCGCGTGGTAGTCGTAGTAGTTTATGACTACATATACTGTTGCTCATGTTGCTGTGTTTTGGTCGTGGTGGTTGTTGTCGTGGTAGTTGTTGTGGTTGTCGTGGCTGTTATGGTTCTTGTTGAGGTTGTTGTGGTTGTTGTGGTTGTTGTGGTTGTTGTGGTTGTTGTGGTTGTTGTGGTTGTTGTGGTTGTTGTGATTGTTATGGTTGTTATGGTTGTTGTGGTTGTTGTGGTTGTTATGGCTGTTTTGGTTGCTCTGGTTGTTATGGTTGTTGTGGTTGTGGCTGTGGCTGTGGCTGTGGCTGTGGCTGTGGCTGTGGCTGTGGCTGTGGCTGTGGCTGTGGCGGCTGCTGCTGCTGCTGCTGCTGCTGCTGCTGCTGCTGCTGCTGCTGCTGCTGCTGCTGCTGCTGCAGCTGCAGCTGCAGCTGCAGTTGTTGTTGCGGTGTTGGTGTTGGTGTTGGTGTTGGTGTTGGTGTTGGTGTTGGTGTTGTTGTTGTTGTTGTTGTTGTTGTTGTTGTTGTTGTTGTTGTTGTTGTTGTTGTTGTTGTTGTTGCTGTTGCTGTTTCTGTTTCCTTCGTGGTTCGCTGTTGATGTTCTTCCTCTTGCAACGTCTCATTAGCAATATGCTGATATGCTTGCCTTGATTCCAGTGTCTGCCCGCGCAGCTTCTGACAGCACGAGTACGCAATCAGTCACAATGCCACAAGCCCCATGTTGGCTCCATAGTGCTCTCTCTCTCTCTCTATATATATATATATATATATATATGAAGCCAGTCTCATCTACATGCTTGCAGGGTTGCAGCTTTCTTTTTCTTTCTCTTTTGCACACAGCCGCCTTGGCTGGACCGCAAATGCGCGGGTGGCATTGGAGGATACGCGAGTTTCGGGCATCCTGAAATTAGAAGATGACTAACCTGACGAGGGCTCCAGGTTCAGGGTCATCTGCCAGCAAAGTGCGCCTTACTGCACGGAAGCTTGCGAATTCAGGAAGCCATGAGGTTCAGGGGGTCCAACTAGGGGAGTTTCCCACGTCTTCTGAGCTTCGACAGGCTTTCTTCCGAACTACCAGAGGGCTCGACCGAACTACCAGAGGGCTCGAAAGCTTCATGGAGGTCGAAGAAGCCCTGAACCCAGCGACTTTTTCCCCTCACGCAAAGATGTGGCTGCTGGCTGGGTCCTACTGAACCTAGCTGGTTGGTGCCCGTTTGGCCTCAGAATATGACAATCCCCTCCCCCTAAGCTTAAACCCCCTACCCCCTCATATTAAATACCCCCCAGTACAGTTATATTACAGTATGTGGGGGGGGGGGGGGGTATTCAGATTAGGGGGAAGGGGGTTACGAAGACATACGAAGATGTTGCTCCTTCTCTGGAAGCCAACCATGGGCCTGGGCATCACAAGGTTGGGATGCTCCCCCTTATACCAACTGTCCTTTTAGCAAGGATTAGGGTTTAGGGTTTAGGGTTTAGGGTCTAGGGCACGATCATCCCTATAAAGGACTGTTAGTAGAAGGGGGAGCATCCCAAAATCATAGGCCACAAGCAGCTTGGAGAGATGCTGGCCTGTCCCAGAGTCCAGGGCCCGACCGGCAAACCGACACCAGTGTTTATGGTAAGAGCCCACAAGAACGAGACACAAATGTGCCCTGTGAAGTATACAGAAAGAATGTCCGGACTCAACGAGGCAGGCGTTGCAGCGAAGCTTCTAGTATTTTCAGGTCTCTTTGCTACAGGCAATCCATCTTGATCAGGCAGTCAAGCATAGTCTTCCCCGTAGCGCTTGCGCTGGAACTCCTTCCGCTTCTCTTTCAGCCATGCTGGGCATCCCGCATCACCCCAGTAAATGCTTTCCACCTTCTCGTCTTCAATGAGATGCCTTTGTTGCCCACAAAAAATGTACACTTTCAATTCTCTAAGGGAATTACTATATTATCCCAAAAAGTGTAAGGCGTACTCATTCAGCTACTAAGATGCCGGTCGCCCCAGTTGTAGTGGTGTCGCGGCACATTCTCCTCCTCTTCGCCAGGCTTGCGGTCGTCCCAGGAGTCCTTGACCTTGTCACGCTTCTCGGTGTGATGCCGCACCGGCCGGTCCTTCCAGAGGCCAAAGTCGTAGTCCCCACGCAGGCCGTCATCCAACAGAAACTTGTGGGCCTTCCTTGGGGACGAAATGAACCCTAAAAGGGTTTATGGCTCATATACCTTATCATGGTAATTATAGTAGTACTTCATATACCTTAATGGTAATTATAGTAGTATAGGGTCTATGACCCCAATTTTAGGGTTCATTTCCCCAAGGTTCTGGAGCTCCTCGAAGCGCGCCCTGTCGCTTTCGGACTCCTCGCCACTTTTGTCAGGATGCCAAAGCAGGCAGAGGCGCCGGTACTGCTTCTTGATGTCCTCATTGGATGCATCCATGGGAAGGCTCATGAAGCGGTAGTAGTTGTGCTCATGCTTCGGCTTCGACAGCCAGTGGTGCGCGCGACGGAGCCAATCCTCCAGATCGTCGTCGAAGGTAGGGTCGGCTCGCTGAACCACCTTCAGCTCCGTCAAGGCTTCCGCATATCTGCCGCACTCCAGCAGCAGTATGCCACGACGGTACAGCGCCTTCGTCCACTTCGGGTGCAGCGCCAGGCACATGTTTGCGTCCTCCAGGGCCTTCTCGAACTCGCCGCGCTTGCGGAGTGCGGCCGACCGGTTGTAGTAGAGCGAAGCCACTGTCCTATACTCCCCTAAGAAAAAACACAAACATAGCACTTGTCATATCCTCTTGCTTATATATAAACAAAAATGAAAAACAATTCCCAAGGGGGATACAGTGTCCGCGTGTCCACGCAATCAGGATCGCGATCGATGGCCTCGGTGTAAAGAGCAATGGCCTGATCAACATGCCCTTCCTTGTACAGCTCGTTGGCCTTCGACTTGGCATCCTCCAACTGATCCACGGTTTTCTGTACATTCCGGATCTTCTCGTGATCCTGATCGAGCTTCAGGCCTTCTTGGAACTCGGCTTCGGCATCTGCATGTCGACCCAAGCGAAGCAGGACACGACCTCGCCAGTATCTGGCATCTGCATCTTCGGGGAAATCGATCAATATCTCCCCGGTCAGCCTCACAGCTTCCAACGCAAGAGGTGTCAACTCCTCGATTTCATCCCCATGCTCTGCCTCCCGCTTGTTGTAGGCCAAAGCTGGGCGAATCTTTCTTGGGTTGTCCAAAGCGTCGCTTGCCTCGACCAGCGACTTCACCAGGGTCTTCCGGATGCGGAGGCCGAAGGGTGAGACCAGCTCTGCCTTGGAACCCCAATGCTCCAGCACAGATCGGCACTCCTCCAGCGTCGAGGCAGCTCGCGCCGCTTGCACCAGCCAGCGGAGGAGGCGGATACCGGCTGCCGGGCGCTCTGCTCCTTCGAAGCTTTCCTTGGGGCCGCGCTGCTCCAGGTCGGCAACCACCGCCGCCGCCGCATCCAAGTCGTCGCGCGCCAGCTGGATGCGGCCCTGCCGCTCCAAAGCCTTGAAATTCTCCGGATCCTTGCGGAGTGCGGCCTTGGTGTCTCGGAGGGCCTGGTCCCACCAGCCCAGCATCATGTAGGCAGCTGCGCGGTTGCTGTGGAGGACAGAGGAGGGCTCCTTCTTGATGGCTGCAGTGTACTGCTCCACTGCTCCTTCATAGTCCTTTGACTCAAAGAGGTCGTTCCCACGCTTTCGCAGCTCCAAGGAACTTGCAGAACTTGCAGAAACCTCCAAAACTTCTGCCTTGTTTTCCCGTCTTCGGGCAACTTCTACAGGCGTCTCCACCACTCGCTTCTCACGCTGCGCATACCAGTCTCGCAGCCGCTCCTCGCGGCTTTTTGGAGGCGGGGCCTCGTAACCTTGACTGTTCGTGGGTTTGCTTTAGGGTTTTACAGAAAGCCGTATGAGCTACTGGCAAGCATATATGCCCCAAAAATCAGCTCAGCAACCTGCATTCGTTGTGGATGGCTTGACTCCAGTGACTTTCCCTGTCGCATTAACAAGTAAAGGGTCGCGGCCATCGATGTCGATCATGGCAGCTCGATCGTGTTGGGGTGTGTCGGAACCTCTATTGCAGGTTGTATGGCTATTTACGGCATGAGGGCCCTATGTGAAAACGACTTATACAGCCCCTGCCCACATAGCAGCACAAGGTGTGACAAATAGTTGGTGTGGTTGATTGCTGTGGTCAGTGTGAGCTTCTGCGTCACGAACCTGCTTCGACCTAGATATGTACGGCCCAGGTTAAGGAAGGTTGAGTGTGTTTTTTCTGACTCATTTTGTTCAGGACGTGGCCGCAATTTGAGCCCCGGTAAGGGCAGCACCACTCGTAGAACTGCATGGAGGCTGACAACGCGGAAGCAGAAGCACATATCATGCCGACTGCAGGACGAACTTCCTGGCAAGTTTAAGCCACAGACTTCAGCCCCACATTGAAGCCAGGAGTAGCAGACCAGATCCTGTCAAGAGATGGATCATGAAGTCTGTTGAGCGCTGCAGCTTCTGCATATACGGTTACATGTGACAGTAGAAATGCAAAGCCTACTTCAGCCTGCCAAGGATCTGCTCATTTTGGATCATAAGACTTCGTAAGGGCCATTGGTTCCTGGCTTTGACTGAAGACCCGACTTTCAAGTGGCTGGTTCCGGAGGATGCGGGTTATTGTTGCGAGTCTGAGTTATCACAAAGGGGCTAGTCGAAAGACGGCAGCAAATCGATGGCATCGGCATCTGCCTGGGTGCTGCAATGTGCCACATCTACAGAGAAGCCTCCGCACACAGGGCCGCTCCAGCTGCATGTGGCCTCGGTGTTCATGAGCTAGGACGGGTGCAAGAAGGCATCGCAACTCTGGCAAGCACTGAGCATGAAGCTGATCCTCTGGGCGAGGCTGCAGGACATGCAAGCTCTCGCATGGCTGTCGACTTCAAGATGCCCACGGTGAAAACTTGCAGTCGCTTACATTGCAACAAGAGAGCCTGGTGCTTGCCTCTGCTGCCAAGGCCATCTATGAATCTAGAATCAAGAACAAGCAGCCACCTGTCCTGTCAAAGTTGGAGTGGGGGCATGCTTCCTGGGGAATGGCCATTTGCTCCGAGCGAAGCACATCGATTAACAGTCTGTCTACTGCACATGACCCGGCGCTGCAATATGCTCACGGCGGCTGTTGGCACTTTTGGCCAGGGCGTGGCAATGGACAGGCTTACTGGGTGATTTGCTTAATCATTGCTGATCTAACTACTGTTATTACTACGCTTACGATGATTGTTATTCCTACTAGTATCACTACTTGTACGGTTACTACTGCTGCTACCACTATCCGCAGCCAGTATTACTTTATTAAACTGTTGCTACTTGTTCTGCTTGATATCAAGCATGGCAATACCTGTCACATGGTCACCGGACCCACAGCGGTCGCTCCGCCTTCGCCAGCTTGTGCAGCCGGGCGATGATGGACTTCGCGGGCTCGGCCACCCCGGCGTCCGCGTGCTTGGCCTTGGGCAGCACCCATTTTTACTAAGAAATCCCCCCTGCTTCTTTTGGGGGGTTGGTGGCTTTATAAGGGAACCTAGGGACCTAGAACCCCCCCAACAAGAATGGGGGGGCAAAAGGGCAAAAATCTGGGCTACCATGTGGCGCACATGCCGACTTCTTTGCCGATCTTGGTCTCGGAGGCGACCTCCCAGGTCAGTGGTAGGGAGTCCAACTCCTGGAGAAGCAGCTTCAGGCCGGCGGTATCATTCGCCTCGAAGCCTTGGGTGCGGGGGGGTGCGCTCCATCGGGGGGGGGGGGGGGGGTGGGTGGGATCTCGATCTCTGACGCCAGGAATGAGCGAGAATGCTACGGGTGCCGGTGTGGGTTTTTTGGGGTCTCTCGGCCGGCATCGGCTTTGTTTGGATTCTCTTCCTGCGTGCGCGCGCGCGCGCCCAAAATAAAGGTGTATCAAAGCACATTGCAAGTGCTATGGCTGCCCAAGGAGCTGTCGGTGAGGTCCTGCTTCAGCGATTTGAGCGCCTCGAGGGTGGACACGGACTTGGTCTCGTTGTCCTTCTGCGTGATGACCGCGATTTGGTCCTTGAGATCCGTGCTCGAAGGATCGAGCGCTTGCGCCTCCTTCCAGGTCGTTCTTGGAGCTTTCGGGTTTACCCGAAACTCTATTCACCTACAGTGCAGTAGTGACTACCCTTAGTAGGTAGAACCCATGCAACTGTAGGTAAAGAGGGTCCCAGGTAAGGTTTAGGGTTATCCAAGAGTCAATGACAGTATGGGCTCTTCTGGATCTAGCTCTCATGCAAGGCAGAAAAGAAAAAGGACCACATGGATACATTAAGCTGGCGCACTCTCAGCAATCGACTAAGCCCTGAACCCCTATGCTTCCACGCTTCTACCGATGCGTCTACTTTGCAATCCCGACCTTGAGCACCGACAAGGCTTCCGCGGATTTGCCTTCTTCCGATAGCCGCCAGGCCAGAGTGGACCTGCCCCTGACCTTCCGGGAACTTTTCTCCGTGTCCCGTTCACCAACCAAGTCGGGATTCCAGGCTCTCTGATTACAAGGTTCAGGTGTATACTTGGGCCCCAAAGTCCAGACGTAGGAAGTACTTTAAGGCCCGAGAATTAGGCACCTGGACCCTTAGGGTAAGCCTCAGCTCGAAACCTTAAATCTCATGGCATCCCATGGCGTGATCTTCGGGCCTCCACATCGGCAGGGACACGGGAGATCCCACAAGCCTCAGTGGGCTCAAGGGGCGCGGTTTAGGGTTTAGGGTTTAGGGTTTAGGGTTTAGAGCCCCATGAGCAAGGCGGACAAATTCAAAACCGACTGGGATGCCTGATTGGGCTCCTTTTTCATTGTAGGGGCTCTGGGATAACAAACTACTTGCGCCGGAACCCTCAACCTGATAAACCTTTTTTTGAACCTGGAAGCTGCTTCATGCCAGGACAAACCCTAAACTCTAAAGCTAAAGCCTAAACTGTTAAACCTGAACCCTGAACCCTAAACCCTAAACTGTTCTGGCAACCTGCACCGCACACTGCGCGTGCTTCCTGGAGAGCTCGCCGCTGAGGAGTGACGCCGTGGCCGCATGAGCCCGGGCGAACTCGGAAAGTTCATCAGCTTTGAGCCTTACCGGGGGGGTCATGTGGGGTTTAGGGTTTAGGGGTTTCGACTTTAGGGTTTAGGGTTTAGGGTTAGGATTCATGTGTTTTTGCTCTTGTTATGTGGAAGAAATGACATATTTTTGAAATGGTAATCGCACTGCGCGATCTTTGCAGGAAGGAAGTCTTGTTACTTGTTTCTGGGAATCGGGAAATGCCTGCTTCTAGGGTTTGCAAGTTTATAAGGCTGGCTTGGAGCGCAGAATCTTGACGTGCACCTCTGCGATGCTGCTGCTCGGCTGCCTCTTTTGCATGGCCGAGGAGCTGCTTGAGGAGCACCTCCTCAACATCGAGCATGCTCGGAAGCTTCTCCTCGAGCCTTTTCTTGGGCTGAAAGGGAAACTGCTTCTCTGCCCCGTCGTCGTCCCACTGCAGGTCGTACATGCTGTCTCCAGCCTTACCTTCCTGGGTCTTCCACTGCCGGCACGTCAGGATCTCCTCAAACCACACCAAGATCCGCCTCCACCTTTTCAGGGCCAGGCTCTTGTGGCGCCCCTCATCCATGGACTGGAGGGCTTCTGCGCGCCGGCGCTCTTGTAGGATGCCTATACTCCCCTTAGAACCTTAACAAACAAAAATATTTTGAATATCCTCTTGGGTTTTATATGAACAAAAATGAAAAAATAATTCCCAAGGAGGATATAGATGCTCTCCAAGCCCTGCCAGGTGCCGTCACTTGGGCCCTGGCAGGCCAAGGTCACCTTCTCCACCTCGATGCGGATGGAGACCGGGCCACTGGTGTCAGGCAGACCCGTGTACTTCCTAGGATGGGCCTTAAAAACCTCTGACAAAAACATTCCGAAAATATGATCCTCTTCAACCCAATAGGGAAAAACACAAAATGATCCCAAAGGCCTACCCAGCTTCCCATCGCTGTAGGCGCTGTGGATGTCCTTCTCCATGTCCCGGATGGGCACGCCTTCTCTCAGGATCACCTGGGGCTTTCCGAGTTTTTTGGGGGGGTACCCTTATTCAATATTTTTGGGGTCCCTTGTTATACAGGAAACCGACGATTTCGGGCCCTTATTTTCGCAAATCCCCACCTCGAACTGCATCCCTTCGGTGACGCCGGTTGGCGGGAGCTTCAGGCACTGGCCGATGCAGGGAGGCACGAAGTCCCCCTCGGCGGCTGCAGCCTCCTCGCCCACGATGAACCTATACTCCCCTTCGAACCTTCATAAAAATAGTATCTTTAGTATCCTAAACCCTAAACCCTAAACCCTAAACCCTAAACCCTAAACCCTAAACCCTAAACCCTAAACCCTAAACCCTAAACCCTAAACCCTAAACCCTAAACCCTAAACCCAAAGCCAAAAAACAATTCCCAAGGGGGATATAGGGAACTCCATGGGCTCCTTCATGCGATCCGCACGCAGGACGAGGCCATTCGGCCCATTGGCGAGGCCCAGGCGCGTGTCCTTCAGGGCGTAGTTCATCAGGAGCTTCGCCACACGGAAGTGCGCCTGCACCGTAGAGAGCTCGGACACGACCGGGCTGCTTGCGCTCCTCTTCCCCTCCTTGGCGACATGCAGGAGGCGCCGGCCATCCCCGTCGAGGTCGGTGAACTCGGAAGACTCCAAGAGCTCCATCTCCATCATCAGGGTGCCTAGACTCCCCTTAGAACCTTACTAAAAAAATATGTTTAATATCCTGTTGGGTTTTACATAAACAAAAATAAAATAATTTCAAGGGGGATAGAGGTGCTGTTTGGCTCCTTCTCCTCTTCCAAGCAGAACTCCTCCGGGAGGCCTAAGATCTGAATCGCCTGGCGGCGCAGTGCGGTCGGCTTGAGCTCCTCCATGTTCTTGTACAGCTCACGCTGCTCCGGCGTGTCTGGCAGCCACTTGTCAAGGCAGCTGCGGATCGCCGCCTCCACTGATGGGCCCATGGAGGACCGGGCCACTTCGAACTTCCCGAGCTCAAAAAGCTGCAGGGTCTTGCCGGCGCTGTTCCAGGCCTGAAAGACTGCCTTCGACGAGTCGTCCATCACCCACCGGGCAGGCTCGGCCGGTCGCTCGGCTGCTTTTGGCTGGGTGGCCAACTGAGGTCCTGGGTCGGCAGACAGACTCCCGGGTGGCTTCCTGGTGTTCAGGAGCTCCTTGCCGGCTTGAGTCTTCATCACCACGTGGGCCGTCACAACGCCGGCCACGCCACTCTTCTCTTCAAGCCAGCCCCGTTTAATCCACGAGGCGAATAGCGGGGCGTTCTCGTTCGAGTGGAGCTTTCGAACACCCCCATCCTCGGTGATTGGCACGGTGTCGTCCAACCGCTCCCCACGAAGGAACCCTCGCATTTTGTCTGCTTGGTCCTTCTCGGCAGTGCGGTTGGCCTTCAGTTGCCGAAGAATCTCGGCAAGCTTCTGGCGAGCATCTGCATTCTCAGGCTCGAGCTCCACCACGGCCTCCAGGTCTTCGCGCGCTTCGCGCAGCTTGCCCTGGCCAATGCGGGCCACCCCGCGGCGGTACAGGGCCTTGGTGTTCTTGGAGTTTCTCTGGAGGATTTCCGTGGTGGTCTCCACAGCACGGGCCCACTCACGCCGCTTCAGGTCGCAAAGTGCCATGTTGTTCTTGATGCCCTCCCACACCTCGTCGGACTTTGTGAGGTGCAAACAGCAGCGCTCCAACATCTCCAGGCTACCGGAGTAGAGGCACTTTGCACTGAAATAGTCGCCGGTCCTGTACTTCTCATTGGCTTGCTCTTTCATCTTCAAAACTTCCACCAGTCGGTCCCTGTCAAATCCAGGTGGGATATCCAGTGCGTCTGCGCCTTGCCTTTGAGCATTCTCCTGTGCCGGCTGGTCCCTCGCCATCAAAATTCGGCACCCCCTAAAGTTAAAATGATAAACAAGGCGGACCGCTTGGGCCGAAATCCGTGAAAGCTTGGCTATGCGGGTGTGCTTCGACACCCAGACCCCGTTCTTCTATGAGATTGATGTTTGCATTGTGGCGGTCCATAAGGACTTGTTCTCAGTTTCCCCTGAATTTTTGGCAGTGCAAGAACTCGCAGTGGCTGTGGCCCACCTCAAGTTCAAGTTCTGAGTCGCTGCCGTGGCGATGTCCTCGAGTGCAACCTCGGCAAATTCCCAGGTCCAGTGGGCGCGTACTCACAGGCAGCATGAACGATCACCATGACATCAATATACATAGCGCGATGCAAACGCAGAGCGACTCTGCACATGTGCTTATTCGCTTGATTTGGGCCAATAGCACGCCGGGGCCTCTATGTTTAGCCGAGCTGCTCGATTGCCGGGATCGGCAGACAGCCGCTCGGCCTAAACCAGCGCAAATTGAAGCCAATTTGGGGTTTGGACCGTGAAGTTCTGCAGCTTCCAGCTGAAGCCTCAAAGCTACCTTCTTGGGTCCCAGCACAACTAACTACATCCAGTTGTCATCCCTTCAGCTTCTAGAATTTGGGCTTCGGTGTGACAGGCCCCTCACCCCCCCCATCTTCCCCCCTCCCCCTCCCCCAAAACCAGGCAGACTCGGGACGTCTGAGTCCCAAGGTGGACGAAGTCGGACCCAGTCTTTGCGCTACGGGCTCTTAGCCTGTC